AGCGCACCCCGCCGCGGGGATTCGAACCGCCGACCATGCGATTGGCAAGTCCTAGGTGCTGAGGCTTTTGTCCACAGCGCCACCGGCGTCCCTTAGTAAATATTACAATTTATTTAACCCAAGGTACCACTGTATTAAAGGGACGCGTGGTGTAGCCAGCATGGTGTAGTGGTTAAGAGCGGTAGTCTTGTAATCTGGTGAACTGGGTTCACGTCTCCGCTCCTCCACATGCAGCTGCTGGGTGACCTTGGGCCAGTCACACTTCTCTGAAGTCTCTCAGCCCCACTCACCTCACAGAGTGTTTGTTGTAGGGGAGGAAGGGAAAGGAGGATGTTAGCCGCTTTGAGACTCCTTAAAAGGAGTGAAAGGCGGGATATCAAATCCAAACTCCTCTTCTTCTTCTTCTTCTTAATTAGAACTTGCACGTTATAACTGGGATGTGTTGCAAGACAGTCTCAATGTGCATTAAAACGGGTAATGTAAGGGGCCTGAGGTGTTTCATTAGCATTTATGTGTAAAGACTGTGTTTCAGCCAGTCACCCCCTTACATCACCCCCTTCTAACAGACCCACCAAGTGTCCCTATTTTCCAGGATTTACTGAAACCATTTCTTGTTTGATCCTGGAACATCCTTATTTTCCTTAGGATGTCCCTATTTTCATCAGAGACATGTTGGGGGCATGGAGTTAGGCGACCCCCAAGCCAAGGAGATAAATAACTCTACAACCTTTAGAAGACATCTGAAGGCAGTCCTATATAGGGAAGGCTTTGTTTTTTAAAATGTTTAACATTTTATTATGTTTTTATATATGTTGGAAGCTGCCCAGTTTTGCTGGGGCAATCCAGTCAGATGGGCAGGGAATAATAATAATAATAATAATAATAATAATAATAATAATAATAATAATACAGTGGTAAAGGGACCCCCGACCACTAGGTCCAGTCGTGACCAACTGTGGGGTTGCGGCGCTTATCTTGCTTTACTGGCCGAGGGAGCTGGCATACAGCTTCCGGGTCATGTGGCCAGCATGACTAAGCCGCTTCTGGCGAACCAGAGCAGCGCACGGAAACACCGTTTACCTTCCTGCCGGAGCAGTACCTATTTATCTACTTGCACTTTGACATGCTTTCGAACTGCTAGGTTGGCAGGAGCAGAGACCGAGCAACAGGAGCTCACCCCGTCACGGGGATTCGAACCGCCAACCTTCTGATTTTTTTTTATTATATATAAATATTTATTAAGATTTTACAAATTATAACAAACATAACAATACACACACACACAAACAAAGATAACATAAAAAAGAACAAGTATAATTTCAATACCTTATTTTCTTAAAACTTATTTCACCGACCTCCTCATACCTCCCCTTTTCTGCGTTCCCATTTCAAAAATTTAATTCAGCAAATCCTCACCCTTGATTTTATCTAATTATCATCCTTACTTTCCTTTCACTTAATCTTTACAGCTGTACTCCATTTAGTTTTAAAAACCACATTGTTCTAAAATTCATAAATTTTACAATATTTCTTAAGATAGTTCTTAAATTTCTTCCAATCTCCTTCCGCCCGTCTCTTTTCCCCGGTCTCGGATTCTGCCAGTCATTTCCCGCCAACCTTCTGATCGGCAAGTCCTAGCTCTGTGGTTTAACCCACAGCGCCACCCGCGTCCCCATATAAAAATGCTTTAAGGGAAAAAAAAAGGTTTTAAAAAATATATTGAATTTGCCATGAGCTCACCATTGCCATCTAGTGTCACATTTGTATAATGCACTTAAAACACCTTAAAATGTTATATTTGCAGCTGTATAGCTGAACCCTGTGAGAACAAGAAACTTGACAAGGTGGGCCACGTTGGAAAATGTTTGTTGAATATATGGGGGGGGGATTGTGCACACTTGAAAATGTTGGCAGCATTAAGATAAATTCAACAGTGTAGTTTTAAAGTTTTTTATTTATACTTTTCAAATTTATAAATTTAATTAGTATTACAATCAATTTAACATTTCAAAATTTGACTTCCTTCCCCCTCTTTCTGCACTACACTGGTTTCCAAGCACAATTCAAAGTGTTGGTGCTGACCATTAAAGCCCTAAACGGCCTCGGTCCAGTATACCTGAAGGAGCGTCTCCACCCCCATCATTCAACCCGGACACTGAGGTCCAGCACCAAGGGCCTTCTGGCAGTTCCCTCCCTCAGGCAAATATAATATGTTTAAGCTGAAGAATGACAAAGGGAGAGTGTGGTAGATTACTGCCAGTTTTTGATATTGGATGGTGGATCTCAGGCTACTTGTGGTTGGAGGTGCCTGATCTAGAAGATATAGATGATCTGATTAGAAAAATAATGGGGCTGAAGGATGGAGTGGGAGGAAAGTTTATTTTGAAGAGTCTATTTCTCTGTTGCACCAGCTGCAGTTGATAACAAAATGGATTGTGTTTTGTTGATGAATAGTTATTATTTTTTAAAAGAAGCAAGACCCCACCCCAGGTTAATTAGTTAAGTCCCCAAATGTTCTAGACTCCATTATGAAGCATCTCAACTTGATGGTTCCTAACGAAGGCCAGGGACACATCACAAGGGCAGCCACAGACCCACACTGACAACCACAGCTCCCAGTAACTCACACTGTATTTGTCCTCTTGGGGGCTTCCCACTGGGGCACCATATCGGCTACTGGGAGAAGAGGAATCTGGACTAGATGGGCCTCGGGTCTGCACTGCCTTGTCGTGAAGACCATTTAAGATAAGAGGACGCCATTTTCTGTTCAACTCTTACGATGCCATCTTGGTTTAGTGATTGTAACATCATGACTGGTCTATATCATTCAGCTGCATGTTTCTCTCTGGGGCTCTAAATGGGGTTTTGAGTGTGACTTTTTGGATGTGAATATATGAACTTCTCGGACTCCTTATTAATTGCTTTTCACCTAAAATAGGAATCAGTTGGGTCTTCAGAAAGTTAAACGAATAGTATAAAGAAGGTCATGAGCATTACTTCAAAAATGGGGAAGAGCTGCAGCTCAGGGGAACAGCGTCTGCTTTTTCCAGGTTCAACCTCCTCATCTCCGCTGGGAAAGGTGCCGGTATGAAATCCAGTAGAGCCCCTGCATCTAAAGCACCAATGCAATTACACACACACACACACACACACACACACACACACCAGTGCATGGCATCTCCAGGATTGACTTTCTGTTCCCACAGTTCAGGGAGCCCGGAGCTGAGAGGTGTTGTGTTGTGTTTGAGAGGCCTGCTCCTTCCTGATTTGTTTTCCTGCTGCCTCAAGAAACCAGTGGTTGTTAATTCAAGAAAGTTCTCTGCCAAGGCTTCCTGTCCCAGGAGGGGACAAACGAACTGCCCACCCCCTGCTCTGGTCCCCATGATGGAGGCAGAGACACATTATCTCCACATTGCAGATCCTCATAGCAGTAGAAATGTTGGCCCTCCAAGAAAGCTGAATGGTGGGAGATCCAGGACAGATAAAAGCATTTCATTGTGCAGCACACAATTGAGCTATGGAACTCACTGCCACTGGAGGCAGAGATGGCTACCAGCTTAAAATCATGGAACCGCAGAGTTAGAAGGGACCACAATTGTCACCTAGTCCAGATCTCTGCAACGCAGGGAATCTTTTGCCCAACGTGGTGCTCAAGCCGGTGACCCTTAGATTAAGACTATTGTGCTCCACCCACCAAGCTGGGGACAAGACAAGGGGACAAATTCATGGAGACTAGGCCGTGAAGCACAATGGCTCTGCTCTGCCTCCACAGTCCAGAGGCAGCAGGCTTCTAAATCTTGTCAGCTTCGCCTTTGAGCCGGTGCCAACGACTGGGCTCAACCTCTTCAGCCCCGACTGGGCCAGGTGAGCTGGGAAAGCACTTCCAGAGACCTTCCACTGCCGGGAGCAGGTCTAAGTGCCGTGGACTCACAACTCGGAGCTGTGAGCACCAAACTCAGTTCCAAAGTCAGCCGAGCACAGCAGAGTATATATTACACGAACGACGGCTCTGAAGCATAACTTCTTTACTGTATTCTTTTACAGCTACTGCAAAACTAAAATAAACTACTGAAGACTATCCGAGACGCTGGACTGCAGGAGTGTTACGGTTGCTTGAGTGGTCACCTTATCTCTATACAGTGGTACCTCGGGTTACATACGCTTCAGGTTACAGACTCCGCTAACCCAGAAATAGTGCTTCAGGTTAAGAACTTTGCTTCAGGATGAGAACAGAAATTGTGCTCCGGCGGCGCAGCAGCAGCAGGAGGCCCCATTTGCTAAAGTGGTGCTTCAGGTTAATAACAGTTTCAGGTTAAGAACGGACCTCTGGAATGAATTAAGTACTTAACATGAGGTACCACTCTACAGATAACACTCAGGCTCCTTTTGAAGTCAGGCTGGAGCGGAAGAAGCGATGAGCAAATCCCACCCTCCTTTCTGAAACATTGTCAGCAGATTCTTGCAATGGGAGGGGTGAAATATCCACAGATCTCAGGTGCTGGAAACTGCAAGGGGGGGGAGGCTGGTTTTGCTCTCTGGTTCTGCTTGCAGGTGTCCCACGGCGTCTGGGTGGCCCCCGTTGGGCGCTGGACCAAATGGGACACTTTTGTGTCCTTCCATGGGGTGAGTGGAAACTCACAGGGAAACGTATGACGACACACAAACATCACCAACATCATATAGGGGGTGGAGCAAGGGGAGGTGGCCCTCAGGCAGGTGGGGGGGGTGGCAAAGGTGTCTTTATTTTGACATGTGCCACCACCCCATGGGAAATGCACAAAAAGGATATCAGGCTGCACAGGTCAGAAGTCGGCGGCCCTGATAGTGGAGCCAGGGAGAGTCCTACCAGACAAATTTCCACTTTTCTTGTCTTTGGAGCCAGTACTCTAGTTACCCATATTTGGTCAATTCTTGTCCAAGTCATTTTGGCTTCAGAGAAAAAGGTTCCCTCTCTGCCTAAGGGGTTCTTTGTTCTCCAAATATCAACTAAATCCAGATTATCAGTCATTTCAAAAAAGGTTTTTGGTAGTCTACCATCCTTAAAAACTACCTGTCTTTGTGCCTTGTCCATATTTGTAGACACCACTCCGTTCATATCCCCCATCAAGATCACATTATAATCCATATAGTCCATCAAAGTCTTGTGCAGTTTTTTAAAGAATTCTGATTTTCCCTCATTTGGTGCATAAACTCCTACTATCAAAAATTTCTCTCCTTGTGTTTGAATTTCAATTGCAACCCATCTTCCTTGATCATCTTTAAAAATAAATTTCGGTGATAAGCTCTCCTTAGCGTAAATCACTACTCCTCTTTTTTGACTTTGTCCGATGAAATAAATTCTTGCCCCAATCTTTTATTTATCAATACTTTCCTGTGTAGTCTTATCACATGTGTTTCCTGTAAACAGATCAAGTCCAAATGTTCCTTTTTTAATATATGAAAGATTTTTTTCCTCTTATGGGAGGAGTTAAGACCATTGGTATTCCAACTTAATAGTTGCAGGGCCATGGTGTAGTTACTTTGCTTTTCCTCCAACCGCGCCGAGTGCTTGTTCTTGTTCTGTCGGTGGTGTCACTTTTCCTAGATCGTCCAATCCGAGAGGCAGTATTGCTTTGTCTAGTATTCCTCTTTCCAGTACTCCTGGCTCTTCTCCAGATCCTTTCTGTAAATCTTCCTCGTGGTCCCTCAAAAATCTTTCCTTGTCGTCCACTGATCTTATTTTTGTATTTCTTCCTTTGAAGCTAAAAGATAGGCCTTGGGGGAATTCCCACCTAAAAACAATTCTATTGCTTCTCAGCAGACCAACCAAATCTCTGTAGTCAGATCTAAGGTCCAAAAGGTATTTCGGGATGTCTTTGAATATCTCCACTCTTGACTGATGTATTACCAAAGTCTTCTGGAAGTGCAGACTCAAGATTTTGTCTCTCTCCTCTTTTGTCCGGAGGGTAATCAAACAGTCTCTCACCCTGTTCTTCTTCCCCCCTCCTCCAAGCCTAAAGGCCCTCACTATCTTGATTTCTCCCTTTTCCAAATCTGATTTCCAAAAGTCTGCAATTTCCTGCATAAGAAAATCAACCAAGTTATCTTTCTCAGCTTCAGGTACGGCTCTGATCCTTAGGTTCGTTTGTTTCTCCTTCAATTCGATCATAGACAACGTCGACCTATGACCATCCAGTTGCCTTTGAATGGGTGGTAGCTTCTCCTCTACTGCCACTGCTTTTTCCTTAGCTCCTTCAGCTATCTGTCGGGTCTGGGTAGATTCCTAAGTAATAAATGACAAGGGGAAATAAACTCAATTTAGCTGCATTCAAAGGTGAACTTGCCTAATTCGCTCTTGCTGAAAAAATATGGAGACCAAAACAGAGCTTTAAAATTCTGATATTTTCAAGCTTCACGCAGCCAGGTAATATTCACAAAAAATGTATTTATGAGGGTAAAGTATAGACCAAAATATTTATACAAGGAGGTAGCTACCCTAACATCTGATTCATTTTCAGAACAATAAATTAATAAACAGACTGATATGAAAAATGAGGAGAAGCTGAAATGGGCAGATTTCCCCATCACTTCTCAGTCCTGACTCAATTCTCCTTCTCCTTCTCCTTCTCCCTCTCCTTCTTCTTCTTCCCCTCCTCCTCCTCTTCTATTGAATTTATACACTGCCGTATACCTGGAGGTCTCAAGTGCTTGTTCCCTGTCTAGTAACAACAGAGACACTTACAAGGAGGTCTTTGCTTTCCTTGTCCAGATCTGCTTGATGGGCCAGAATTTCCTCTCTCTCTTTCCTCAGAATCTCCAGGCGGTGACAGATCTCTCCCTAAAGAGAAAAGGGAAAACTCAGCTTCGATTGAGACACACAGAGAGATGAAAATCACAATGGCTTCTTGCGCCCAGTGGCCTTGCTAGAATAGCAAAGTAGTTTACTGGTGGAAATAAAAGTACAGTGGTTTTCAGCCTTTTTGGGTCCACGGCTCCATGGATCAACTACCTTCTATCTTCAGCACCCCTGTGGGGCTCAGGATCCCAGTTAGGTCCCCCCTTGCCTGCAGAGCTGGCAGCCCCTCACCTTTCTCAAACACCCTCCCTTGTGGCCTGATCTCTCAGCCTCCTCTCCTTTCCTTGAGAGTCCCAGCCTGACTTCTCATCTTGAGGTCTCAGGGAGAAGTGGGAAGAGGAGGAGGAAGTGCTAAGGCAGGATCCAACCTGGGATGTTAGCTCAAGAGTACTGAGGTCAGCCCAAGAGGCGAGAGATGCAGGGATAGAGCAGAGCGTCTCAAAATTTGGGGTGGGAGGAGATCCTCAGCCCCCCCCGAAACATCATTGCAGAGGCTCCACGGCACCCCCAGAATAAGCCACCAGTAGGTGCTCCCACTCCCCACTCCCAAATCTGCTTCCAACAGATACTTGGGGGGTGGGATCCTGCACCATCTGGTCAATTCCTGGCTAACAGCCCCCTCGCCCCCCGCTGATCCCTTGCTGCTCTCTGTTTTGCAGGGCATTGAGGAGGCATCCTGGTAACCAAAGGAGACATGTACTTAGTTGTCTATGTGCAATTTACATTTGTACGTTCTAAATATGTTCTAAATATTGCTGGGGGATGTGGACGAGGTTAACCCTTTCTCTCCCTGCCAAGGTCCCAGTCCAAATCTTTGAAGCTGCTGTGAGTATTTCAAGATCCCCTTGTCCCCCTGGCAGAGAGAAAGACTTCAGCTCCCCCCTCCAGCCACCCCAGGAGCCCTCAGGCTTCCCCTGGGCTGCTTCCAAGGCGATAAACACGACCAATCAATGCCATGCCTACTTTGGACCTGAGAAGTAAAAAGAAAACCTCCCAAGAAGAATCCACAGCTATTTATTTCTCCCCCTCCAGATCCAGGGATCTCCTACCTTGTATTCCTCGGAAGCCTCCTCCAGAGGAATCACCTTGTGATTTTCATGTTCCTTTGATTTGTCGCACACCACGCAGATGGGGGTTTCGTGGACTTTGCAGAAGAGCTTGAGGGGCTCCTGGTGCTTCTCACAGACTCCTCCTTTCCCTCCTTCCTCCTTTCCCTCTTGAAGGCTGAGATTCTTCACTATTTCCGCCACATTAGCCAGTTGCCGGTTGGAGACGAGGCTCCTTCTCTGGACTCTTTCTCTGCACTGAGGGCAGGAAGCCTCTGCCTCCGATTCCCCCCAGAACAGGACCAAGCAGGATCGGCAGAAGTTGTGCCCACACTCTGGGATGGTCACTGGATCCTTGAAGTAATCCAGGCAGATGGAGCAAGTGGCTTCATCACGGAGACGCTGGATGTGACCCCCTGCAGCAGCCATGGCTCCCTCGCGCTGAAGACCCAGTTAAGTTTCGCTTTTTCAGTTTTCAGCCACTGGGAGTTTCCCTTCCTGGAAATGACTCAGTGATCATGTGATCTTTGTTTTTTAAACAAAACATGTCTCCAGATCTTTGTAGTTGCTGAATGTTTTCTCAAGTAGCAGACAATGCTTCTGGATTGCTTCCCATGCTTTTAATTACACACAAACACACACGTACCTGGTAAGTTGCGGTATTCATACTGTAACTTTTTCATTCGTGGCTTCCTTGTCATTTTTGAATTGGGAGAAAATCCTCCTCTGCCCTAAATGGACAGGAGTTCTGATTTAGCAAGCGGGACTTGATTCCGTGAAGAGAACTCCTAAAAGTCTGGTTGCTAGTTCTAACTTTATCCCTTTTTAACACGCTGGCAAAGAACTTCAGATTGAAACAGACGCTTTCAGCCTTGCCAACCTGGTGCCCTCTGTTTGCTGAAGACTACAGCTCCCATCATCCCTGGCCAGGACACTGCAGATATGGTTGGGAAGACCTTGCAGAGCCACTGCCAGTCAGTGGAGGCAAGACTGACCTCGATGGACCTGGCAGAAGGCACCATCTGAATGGTGGCAGCCCAGTTATGGCGTTCCTTCCCTAGATATGAATGCCTGGTGAGACTTGGCTATTATGATTAATCGATATTACTACACAGTGTAAAGTCTTCCTATATTCCTAATAAAGCCCGGTGCCTTCCAATGGCTGAAAAACCTGGAGGGCTTTAACAGGGGATTAGATACAATTCCTGGAGGATAAGAGTTTGGTAGGGGACTCGGGTGGCGCTGTGGGTTAAACCACAGGGTCTAGGGCTTGCCGATCAGAAGGTTGGCAGTTCGAATCCCTGCAATGGGGTGAGCTCCCGTTGCTCAGTCCCTGCTCCTGCCAACCTAGCAGTTCAAAAGCACACTAAAGTGCAAGTAGATAAATAGGTACCGCTCTGGCGGGAAGGTAAACGGCATTTCCGTGCGCTGCTCTGGTTGGCCAGAAGCGGCTTAGTCATGCTGGCCACATGACCCAGAAGCTGTACGCCGGCTCCCTCGGCCAACAAAGTGAGATGAGCGCCGCAACCCCAGAGTTGGTCACGACTGGACCTAATGGTCAGGGGTCCCTTTACCTTTACCTTAAGACTTTGGATGGTTATATGCTCTGCCTCTGGCTGGAAGCAGGAATCCTCCTGAATAGCAGCTGCTGGAGCCTCCAGGAGGGGCGCTTGTTCCCAGGTCCTGCTTAGGGGTTTCCCACACACATAATGTTTAAAAAATGTTTTTGTTTCACCTGCAGGTAAAAGGAGAGAGCTCAAGACGGAGATTTCCCACCAAGGGAAGCTGTGCCAGAGGGAATATCCCTAAGGAACATTCCTTTGTTAGCTGAGATTGCAGAGCAAAAGCGTGAGTCCAAAGGACACCAGGGAGCAAATGAACGCAGCCATCACCCAGAAGTCCAGTTCCCTTTAGTGGAAGCCCAGTGCACTTTGGAGCAGAAAAGCCCTTCTCTTCAAATCCTGGGAGGAACGGCCAGCACAGTTTGGGTCTGGGGAGGCTGAATGCCGAAGAACATCCTCATGAATGCTCCATGTGTGGGGAGAGCTTCGAGCGAGGATCCGTCCTGGCTGAGCACCAGAGGATGCACATGGGAGAGGAAGCGTACGAATGGTCTGAGGACGAGAAGCCCTTTCCCCAGTGAGAGATCTGGGTGAGCCATCAGAGAGGCCTCATGGAAGAGAAACCACACAAGTGGTCCCACTGTGGGGAAAGCTTCAGCCAGAGGACCAGTTTGGTGAGTCACCTGCAAACCCACACGGGAGAGAAGCCTCACGAATTCCTGGACCGGAGAGATACGTTACTCAAACACCGGAGAACCCACACAGGGGAGAAGCCGGACAAGTGCCATGATTGTGGGAGAAACTTCAACCACCCGTGCAACTTAATTGAACATCGGAAGACACACACAGGGGAGAAACCCCACCGAGTGTGGGGCAAGTTTCCATCACCCTTGTAGGTTGATTGACCATCAGAACATCCACACAGGAGAGAAGCCTCACAAATGCCCTGAGTGCAGGAAAAACACTTCTCAGTGAGATACGCTGATCAAACACCAAAGGACCCACGCGGAGGAGAAACCTTATGAATGCCCCGAGTGCGGAAAAAGCTACATGCAGAGGAAGGGATTAATCGGACACCAGATAATTCATTTAGGGAATACGACCAGCTAATATTCTTGAAAAGTGCCACATTCCACAGAAAAAAAGAGGGAGAAATGTTGGTTACATCCTGATTTGCAGTGGAGAACACACATCTTATCTAGGTCACAAGACATAGGCGGATGGCCAGTTGTTGTTGTTAATTCAAGAAAGTTCTCTGTTGAGGCTTCCTGCCCCAGGAGGGGACAAACAAAACTGCCCACCCCCTGCTCTGGTCCCCACGATGGATGGAGGCAGGGAGACAGAGACACATTATCTCCACATTGCAGATTCTCATAGCACTAGAAGTTGTGGCCCCCAAACAAAGCTGATTGTTGGGAGATCCAGGACAGAAAAAAGCATTTCGTTGTGGAGCGTGTAAATGAACCATGGAACTCACTGCCACTGGAGGCAGAGATGGCAACCAACTTAAAATCATGGAATTGCAGAGCTGAACGGTACAACCAGGGTCACCTAGTCCAGATCTCTGCAGTGCAGGAATCTTTTGCCCAACGTGGTGCTCAAGCCAGTGACCCTTAGATTAAGGCTATCATGCTCCACCCATTGAGCTGGGGACAAATTCATGGAGCACTAGGCTGTGAAGCACAATGGCTCTGCTCTGCCTCCACAGTCCAGAGGCAGAAGGCTTCTAAATCTCAGGTGCTGGAAACTGCAAGGAGGGGAGGGAGGCTGGTTTTGCTCTCTGGTCCCCCTTGCAGGTGTCCCACGGGCGTCTGGGTGGCCCCTCTTGGGCGCTGGACCAAATGGGACACTTTTGTGTCCTTCCATGGGGTGAGTGGAAACTCACAGGGAAAACTTATGATGACACACAAACATCACCAACATCATATAGGGGGTGGAGCAAGGGGAGGTGGCCCTCAGGCAGGTGGGGGGCGGCAAAGGTGTCTTTATTTTGACATCTGCCACCACCCCATGGGAAATGCAGGAAAAGGAGATCAGGCTGCACAGGTCAGAAGTCGGCGGCCCTGATAGTGGAGCCAGGGAGAGTCCTGCCAGATCTTTGAGAGAGGTCAATTCCACAGGCATTTGTTGTTCTAGCTCTTAGTATCCCAGGAGAGAAATCAGATGCAGCTGGTGCCGAAAAGACCCTCCTTGGGGGAGCATTGTGTATTTGGGGTGGGGCTGAGGAACACAAGGGAGGTGTCCTGCGAAATGTATAGGGCAGCCCAGCCCATGGGGCCCCCTCCGGAAGCTGCCGAACTGCAGCTCCCATCCTCTCTGACCCCTGGCCATGCTGGATGGGTCAGAGGGGAGTTGGAGTCCAGCATTATCCAGAGGACACCCCATTTGAGGCCCCTGATAGACAGAATCCAGCCTGTAAATACGGAACGTTAATGCATCAACCCTAAACACGTATAACTGGGCCGAAGCCCCACTCAATGCAATGAGGTTTATTTCTGACAACGTGTGGAGATGGGGAGGCTGTATTTGCAGAGGACCTTTGAAGCTGACGCCCTGCTCAATTTCTTTTTTATTTTCTTCCCATCTGAGGTCTGCAGAGTAAGGAGCTTTCCTGCCTGATGTGGGGGAAGGGGTTCATTTTTTAGTCCTCTATTAATCCAATTATGCATGCATTTTCACAGCTGCATAAGGTCTTGTGGGGAGAGGAAGGTTTCGTAGAATCGCAGGGTTGCAAGTGTCCCTGAGGGTCATCTAGTCCCACCCCCTGCAGCGCAGGAAACCTTTGCCAAACGTGGGGCTCAACCCACAACCCTGGGATTAAGAGTCTCATGCTCTGCCAAATCAGACATCTCAACAGGAAAACAAGACTGAAGGTGAGGAAAAGTAGATTTATTGGGACTGTTAAAAGTGTGACTGTCTCTTTAAGAAGAAGTGAGCTGCAGAGGGAATTATGGGAAAAGGAAGGAAAATGAATCTTCTCAAATTCCCCTTGAAAAACTGCCCAAGGTTCTCCTGGTGGGTAAATGTTATTTATATCAGTCACTCTGGTCTGGAGAGAAACTCCTGCTGGGCCTGAGAGGCAGATTTAGTCTCCTCAGGAGATACTGAGGGGGGTTTCATTTTCCCTCAGATGAAAGAAAGGGAGGAGGGTCTCTCCAGAGAACGAGGCTCCTGAGAACGTGTAGAGTTCAGCTCCTGAGTCGGTGTCAGAAAAAGACACACGTCCCCCTTCATAGTCCAGAGTCACCCGGATCCTCCAGGGCTTCTTCCCTCAGGGACAGAGGAGAGGAATCAGGGGGTGCAAGGCCCAGTACTCCCCTCTCCACTTCCCCACAGCCCAGATCCCTCTCTCAGGCCTAAAGGAGAAGCTGCCCTTTCTCTCCACAGACTTCCTGGCAACCCCCACAACCACCATTCCCCACTTCCCACAGTGACTTCCCAGAAATGTCTGCCTGCTGTGAATCCCTCACGTCCCAACACACAAGGCCAGTCACTGAATCTCTCAGGATTGTCAGGCAGGGCTTGAGGTTTGTCTCCCAATCTCACGCTTTTCCGATCCTTGGACAGGATGAGTTAGGGATGGGCTGTGTCTGGATCCAGAGTGACATTTGCTGTTGGGAAGAAGATGAGGGAGAGAGAAGATCAGGCAGAGTCAGCAGAGAGAGAGAGATGGACATCCTAATCCAAGAAACACCCGAAAACCCAGATTCCCTTTCAGATCAAGGGGATTTATTTGCATCACATGCAAGACTGAGACTGCCTCCTTGCAGACTCTCATCAGAATAAATCCAGGCATTTTCTAAGGGGAAAAACCACCCAGGAAACCTTTTACTCAGCTCTTCTGTGTTATCTAAGGGGAAAGAGAGGAGAATTGGAGGAGGCAGGAGAGGAGAGAAGCTGCTTTCCTCTGACAATCTCTGTGGGAATTGGCCTTTGGGGACCTCTGGGTTGGGCTGGGGGAGGAGGACCCCCTGTTCTAATAATAATAATAATAATAATAATAATAATAATAATAATAAATAATATCAACATTTGCATACTGCCCATCATATATAGGTCTGAGGGTGGTTCACAGCATTAAAATACAACACAAAACCACATATAGGCTTCCCCTCACTTTGCGGGAGTTATGTTCTGGGCCCTCGTGCACAAAAGTGAAAATCGTGTTAAGTGGGGAGCCTGTTTATTCCTGCTCTCCATCTCTCTCACCCACTTGGTCTCTCCTTCCTCCCAACCATCTTGGAAGTTTAGGCCTTGCCGCCAGGGAAGAGGAGGCAGGTGGCAGGGCAATTTTACAAAGGACTGCTTATTCCATGCTTCTCTTTGGGATTTAATATATACCATAAGACTAGTTCCCTGGGGGAAGCGGGGAATAACTCAAAAGGTTCCAAGTTTGGGGCTGAGACAGTCATGATAGGCAAGTGTAGGGCTGCCCTATTTTGAAGAGCAAGAAAGAGGACACATTTGCCAACATCGATTTTTAACCATGGATCACTATGATGATTCTCATTTGAAATACCCCTACTATATGTAGGCTGTAGTAGGTGTGATATATTGCTAGTAACAATGTTCTTAACTTTCAACAACAAAAGAATAATAATAATACATATAGCTCCCTCACTTGCCACATGAAATATTTGGGCACATGTTCACATCTTTCTGAATGTAAGTGTGCACAGAACAATTTATTAACCTGTTGAACATCTGCATGTGGACTCTCCTTAAGGGCAGGGGGATCTTAACTCTTGCCCTCCCGGACTCCTTCTCTAAATCTTGTAGCTGAGCCAGCGTCCTTTTGGTTCAGCCACAAGAGAAGGGGTTTTTACAGTATGTCGCTAGCTTAAGATGCTGCTCTGTTGTGATTCTCTGCTGCAGATTAGCCTAACCGGGTGCCTTAGATCTGACTCTAATGCAGGCATAGGCAACCTCGGCCCTCCAGATGTTTTGGGACTACAACTCCCATGATCCCTAGCTAACAGGACCAGTGGTCAGGAATGATGGGAATTGTAGTGCCAAAACATCTGGAGGGCCGAGGTTGCCTATGCCTGCTCTAATGCAATATTAAAATTTTCATGGGTTCTTGTAAACCAAAAAACCCCCCAAAAAAAAAACCAAAACAAAACTTGGGGACATTCTGCCAAATTTTAAAAATCTGCCCCGACACATGAAAATAGAAGACATGGCTGGCGAAAAGAGGACATTTGGCAACCAGGCCTGAAAAAGGTCACATGATGGAAAAGCAACCCAACTCCCTCTAGCCAGGAGGAAAGCTCTTCCCTCCTCCCCCTGATCCTTCTGGGCAGTTTCTCTCTCCCCCTTCAAGTCCACCCTCTCTGCCTCTGTGGTACAAACAGCAGGGCTAGAGTCTAGCTGTGGATGGTTCTCAACATACAGAAGAGACTCTTGACCCCCCATGAAACACTAGTCCCCCCCCTCCTGTGAACTGGGGTCTCCGTGTGAAATTTACCTCTGTGGAGATTTCTGAAAAACTGGACATCTGAGGAAGCAAAAAGAGGGTTAAGAGGCTACATTGCAATAGCTCAAATATATATATATATATATATATATATATATTGGTAAAGCATCTGTTGTTTCCTTATTTTAAGCAAAAGATGACATCATAAAACAAGTAATTGAAAGACAACTGTAGGCCTAAGGAATTAAAACAACTAACGTGTTTAGCTATTATTCCTGCATTGCAGGGGGTTGGACTAGATCAGGGGTCAGCAAACATTTTCAGCAGGGGGCTGGTCCACTGTCCCTCAGACCTTGGTACCTCAGGTTAAGTTCCGGAGGTCCGTTCTTGACCTGAAACTGTTCTTAACCTGAAGCACCACTTTAGCTAATGGGGCCTCCTGATGCTGCCCACACCGCCGAAGCACGATTTCTGTTCTCATCCTGAAGCAAAGTTCTTAACCTAAGGTAATATTTCTGGGTGAGCAGAGTCTATAACCTGAAGCGTCTGTAACCTGAAGCGCCTGTAACCCGAGGTACCACTGTATCTTAAAAAAAAAAAAAAATGAACAAAATCCTATGCCCCACAAATAACCCAGAGATGCATTTTAAATAAAAGGACACATTCTACTCATGTAAAAACAAGCTGATTCCCGGACAGTCTGCGGGCAGGATTTAGCAGAAGATGGGGCCGGATCCAGCCCCCCAGGCCTTAGTTGCCTACCCATGGACTAGAAGATCCTTGGGATCCTTTCAAACTCTAATATTCCATGATGCATTGGGGAAATCAGAAATGGTAAACCATGCTATAAAATTCCTTCCAGTAATACCTTAAAGACCAACTAGGTTAGTTCTTGGTATGAGCTTTCGTGTGCATGCACACTTCTTCAGATACCATGCTATAAAATGGTGGAGTACAACCATTCAGAATCCACGAATGAAATGGGAATCTGTATTGATGGCTGGCTGGAGAAGGTTAAACATCTGCACCGAGTAAACTGGTGGGAAAAGGCTCTTGAAACTGGAATTTCCAAGTATGCTGACAAACTAGATTGCAGAGGAAGAAGCTGCAGAGCTTTACCCTGTAATTCAAAGGGTCTCATGCAATGGGAAGTCCTTCCCTCATGGAATGGGGCTGATCTCATAAGAACAGTGGGAAGTCTCAGGAGATGGGGATGGCTGATGAGGTTGAAACTGAGGAGGAGGCAGCTCAGGCCTTGCTCTGCTGCTGGGAGACCAGACTGGGCAGGAGGTGGCGGAGGGACTGGGTGCTTGCGGGTGCCCTTTTTAACACACTTCACAAGGGAGAAATCCAAGCAAATCTAGAGAAGCCGCAAAAGAACCTCTCCAGATTGTGTGGAGGAAAAACAAAATGCAAGGGAGGTTCCCTATACATGAGAACTCGAAAACCAGGGACACTGGATTGACCCTGCAGGATTTTCCTTAAGGGTTTTGTAAGATATTGTAAGGCTCTGAGGCTTTCCCCCACAATTGAGCAGTATATACATTTTATGAAAGAAAGCAAAATCTGTAAAATCGAGGGTGAAACCAGGATACTAGTCTATAGGCAGGAATGGAACTCAGACTGGTGAGCAGGTTCTTTGCAGGGACAAGCTCTGCCCCCAATCCAAGCCTTCAACCTCCCTCCCAGTTCAATTCATGGGACAGACCAAAGTACCCAAACACCACTAGAGGACTGTTACCCAGAGTGACGCCATTGATGGGGGTCCCAAAGTCTGCAGAAGGGAAGGTTCAACACCATGAAATATCAGTCCCCATCCCTCCTGTCAAATTGTTCCTCCCCTTGGAAATTTACCTTTCTGAAGCTGTTCTCTGTATAACACAGCATCTGAGGAAGCAAAAAGATATAAAGTGTAAGGGCAACGCTCTTCCACCTGAAATAAATCTCCATACAAAAGTAACACTTCATAATGTGGCATCCTTGAATTGACTCCATTCAGAGCAGGAGAAACCTCCCAGAAGGACAACCCCAGATTGTGTAGACTGCTAACCAAAAGGAAAAGGAGGTTCCGTATAACTGAAAACAGATACAGGCTTTCTTTACAGGATCCAGGCATCACAATATACATGGGCCATTCTGGGGGACAGGAAAATGAAGGCTGGAGCACCAAGAAGGAAGGTATCCAGGGGTTATTAAATTGCCATGCAGTAAGAGCCTGGCATGTTCAGTTCTGAATAAATAATAGAATTCCGATGTGTGAAATCCTGGTAGCCATTTTTCATTACCTTTCCATTGTTTCATTGTGTCCTCCACAAGGTGATTTAGATCACAGGATTCCAAGATCCTGTTCCTCACTTCTGGAGGGAAAGGCAGTGGCTTCTCTGGACTCTCTCTTTCCTCATACCTGGTGAAAAGAAAAACAATGAATGGCCCCATTGTGGCACCGTCTCCCTAATTATTGCAGGAGATCTCAATAACATGAACAAAGTTGAAGTTTATTTCCCAATAGGTACTTCAACATGATCTGTTGACACCCACCTCCAAGCCCTGGCCAATGGCTTCGTAAGGATGCTAAACATCACAAGGGACAAGAGACAACCCTGTGCGACATCACCGGAGGGCTCCCATGGCTTCAAACTCTGCTGCCCCATAACAACTTTCTGGGAAGGTCCCAGGACGTAAGGGCCAAACCCCTGAAATGGAGTGCCTGCAATCCCTCCCTCCCTGAGCCTCTCCAGAGGATGTTAGAAGAAGAGAAGAAGAAGAAGAAGAAGAAGAAGAAGAAGAAGAAGAAGAAGAGGAAGAAGAAGAAAAGAGTTTGGATTTGATATCCCGCTTTATCATGACCCTAAGGAGTCTCAAAGTGGCTAATATTCTCCTTTCCCTTCCTCCCCCACAACAAACACTCTGTGAGGTGAGTGGGGCTGAGAGACTTCAGAGAAGTGTGACTAGCCCAAGGTCACCCAGCAGCTGCATGTGGAGGAGCGGAGACGCGAACCCGGTTCCCCAGATTACGAGTCCACCGCTCTTAATCACTACACCACACTGGCTAGTTAGTGATGTCAAAAGCTGCCAAGCGGTCAAGGAGAACAACCTCAACCCTCCCTGCACCCCCTCTCTCACACAGGAAGTGTGCAACCCCATGCCCCATGGGACTCTCACTCCGGAGGCATCAAACAACCTGACTTTCACCCCCCATTCAAGACCAGCTTCAGCCTCTCACATTGGAAACACGCCCAAGAAAAAGAGCCAACCCATTCTAGACAAACAGACCTTCCCTCCCTAAGTGCCTCAAAGGGGCTGACTACCAGAGTTGGGGAGCTTCCAGTGGGACGTGGAAATATACTGGTATTTCCTAAGCTGTTCCCAGGGATCTTTGGCACTTTCTCTTCTACATGTTTGAAATTACCAAAGTCAATGAACAGAAGGTGGAAGAGAAAGAAAAGAGCCCCCATCCCTGTGTGAAGTGATGTGGGGAGGGAGGGAGGAGGCAGCTGACCTTGATCCTTGGAGGGAGAATTGGGGAGCTACAAGTTCAGAAGAGGGGGCCCTGCTTTTACCTGTGAGATGCCTCAGGGAGTGAGTCCTCCAGTCTCCCCCCTGCAGCCCCTGGGGGGCCATGTCTGAGGTTCTTGCATCCTGGAATCATGGAGTGATGCTAATGGAAATGAGCCAGATCCACTTACCTCTGCAAGGTCTTTCTCACATCCTAGAGGGGAAAAGAGAAGGGAATTCACTGCACACCACAGGCCACACTAGGAAGACCCCTCAGACCCTGGCCCTTGAATGTCAGTCTGCCTGGCACATGGCAAGGTTGTGGGCAGGGATGGCGGAATCAATAAATTTTGGTTTCTCACAGCTTTTATTTATCCAATCTGAAATTATTAATTTTTCCAGTATCAAGTTCTCCACATTTCCACATCCGTTTACAATTATTTTTTAAGAATCCTTTTGAAAATTCACCAGCATTTTAGGAAAATTTCACATTTGTGGGTTCAGGAGAAGATTCCACCCCATGTCTTGTCTTAGATTATAATTTATTAACTTTGATCCCGTTTGCATTGTGCCATTCAGACGTAAGGAAGCCTACACGTTAATCCTACCAGGGAACTGTCCCAAATTGTCTTCCGCAGAAGTCCCCAAATTTCAAATTCTACTTTCCAAATGGAAATTTAAAAAGCACCTACAGCATAAAATCCCTCCAAAGGGTTAATAAAACAGCTCAGTGTTTCTTTGGGTTCATCCACACTTCTGCTTTTCCTGTGTCTAGAAAACACGGGTCCAAGAGGTTTTGCCTTTGCCCTGCCGCTTTCCCTCAGGGAAAACCTGCTCCTTAGTTCAACATTGAAGGAAACGTCAATCCGGAGAAAACCTGGCTGATGTTTGCTCTAATTCAGCAGTAAAGAGCAGGTTTTCCTGGAGGGACAAGCAGCAGTCTGGATGAGTCCCTCTGTCTTGCTCTTTGGTCACTGTGACTGAGCACCATTTTGGGCCGCTCTGTATCCATTGTGAAGGGGATCAACCAAGAAGTTGTGGAGGGAAGTGGAAAAGAAGCTTGGTCAAGAGACTGCCTCATGTCAGAAGGAGGCCTGAATCCTCACTGAAGCCCAGCCCAGGGCAGGAAGGCAGCATTGCCAAGAAGAAGGAATTTGGAGACCAATCATCAGCAAAGAGCAGAAAACCACGTCCTGTTCCATCAAGAACACAGAAGAATATCTAGTCTGCATTCAGGTGAGTTAAGCATCCCAGGTCTCTTGGGTCTTCCTGTCCATTACATACCTGACTAGAGGCTCCAACATCTGAGCCCCTGCACTCCTTGCATACATGAAAGAGACACATGAAGGATTGGAGGCAGCCTTTTCCTGGAGCCTTGGGCTGTTCCTGCCACCGTCTTACCTGCAGGAGTTCACTTGCTGGCTGCTGACTCTTCTCCTCCATCTCCTGGATGATCCTCTCAAGAGAGGAGAGTTTCCTGGAGAGTCTGGCCAGCTGCTCATCCCTTCTCCCTGCAATCTCCTTCTCCACCTCTTCCATATGATTCAGCAGACCTTTTTCTTGTTCTTCCAGGAACTGGCGCAGTTCGCTGAACTTCTCCACAATCTTCAGCCTCTCTGTTTCTGTTAATTTCTGCAAGAAAAGAGGAGGTCTGAGTGTGTTTGGTCCTTAGCCTCAAAACAGCAGAAACAAAATTGTGAGAATTCCACAGGGAGGACACTTCTGATTTTTCATAGACATGAAACCTTCAGTGGCTAAAGAAGTAAGCCTTTATTTTGAGGGGAGGCCTCTCCATTGCTGTTTCTGTTGACTTCTATTTTGCAGACGGATACAGCCTAAAGGAAGGAGCTCTTTTTTCCTAGCCATGGATTTTCCCTGCATGTTTTGGGGCATGGCATAACCAGAGTTCACAGTTGTTCAGAGAACATCCAGGGACATAAAACACCCCACAATTTAGGCTGGGGCCATTTAGGTGTAGGAAGGAACAGAAACAGAAACAGAGGAGTAGGAAGACAAAGTGCAGAGTTCATCCCCATAGCTCCCCTGTTTTCTTTAAAGGTTTTAAAAAGCCTGAGTTTCCTAAAAATGAACAAGAGAGCACATTTAGAATTCAGTTCTTTAGTAATATTTATGGTAAATCGGGATTTGGATTAATTTGCTTCCACCCTTTCAGCTCACAAGTCCTAAGGCTTCTTCTTGACTGCTATTCACATAATAAACGATAAGGGGAAATAAACTCAATTTAGCGGCATTCAAAGGTGAACTTACCTAATTCGCTATTGCTGAAAAAATATGGAGACCAAAACAGAGCTTTAAAATTCTGATATTTTCAAGCTTGACCCAGCCAGGTAATATTCACAAAAAATGTATTTATGAGGGTAAAATACAGATCAAAATATTTATACAAGGAGGTAGCTACCCTAACATCTGATTCATTTTCAGAACAATAAATTAATAAACAGACTGATATGAAAAATGAGAAATGAGGAGAAGCTGAAACAGGCAGATTTCCCCATCACTTCTCAGTCCTGATTCAATTCTTCTTCTTCTTCTTTATTGAATTTATATACTGCCCTATACCTGGAGGTCTCAAGTGCTTGTTCCCTGTCTAGTAACAACAGAGACACTTACAAGGAGGTCTTTGCTTTCCTTGTCCAGATCTGCTTGATGGGCCAGAATTTCCTCTCTCTCTTTCCTCAGAATCTCCAGGTGGTGACAGATCTCTCCCTAAAGAGAAAAGGAAAAATTCAGCTTTGATTGAGACACACAGAGAAATTAAAATCATAATGGCTTCTTGCGCCCAGTGGCCTTGCTAGAATAGCAAAGTAATTTCCTGGAGGAAATAAAAGTACAGAGGCTTTCAGCCTTTTTGGGTCCACGGCTCCATGGGTCAACTACCTTCATCTGCAGCACCCCTGTGGGGCTCAGGATCCCAGTTAGGTCCCCCCTTGCCTGCAGAGCTGGCAGCCCCTCACCCTTTCTCAAACACCCTCCCTTGTGGAGCGATCTCTCAGCCTCCTCTCCTTTCCTTGGGAGTCCCAGCCTGACGTCTCACCTTGAGGTCTCAGGGAGAAGTGGGAAGAGGAGGAGGAAGGGCTAAGGCAGGATCCAACCTGGGATGTATCAGTCTAGCATCAAAGAGATAGTGAGGTCAGCCCAAGAGACGAGAGATGCAGGGATAGACCAGAGCATCTCAAAATTTGGGGTGGGAGGAGATACTCAGCCCCCCCCTGCTGAAACATCATTGCAGAGGCTCCACGGCACCCCCAGAATAAGCCACCAGTAGGTTCTTCCACTCCCCACTCCCAAATCTGCTTCCAACAGATACTTGGGGGGTGGGATCCTGCACCATCTGGTCAATTCCTGGCTAACAGTCCCCCCCCAAGCTGATCCCTTGCTGCTCTCTGTTTTGCAGGGCATTGAGGAGGCATCCTGGTAACCAAAGGAGACATGTACTTAGTTGTCTATGTGCCATTTACATTTGTACTCTTCTAAATATGTACAAAGCAGCCTTGCTGGGGGATGTGGATGAGGTCAATCCTTTCTCTCCCTGCCAAGGTCCCAGTTCAAATCTTTGAAGCTGCTGTGAGTATTTCAAGATCCCCTTGTCCCCCTGGCAGAGAGAAAGACTTCAGCTCCCCCCTCCAGCCACCCCAGGAGCCCTCAGGCTTCCCCTGGGCTGCTTCCAAGGCGATAAACAACGACCAATCAATGCCATGTCTACTTTGGACCTGAGAAGTAAAAAGAAAACCTCCCAGGAAGAATCCACAGCTATTTATTTCTCCCCTCCAGATCCAGGGATCTCCTACCTTGTATTCCTCCAAAGCCTCCTTCAGAGGAATCACCTTGTGATTTTCATGTTCCTTCGATCTGTCACAAACCAGGCAGATGGGGGCTTCGTGGACTTTGCAGAAGAGCTTGAGGGGCTCCTGGTGATCCTCGCAGATTCTCCCTTTCCCTCCTTCCTCCTTTCCCTCTTGAAGGCTGAGATTCTGGGCTATTTCCACCATATTAGCCAGTTGCCGGTTGGAGACGAGGCTCCTTCTCTGGACTCTTTCTCTGCACTGGGGGCAGGAAGCCTCCGCCTCCGATTCCCCCCAGAACAGGACCAAGCAGGATCGGCAGAAGTTGTGCCCACACTCTGGGATGGTCACTGGATCCTTGAAGTAATCCAGGCAGATGGAGCAAGTGGCTTCATCACAGAGACGCTGGATGTGACCCCCTGCAGCAGCCATGGCTCCCTCGCGCTGAAGACTCAGTTAAGTTTCGCTTTTTCAGTTTTCAGTCACTGGGAGTTTCCCTTCCTGGAAATGACTCAGGGATCACATGATCTTTGCTTTTTAAACAAAACATGTCTCCAGATCTTTGTAGTTGCTGAATGTTTTCTCAAGTAGCAGCAAATGCTTCTGGATTGCTTCCCATGCTTTTAATTACACACAAACACACACGTACCTAGTAAGTTGTGGTATTCATACTGCAACATTTTTCATTCATAGGCTTCCTTGTCATTTTTGAATTGGGAGAAAATCTGCCTCTGCCCTAAATGGACAGGAGTTCAGATTTAGCAGGCGGGACTTGATTCCGTGAAGAGAACTCCTAAAAGTCTGGTTGCTAGTTCCAACTTTATCCCCTTTTAGCATGCTGGCAAAGAACTTCAGATTGGGACACACGCTTTCAGCCTTGCCAACCTGGTGCCCTCTGTTTGCTTAAGACTACAGCTCCTTTCATCCCTGGCCAGGACATCTGCAGGTATGGTTGGGAAGACCTTGCAGAGCCACTGCCAGTCAGTGGAGGCAAGACTGACCTTGATGGACCTGGCAGAAGGCACCATCTGCATGGCGGCAGCCCAGTTATGGCGTTCCTTCCCTAGATATGAATGCCTGGTACGACTTGGCTATTATTATTAATCGATATTACTACACAGTGTAAAGTCTTCCTATATTCCTAATAAAGCGTGGTGCCTTCCAATGGCTGAAAAAGCTGGAGGGCTTTAACAGGGGATTAGATACAATTCCTGGAGGATAAGATTTTGGTAGGGGTCACGGGTGGCGCTGTGGGTTAAACTACAGGGTCTAGAGCTTGCCGATCAGAAGGTCGGTGGTTCGAATCCCTGCAATGGGGTGAGCTCCCGTTGCTCGGTCCCTGCTCCTGCCAACCTAGCAGTTCAAAAGCACGCTAAAGCGCAAGTAGATAAATAGGTACTGCTCCGGCGGGAAGGTAAACGGCGTTTCTGTGCGCTGCTCTGGTTCGCCAGAAGCAGCTTAGTCCTGCTGCCCGCATGACCTGGAAGCTGTACACCGTCTCCCTTGGCCAATAAAGCGAGATGAGCGCCACAACCCCAGAGTCGGCCACGACTGGACCCAATGGTCAGGAGTCCCTTTACTTTGGTCATAATAACAGGCTACATCCAACTAAATCCTACTTAGGGCAGACCCTTTGAAATTAATGTTGGGATTTTTAATTCATTTCATTGAGTCTACTCTGCGTCTGAGTAGGACCAGCATCCGAGGCAACCGTGTGGGAGGGGGGAGGGAGGGAGAGAGCTATGTAAATTTACATAGCAGGAGGAGGGCAAACCTGAGAGCAAATGTAAAAGATGGGACAGCTGCATTTTCCTGCATTGCAGAGGGTTGGACTAGATGATCCTCAATAGGGTCCCTTCCAACTCTACAATACTACAATTATACTTTTCAAATTCATACATTTCATTAATTTTACAATCCATTTAACATTTCAAAATTTGACTTCCTTCCCCCACTTTCTGAGGTTCCTTAATTTTATTTTTTCATATCTTCTGCAGATTCAAATTCATTTAACTCATTTAATTATCTACTGTAAATACATGCTCTTTTTATCCTGCAGATAAAAACATTAGCAGGATTATTGTAAAAATAAAAACATTACAATCATCCTGCTAATGTTTTTTTCTGTTTACAATTTATCTGTAAGTATTCAAAAAATCATTACAGTGGAACCTCGTGTTATGCACCATCCCCCTTACGAGTGTTTCGGGTATCGAGCGCCACTAACCCAGAAGTAGGTGCTCCTGGTAGCAAACTTTGCCCCAGGATGAGAGCAGAAGTCGCGCACCTGTAGCACAGCAGCAGTGGGAGGCCACATTAGCTAAAGTGGTATCTCAGGTTAAGATATAGCTGTCAACCGTCCCTTATTTGGTGGGAAACTCCCTTATCCCAGCGCCATTTCCCACTGCTTTCCCTTATTGATGATGTCCCTTAAATTTCCCGCGTTTCATGCTCGCCCGGCTCAGGAGGGAAGCAGCGGCTTGGGGGCCTCTACCTCGAGAGAGAGAGAGAGCGCACGAGCTGCCGCCTTTTCCCCCTCAGGGGCGCGTCGTGAGGAGACGTGTGGCGGCAGGCAGGCAGGCAGCCCCTCTCTTGCAAGACCTCCGCTGCACTCCCAGGGGAAGCCGGAGGCGGCGGCGGCGGCGGCTGAGAAGGCAGCCTGAGGGAGGAGGAAGAGGAGGGGATGGGGAGGGATGCAGAAGGGCGGCGCTTCAGTGGCCGCCGCGGCACCACAGCCGCCTCATGCCGGGCTCGCGGGCAGCGTGGGCAAAAGTCTTTCTCCCTCCCCCCTCTCTTGGGCGGGGAAGGGCCGTTGGAACTCCTCGCGCCAGGACGACAGCAGCTGCTTAGCATCCTCTCCAACCAGTGCAGCATCTTAATGTAGTGATTTCCCCCCTGCATCCCTTTCATAACTCTATTTTTATAAATCATTTGTCCATCCATAGTTCAAATTTTTACTACAAGTTTTCTGTCAGTCCTACCAATGTATGTAACTCTTGGCAATAGCTTTTCAACTAAATTATAAACTTTCCCCATTCTTTATTAAAGAGGTCCTCTTCCTGGTTTCTAATTCTGCCTGTAAGCTTTGCCATCTCGACGTCGTTCATCAGTTTTGTTTGCCACTCTTCTTCAGTCGGAGTTGTAGACCCTTAGGATCATGTAGCCCAACCCCCTGCAAAACACAGTCAGTTGCAGCCAAAGCAGCCTGGCTCCATCAGTGGTGGATTGATGTATAAGCCAAGCAAAATCCCTTATTTTGGCTGCTGATCCCTTATTTTCGAGGCTACTGATCCCTTATTTCCAAATCTGTAAGTTGACAGCTATGGGTTAAGAATGGTTTCATGTTAAGGATGGTCCTACAGAACAAATTAAGTTCATAATTGGAGGTACCACTGGTATCTATCAAATTTTCATTAGGCCAGACATCCGTACGCTGTCAGTCATCTCTGGTGGCAGGTCAAGTCTGATATAGATCAAATGCAGAATACACTTACAGGCATACCTTGGGTTATAGACGCTTCAGCTTGCATTTTTTCGGGTTACAGACCGCCAGAAGTACCGGAATGTTACTTCCGGGTTTTGGCGGTCGCGCATGTGCAGAAGCGCTAAATTGTGCTTTGCAAATGCGCAGAAGACCAAATCGTAACCCGTGCATGCGCAGACGCGCTGCTCTGGGTTGCAGACGCTGCGGGTTGTGAATGTGCGTCCCGCATGGATCACGTTCACAACCCGAGCGTCCATTGTATTTCAAAACAGATGTTTTTGTTAGATGGCTAGTTTCTAGTTTCATTCTCGCCAGTTTAACAGCATAGCCATTAAAACAGTTAAAACAATTAAAACAATAAGATCAGGAAGTTCAAGCTCAGGGGAATTCTTGCTTGAACAGGCCTGTCTTCAAGAGCTGGCGGAATGCCAATACAGTGGTCCCTCGGGTTACATACGCTTCAGGTTACCGACGCTTCAGGTTACAGACTCCGCCAACCCAGAAATAGTACCTCGGGTTAAGAACTTTGCTTCAGGATGAGAACAGAAGTTGTGCTCTGGCGGTGCGGCAGCAGCAGGAGGCCCCATTTAGCTAAAGTGGTACTTCAGGTAAAGAACAGACCTCTGGAACGAATTAAGTTCTTAACCTGAGGTACCACTGTACTGATGATGCCTCTTGTATTTGAGTAGGGAGGGCATTCCTCAATAGGTAAAGAAACCCACCTCTGTGTTACTGCTAACTAACTAACCGGATTCTGTTAGCTGGCCATAGCGCCCTCACAGGGCAATGGTGGGGAAGACAGTTTTTCAGGTAACCTGGTCCAGCAGAACCATAGCTGTCAACTTACAGATTTGAAAATAAGGGACCAGCAGTCTCGAAAATAAGGGATCAGCAGCCAAAATAAGGGATTTTAGACAACCAGCTGAAATACGATGTTAAAAGGGACCAGATAATTTGGGAGAGCGGTGCCGGTTTTTAGCCCTTCGTTTCCAGATGTTGCTGTTCAAGACACCAGCTGATGAAACACTGCAATTAAATAACTACAAGCAGCAACCACTTTTCGCGCAAAACAAAGCCCAAGCTACGAAGATGCTGCTGCAGTTCTGTATCTTTTCTCTCGTGCTCCATCTGCAGCTCTCAGTTCCATCAGGCAGGGCGGGAGGAAGGGGGGGGAATAGTGCCCGAAGTAAACCCGCAGATCAGACCATCTATGCTAGTCTACCACTACAAATCTATGGGAGAAGCGCTTGCGGTCCTTCCTCCGCTTTCCCCCTCTATGGTTAGCCCTTGGGACACCTGCCCGCACCTCTGCCTCCTCTCTCTGAACTGCTTTCTCCATGGTTGCCCTTGCTCTCCTCTCAAGGCTCCTCAGCAATTCATAGGCCACGCCAGGCTGCCCATCTCATCCGGGTCCTTTGGTGGTGCAGCTGCAGTACGGCCTAGCGGGAGTGGCGGCGACGGGCAGAGGGGAGGCCCCAGGCAGAGACGCTCAGTTCGGCAGGCATGAGGAGGATGGCGGCGGAAGGGCCCAAGGCTCCCGTCAGTCCCGGCGGGGAGGGGCTCCCGGGGGCCATGGCTGGCGAGAGGAGGCTGGAGGGGGGCAGGCCGGGCAGCCAAGCAACACACTTGGAGCCTCCCTCCTCCCTGGCCAGCAGGGAGGGAGGGAGAGGAGCTGCTTCCTTTGAAACCCGGGACATTTAAGGGACATCATCAATAAGGAACAGCAGCGGGACACGGCGCTGGGATAAGGGAGTTTCCCGCCAAATAAGGGACGGTTGACAGCTATGAGCAGAACCCCACATTTTGTTGTCAAAAGTGGCAGATATCACTGGTTTGTTTGCTTGTTTGTTTCCCCCGAAGGACTTCTCGCCCCCAAACCTGACCCTGTTTCCTGGCTGGAAGAAGTAGAAGAACCATTTGTGCCGATCTCAGAGGAAGGGAAGCGATGGGCAGGGACCTGCTTAGGTGTGCGGTGACAACCTTTTCAGATGCCAAATTATATAATTTAGGTGCTAGAATTGATGGTTTGATGATTTACTTTATTTCTGCGTTCCAAAATCTTAATTGCTGTATTTTTCCGTCTGTGAGACACCCCCATATATAAGACGCCACTCGCTGCCAGCAACTGCCATTCGACTGAAGAAGAAGAAGAAGAGTTTGGATTTGATATCCCGCCTTTCACTCCTTCAGGAGTCTCAAAGCGGCTAACAATCTCCTTTCCCTTCCTCCCCCACAACAAACACTCTGTGAGGTGAGTGGGGCTGAGAGACTTCACAGAAGTGTGACTGGCCCAAGGTCACCCAGCAGCTGCATGTGGAGGAGCGGAGACGCGAACCCGGTTCCCCAGATTACGAGACTACCGCTCTTAACCACTACACCACACTGGCTAACCACTGCCCCCTCGCCACGGCGCCAGCCTATCAACAGCAGCCCTTGCCGCATGCACCAATCAACATCCCTACTGCCGCTGACAATCTCCTGCTCGCGGCAACAACCAGTCGCCAGTCCACCCTCGGCACTATCCGTGTATAAGACGCCCCCAAATTGTTGACATTATTTTTTTAGGGGAAAAACCTAGTCTTATACATGGAAAAATACGGTAATTTCAATTCTACTCCAGTCAAAATAACAATCCCTTATACAACAACTGAAATATTAACGACTTCCATTTGTATTAACACATTAAATGATTTATAAACCGACAAATTAGTTTTTCTAAGATGTGTTATCCTTGCATGTGAAAGCCACTCTTTCCTGTCATTTAATATTGAATATTCTGTTCCGTTTCCCATGTAATAAATATATCTTTTGCATGCCTGACCACCTTCGTATTAGGGTTTTATGTCTTTTTTTAAATGGCTATCTCCTTTTTTCTAAATTTCCTATTGGTTTTCAAAGGCCTCTGGCATGCTTCCTTGCTGTGATGCTTTAATAAATATTCCACACCCATTTTGTGAGTAGCATTGGGGCTCATTTCTCGTTCCAGCCTTTGGACCCCCAGAGGTGGGGGGCGGGCAGACCCACAGGGCTGCAGACACAATATATATTTAAAGTGTGTGGCTTCCCCCAGAGAAATCTGGGAAATGTGGCTTACAGTTCCCCGCGCCCAGAGCAAACTATGGAATATTAAGGGTATTCTCATTCTCATTCAGCCTTCATTGGCATAATTTAGACAATAAAATCAGAAAAGGGGGGGGGGACCAACCATACAACATTGGCAATCCAGACATATTAAACACATAAAACATATAAAAGACTCAGTAGCCACCATTAAGTAAAATTAAGTGGTTTTAGATTCGACTTTCAAAATCTCGGCTAAATATCCTGAAACAATTTCAGTTGTTTCGGGAATATCATTCCTCAACAGATATTGGATTACAGATTCTTTGCAAGTAGGTACTTGCCGATCAGGGGACACGGGTGGCGCTGTGGGTAAAAGCCTCAGCGCCTAGGGCTTGCCGATCGAAAGGTCGGCGGTTCGAATCCCCGCGGCGGGGTGCGCTCCCGTCGTTTGGTCCCAGCGCCTGCCAACCTAGCAGTTCGAAAGCACCCCCGGGTGCAAGTAGATAAATAGGGACCGCTTACTAGCGGGAAGGTAAACGGCGTTCCGTGTGCTGCGCTGGCTCACCAGATGCAGCTTGTCACGCTGGCCACGTGACCCGGAAGTGTCTCCGGACAGCGCTGGCCCCCGGCCTCTTGAGTGAGATGGGCGCACAACCCTAGAGTCTGTCAAGACTGGCCCATACGGGCAGGGGTACCTTTACCTTTACCTTTACTTGCCGATCAGAAGGTTGGCGGTTCGAATCCCCGCGACGGGGTGAGCTCCTGTTGCTCGGTCCCTGCTCCTACCAACCTAGCAGTTCGAAAGCACGTCAAAGTGCAAGTAGATAAATAGGTACCGCTCTGGTGGGAAGGTAAACGCTGTTTCCGTGCGCTGCTCTGGTTCGCCAGAAGCGGCTTAGTCATGCTGGCCACATGACCCAGAAGCTGTACACCAGCTTCCTCGGCCAATAAAACGAGATGAGCACCACAACCCCAGAGTCGGCCACGACTGGACCTAATGGCCAGGGGTCCCTTTACCTTACTTTGAGCTTCAAAGGAGTCGCCGGTAGGTCTCTGCGAAGAATGTCAAAGAGAGGGCAGTCCAAAATTATATGGTATATTGCAGTGCTTCCCCCCCCCAACAAAATGTTTAGGGGTATGCTTACCCCCAGAAAAAAGCACTTTTTAAAAAAACTTCCAGACAGTACAATGAGTGGAATGCATTTAAACTGGCTAAAAAAAAAACCTCTCTATAATACGAAGGGAAATCTAAAGTATAAAAATTGTTGGGTACCAATTTATCTCTGTATGTTTATCTGCGTAAGCAGATTGAGTTGGATAAAGTTTTTGAAATTCATGATCTAACAGGCTCTGCTTAATGCGAGAGAAAATATGTAACTCATCCAGTAAGAGGAGACTATTACAATCCCTATTTGTTTGAGTTTAAAGGTAATTCTGGAAGACAGTTCAACAACCGAAAACATTCGACAACCAAGGCTCAATTGCCGGTCAGCAAAATCCATTGAAAAATGGAGAAAAAATGGAGAAACGCACCTCAAAAACAGAAGCATTCACTTCCGGGTTGTCGGCGTTTGGGTTCTGAATTGTTCAGCTTCTGAAGCGTTTGACAACCGAGGTTCCACTGTACTAGGAGGCCGAGGGACCCAGAGAGGTTTGCAGCCGACTCCACCATCTCTGCCATCAGTGATTTTGGAGAAACCACTTGAAGCATCCATTGTGTCAAGCTACTTCAATTGCTTTTGTTCGGTTTGCTGAGGGCAAACAGCTGAAAGTCTGTAAATTTTGATAATCTTCTTTTTCTTCTTTGGCGATCACTCGCAGCTGAGTAAGATTGTCTTCCATAAACACGGTTTTAGCAGTGAGTCCGTAAGTGACTGTGGAGGCCAATTCTGGATCCACGTGTCCTTCCACAGTGGGGACATAGGTTTTTGTTATGTACTGAGTTGACTAGGATCCAAACTGCAGCAGTCTGATTGGTCCTAGAACAATAGGATCCAAATTGCAGCAGTCTGATTGGTCCTAGAACAATAGGATTCAGAATGCAGCAGTCTGATTGGTCCAAGAACAATGCAGCAGTATGATTGGTTGGCAGGAACCACCCAATCATGCTCCAGATATAAGTGAATCCACAACCTGATTGGCTTACAGTAGAATTCCTGAATTAACCAATCATGTGCAGCCCATTGTGTAAATAATGTATATAAGCAGATACTTTGAGGGGACTTTCATTCATTCCTCCTCACCACTATGAGCTGAATAAAGAGCATGAAATCACTTTGCGACTCTGAGTATATTTCAGGTTTCTGGGCGGGAGTTTCTCCCTTTCGTCCTGAGTTCAAGCGTCTTCAAAGCCCACGACACCTTTGGTAAAGGCCGTTCTCCAGTTGGAGCGCTCTCAGGCCAGTGTTTCCCAGCTGTAGGTATCTATACAACAAACTCCTCTCTCCCCCTGACTTGGGAGAGGCATGACAAGGGCAGAGCAAAGGGAAGTGGCTCACAGGCGTAGTCTCTGACTGGAGTGGGGAGATAGATGGCTGTGGGAAGGTGGGGATCTTTAATCTTGGCAACTAATTTCAAAGAGTAAGATCTACGTTTCTCCCTTTCGTCCTGAGTTCGAGCATCTTCAAAGTTCATGACACCTTTGGTAAAGACTGTTCTCCGATTAGAGCACTTGCAGGCCAGTGTTTCCCAATTGTCAGTGTTTATACTACTTTGAGAGAGAGAGATTTGCTTCGGATAATAAACCTGATTTGCAATGAGGGTTGAATCATTTTGATTGCCACTGTATACAAATGTCCACAACAACGGTCTTAATCCTGGCATGGTCAGGTCCAGTTGTGACAGACTCTGGGGTTGCGGCGCTCATCTCGCTTTATTGGCCGAGGGAGCCGGCATACAGCTTCCAGGTCATGTGGCCAGCATGACTAAGCCGCTTCTGGCAAACCAGAGCAGCGCACAGAAACACCTTCCCGCCGGAGCAGTACCTATTTATCTACTTGCACTTTGATGTGCTTTTGAACTGCTAGGTTGGCAGGAGCAGGGACTGAGCAACGGGAGCTCACCCCCGCCGACCTTCTGATCGGCAAGTCCTAGGCTCTGTGGTTTAACCCACAGCACCACCTGGGTCCCTTTTAGTAGCACCTTAGAGACCAACTAAGTTTGTTATTGGTATGAGCTTTCGTGTGCATGCACACTTCTTCAGATATCTGAAGATATACAGTGGTACCTCGGTTTAAGTACTTAATTCATTCTGGAGGTCCGATCTTAACCTGAAGCACCACTTTAGCTAATGGGGCCTCCCGCTGCCGGAGCACAATTTCTGTTCTCATCCTGAAGCAAAGTTCTTAACCTGTGGTACTATTTCTGGGTTAGCGGAGTCAGTAACCTGAAGCTTGTGAAGGTACCACTGTATTTGGTATCTGAACAAGTGTGCATGCACACGAAAGCTCATACCAATAACAAACTTAGTTAGTCTCTAAGGTGCTACTGGAAGGATTTAATTTTTTTTGTTTTGACTAGGCAGACAAACACGACTACCTCCCAGTAACTAGAACTAAGAAATGAAGCCAGGCTGCTGCCCGAGGCCATCTCACATATTCTCTTGAGATTCCTTTGAGCCGCCAACAAGGCAAAACTCCCATCTGTCAAATGCAAAAAAAAAAGGGGGGGAGCAGAGATCTGTCCAGGCAAGGGTTAAAAATGCAATGAACTCGATTCCTAGAGAGGAAAGGGGTTTGGGGACGAGGTCTTTGCCAAAGCGCCTCCTTCCGAAGCGCCTTCCTGCCTGCCTCTCCCTCCCCAGGGTGGCCTTGACTCGCCTTTGCCGCTGCCTCGAGGCGCCTCCTGCCATCCGGTGAGCTCCCCCTTTTGCGCATGGGGAGGGGGCAAAGGGGGGGCCCGGGAGTGGGATCGAGACAAAGGGAGGGGGCCCGGGAGGGGGCCTGCAGCCGATCCGCCCGGGATCTGTCACAAAAAGCCACCCGATCTGGGGAGGGAGGGGGAGATCCTTTCTCTGCCTTCCTGCGCGCAAAAGCGCAAAGCTAGCAGGCCATCCGGGAAGCGAAGCCTCCTTTGTGCTCCGGAGAGAGAGAGAGAGAGAATGGATTCTCCCCCCACATTTTGGCCTGAGAATCCAGGCAGGAGAATCCCCTCCGATGAAAATAGGGACGTCCTATTCTATTATTATTATTATTATTATTATTATTTACACCGCGCCCATCTGACTGCCTTACCCAGCCACTCTGGGCGGCCTCCAACAAACACACACACACACACAAATATTTTATAATAATAAAACATTAAACGTTTTTTAAAAATTCCCTATACAGGGATGTCTTCTAAGTTACTTATTTCCTTGCCTCGGGGGTCACATAATTCTGCACCCACCAACATTTCTCTGATGATAATAGGGACGTCCTATTCAATAATAATTATTATTTTATTTTATTTTCATACCCTGCCCATCTGACTGCGTTGCCCCAGCCACTCTGGGCGGCCTCCAACATAGATATAAAATATAAAAATATTTTATAGTAATAAAACATTAAACTTTTTTTTAAAATTCCCTATACAGGGATGTCTTCTAAAGGTTATATAGTTACTTATCTCCTTGGCTCAGGGTTCACGTAACCCCACCAACATTTCTGATGATAATAGGGACGTCCTATTCAATAATAATTATTATTTTATTTTATTTTTATACCCCGCCCATCTGACTGCGTTGCCCCAGCCACTCTGGGCGGCCTCCAACATATATACACATATATACATATACACACACACATATATATAATATTTTATAATAATAAAATATTAAACTTTTTTAAAAAATTCCCTATATGGAGATGTCTTCTGAAGGTTGTATAGTTACTTATTTCCTTGGCTCGGGGGTCGCATAACTCCACACCCACCAACGTTTCCCTGATGATAATAGGGACGTCCTATTCAATAATTTTTATTTTATTTTATTTTTATACCTCACCCATCTGACTGCGTTGCCCCAGCCACTCTGACCGGCTTCCAACATACAACAAAAAATATATTAAAATGTTTTATAATAATAAAACATTAAACGTTTTTTAAAACTTCCCTGTACGGGGCTGCCTTCAGATGTCTTCTAAAGGTTGTATAGTTACATATCTCCTTGGCTCGGGGGTTGCAAAGTTACTTATCTCCTCAGCTTCGGGGTTGGATAACTCCAACATTTCTCCAGTGGAAATAGGGACATCCTAAGGAAAAGCGGGACATTCTGGGATCAAATCAGAAACCTTGAAGGCTTCTGCAAATTCTGGACTGTCCCTGGATAATAGGGTCCCTTGGAGGGTCTGCAAAAGGAGGGGATCTTTGCAGACAAATCAAAACCAGCAGGTTTTTTTCATCTAAAGCCGTGGCTCTCAAAATCCAAATTTGTTTGAGGCTTTCTTTCTCTTTTTTCTTGACACTCTCTTTTATTTTAATTGTTTTTATTAAATATTTCCTTGGGTTGCAGAAGTACATACACCGTCTCTATTTTCAGATCATAAAGTCCTTTCAACAGATCAGTTATATTTGATGTGGGCCTTTAATGTATTTTTTATTTTTATTTTTAAAAATGCTTTTATTTTTGCTTGTTTCTAGTTGAAATAGCAACAGAGAGACCGTTCCATCTTTAATATATCCACAAGAGTCATTTGGTAAGTAGCCTTTGATTCCAGTACCCGGTGCTTTTTTTCTGGAAAAAAGGTGGGGGGGACTTGTTTGTTTGTTTGTTTATTGTGGGCCCAGTTGCAGTGCCGCCACTGCTCCCCACCAGTGGCTAAATGTAAGATGTAATTAATAAACTCAAGCAGACAAGGATGTGGTGACAACTTTATTGATTACAGATATAGGTGGATTTGGGGCTCAGGTATTTGGGTGTATATCCATTTCAGCACCCCCAGACAAAAGATAACAATTATTTAATTTTCAAAAGGTAAGGGAACTGAGTTCCCCACGTTCCTGCTAAAAAACAAACAAACCCTGAGTAATAGCATAAGTACCCTTTGATTTCAGTGTCCCCTTCCCCAAATCACTGTCCGTGACAATGCCTTGGTATCCCAGATCTTCCCTGTCTGGATAAGGTTGTCACAACGCAAAACATTTTAATTGTGTGGTTCTCAAAGTGTGTGGCAGGACAGGATGCCAAGTGGAGGATGGCAAGATAACAAGGACGATCAAATAAACATTTTAACATTTCTTCTTCTTTTTTGAATAACCAATTTTATTAGTATTTTCCACACAACAAGAACAACATGAAAAATAGTGAAAAATAACAATACACAAAACACAAAAACCAGCATACCAAAAAAACCCCAAATCCATACCTTACAAGTTAATAATATAAACACTAAAAAGAAAAACAAACATTGACTATCACCAATCCTACAGCACCTCCTTTACCTCTCATTATGTCTTCCTGTTTTCCTTATCATCTTTATCCTAGCATCTAGATATAAATCCCTCTTTCTTATCCTTTCACTTCACAAGGTTATTCCAGACTCAGCCAGATTTCTGTCCCCGAACCTTGGCTTTTAAGGTATTCATTTAGGTACTCCCATTCCTTTTTCACTTCACTTTTTGGTTTTTGTCTCATTATATCTGTCAATTTGGCTAATTCTAAATATTCCGAAAGCTTACATAACCACTCTCCCCTAGTGGGTAACTGGTTCCCTTTCCAATACTTAGCCACCAGGATTCTTGCTGCAGACGTCACGTATAAGAAAATTTTAGTTTTGTCTTTTGGAATATCATCATTTAAATTGAAATTTTGCAGCATGATCCACAAAGAAATAAAGAAAATACTAAGAATATCATATAGTAAAAGGTCAGAGGCATTCCTTTTAGGAATTTTAAATTTTAAGAAGAAGAAGAAGAGTTTGGATTTGATATCCCGCCTTTCACTCCCCTTAAGGAGTCTCAAAGCGGCTGACATTCTCCTTTCCCTTCCTTTCCCACAACAAACACTCTGTGAGGTGAGTGGGGCTGAGAGACTTCAAAGAAGTGTGACTGGTCCAAGGTCACCCAGCAGCTGCATGTGGAGGAGCGGAGACGCGAACCCGGTTTCCCAGATTATGAGACTACCGCTCTTAACCACTACACCACACTGGCTCTCATTTTAACATTTCAATGTGGCATAGTACAGTGTCGAAATGATTTATTTGCAGAATATGGATAGAAATCTTTTCAAAGTCTTTAACTGTAACAGAGAAACGTTCTGCAGTACATAAATATATAATACAGCAGAAAAGGTTTGAGTGGAAAAAAACATCGGAAGTGAAGATGGGAAGTCAATTTATGAAACAATGTACTGTATTTTTTGCTCTATAAGACGCACCTTTTCCCTCCTAAAAAGGAAGGGGAAATGTGTGTGTGTCTTATGGAGTGAATGCAGGCTGCGCGGCTATCCCAGAAACCAGAACAGCAAGAGGGAGTGCTGCGCAGCGCTCCTTCTTGCTGTTCTAGCTTCTGGCTTAGCCACGGGAAGCCTCCGCAGGGCACGGGGAGCCTTCATCCTGCTGCCCTGCAGAGGCTTCGCGGGGCTATCCCAAAGCCAGAACAGCTGGAGGGAGGGCTGCTCTTGCGGGAGGTGGGGGAAGGGACAGAGCCGCGCGCTCTGTCACTTCCCCCACCTCCCGCAAAAGCCAGGGATAGCCGCACTCACTTTAAAGAGCCACACGGAGTGTGTGTGTGGCTCTTGGGGAAAAGCCTGCAAGCGCCGCACACACGCTCCACGCGGCTCGTGAAAGGGAGCGCCGAACAGAGCCTGGGATGCATACATGCTCTGCTCGGCGCTCCCTTTAAATAATATTTTTTTTCTTGCATTCCCCCTCTAAAAGCTAGGTGTGCCTTATGGTCAGGTGCGTCTTGTGGAGTGAAAAATACGGCAATCATTTGAGATGCAGATTATTGTGAAAATGTTTGGGAAATTTAATACAAAATTATACACCAAACAGAAAAAAAGAAATCTTGCCGAAACCAAGTAATATTAGGAGCTGTTTCTTTTGTTTCCCCCCAATGCATTTCTTATCAATAAAACGTTTGGTGTAGCACGAGGAAATTTTCATACTGAAAATGTGCACCAGAGGAAAAATGTTTTGAGAGCCACTGCGCAAGACTTCCTGGCGGAAATGAACTGTTCAGATGGAAATGAATGCAGATTCACCGAGCCTTCCGACCCTAGCTACAGGAGCCCATCATCATCATCATCATTTATTATTTATACCCTGCCCATCTGGCTGGGTTTCCCCAGCCACTCTGGGTGGCTTCCAACAGAATATTAAAATACAATAACCTATTAAACATTAAAAGCTTCCCTAAACAGGGCTGCCTTCAGATGTCTTCCAGAAGTCTGGTAGTTGTTTTTCTCTTTGACATCTGGTGGGAGGGCATTCCACAGGGCAGGTGCCACCACTGAGAAGGCCCTCTGCCTGGTTCCCTGTAACTTGGCTTCTCGCAGTGAGGGAACCGCCAGAAGGCCCTCGGAGCTGGACCTCAGTGTCCGGGCAGAATGATGGGGGTGGAGACGCTCCTTCAGGTATGCTGGACCGAGGCTGTTTAGGGCTTTAAAGGTCAGCACCAACACTTTAAATTGTGCTTGGAAATGTACTGGGAGCCAGTGTAGGTCTATCAAGACCGGTGTTATGTGGTCTCTGCGGCCACTCCCAGTCACCAGTCTAGCTGCTGCGTTCTGGATTAGTTGTAGTTTCCAGGTCACCTTCAAAGGTAGCCCCACATAGAGTGCATTGTAGTAGTCCAAGAGGGAGATAACCAGAGCATGCACCACTCTGGCGAGACAGTCCGCAGGCAGGTAGGGTCTCAGCCTGTGTACCAGGTGGAGCTGGTAGACAGCTGGCCTGGACACAATATTTACCTGTGCCTCAATGGACAGCTGTGAGTCCAGAATGACTCCCAGGCTGTGGAGCTGGTCCTTCAGGGGCACAGTTACCCCATTCAGGACCAGGGAGACTCAGACCTCATTGGAGCACCTCATTTCGGTGTTTTCCGGGCGCTGCTTCTTGCTGGGGGTACTTCTGCTCATCCAAACTTTTGTTGGATTGGGGGAAGGGGGAGTTTGGCATTTTCAGGGTTAAAGCAGAGCTTGACAAGCCCAGGTAGGTAGCATCCCTAGTTAGAGACTGAATAGGAATGTAGGTGGATGGAGATGTGTTATGTTATCCATAGGATGTAGACAAAGAAAGGAAAACAAAATAGACAAGGCCGGGGCCAAGTTAGTGAAACAGGCAGGCATCTTGAAAATGGGTGAAAGCAATGCAGCTTCCATAGACAGAAGGAATATAGCGGATCTCAGATGCAGGGAAGAAATTATTTCAGGTTGAATAATGGAAAAAACACACACATTACAATCCTATCTGGGATACGGCAATGTCTGAGCATCTCGCCAGGCCCAAATCGAGATCTTGTGCCGACTACAGTGGAACCTCGGGTTACATACGCTTCAGGTTACATACGCTTCAGGTTACAGACTCCGCTAACCCAGAAAGAGTACCTCGGGCTAAGAACTTTGCTTCAGGATGAGAACAGAAATCGGGCTCCAGTGGCGCGGCGGCAGGAGGCCCCATTAGCTAAAGTGGTGCTTCGGGTTAAGAATGGTTTCAGGTTAAGTACGGACCTCTGGAACGAATTAAGTACTTAACCTGAGGTACCACTGTACTCAATATTCTCAGTAAAGTAATATGTTTGAATCTTGAATAATGGATAGGGGCTTAATCGTTTTTGTATCTGTTTAAAAAAAAACGAACCAAAAATTGTCTTTAAAAAAAACCAACCCATGACTAATCGAAGGGGAAAGTAGGTTTTTATCGTTAACGTAGGTTTGACGCCTGTGTGGATCCAATAATAAACTTTTGATTGTTTATTCACATCCCTCTTGCCCTCGTGTGTTCGTTGCATCTCCCTTGTGGTGGGCTACAGCTTCAAACAATAAAGTTTTGTTTATCCACTGAGACCGCCGATACAACTTTTTCTTATTTGGATCTGTTTCAATTTGCCTCTGAGACACAGACATGAGCGTCCCTTTTCCTCTCGCAGGCGATGGAGCTAGCAAGTCCTGGCAAGCTATCTCTTTCCGGAAATGACCTTCCCTGAGCCCAAACAGTTCTCTCTCCTTGAGAACGCCACTCAAGAAGGTTTTATTAAATTACGAGAATAATGTTCAGCAATCCGCCTTTTTTATGTAGCTGGCTGATAATCTGATCTACAAGGATGAACTGTTCCTTTCCTCCCCAGTGTCCTTTGAGGACGTAGCTGTGCTTTTCACAGAAGGGGAATTGGCCTTGCTGGATCCTGACCAGAGATCTCTGAATCAGGGAGTCATGGAAGAGATCTATGGGACTGCGGCCTCTCAGGGTAAGCAAGCAACCCGTTTAGATCAAAGTACCTATTTTTGAAATTTCTGTATGTTATTAGCTCAGGGGTTCTTAATCCACTGCAGTTCAAACTTAACTGTCTATCTATTGTGTTCTCTCTGAATATACCCCTCCAGTTGACCTGACTGACTAGGCCAGGCCTTTTGAAATGCAAGTTTCTGATTTGTTCGGTGGGTGAAACAAGTAATTTTCAATGAATATTAATTGGAAAATACATCTTGTGTATTAAATTTGTAATTTTTTGAAATTTGTAAATACATCGTTTTTTTTTAAGTTTTTAAGGATTGTAGGTTTGCCATATTTCAAAAAGTGGTTGACCTTTTCTTGCTAAATCTCCAAATAAATTGAAGTTTTTGAGCTTTAAAAAAGTAAATTCACCCAAAAATCTTCACTTCCGACATGGTTTACCATACCTCTGGGTCATTTCAGCGATTTCCGGATATTCCACCTGGAAGCTAGTTTCTTTTTTTTTAAAAAAAGTTTTTATTTATACTTTTCAAATTTATACATTTGAGAGTTTGACTTCCTTCCCCTCTTTCTCCGGTTCCTTAAATTTATTTTTAATATCTTTGCATATTAAATTCATTTAATTTGCTCATTTAATTATCTACTTTCAATATTTACTCTTATGAAACAGCAGGTTATTACAATAATCCTGCCAGTGTTTTTTATCTGTTTGCAATTTATCTGTAAATATTCAATAAACCTTTTCCATTTTTTTATTAAAAGTTTGTTATCTTGATTTCTTATTCTTCCGGTAAGTTTTGACATTTCTGCATATTCCATAAGTTTTTTGTATCCATGTTTCCTTTGTTGGAACTTTTGCTTCATTCCATTTTGGAGCAAGTAGCATTCTCGCTGCTTTAGTCGCATACATAAATAAATTTCTATACAATTTAGGTCAGGCACCCTCAAACTCAGCCCTCCAGATGTTTTGGGACTACAACTCCCATCATCCCTGACCACTGGACCTGTTAGCTAGGGATGATGGGAGTTGTAGTCCCAAAATATCTGGAGGGCCGAATTTGGGGATGCCTGATTTAGGTAGTTCTGTCCCTATAATTCCCAAAAGAAAAGCTTCTGGGTTGTTGTTTTTAAAATAAAAGTTATTTTGAACATCCTTTCAATTCCTTATATATCATTTCCCAGTAAGCTTCAACCTTGCTACTACGTCAGTGATTTGAGGCTCTATTTCTTCCTCAGGCTCTTATCAGTTTCTCTCTTCATTGCAGAAGGTGATCTATCTGAAACAGAAAATAATGGAGAACAAGATGTGACAGAGACAGAGGGAAAAGGCAGCTGTACTGGAGAGAAACCATACCGATACATGGAATGTGAGAAGAACTTTGGAGAAAACTCCACCCTCTCTTCTCATCAGGAAATTCACCCGGAGGATGAACCATACCGGTCTTTTGAATGTGGAAGGGACTTTGGAGATGATAGCCTTTCTCCTCCTCCTCCTCCGATAATTCCCACGAAGGAAAAACCTTACAACTGCAAGGAATGTGGAAAGAGCTTCTCTCGGAAGTTACGTCTGACTAATCATCAGAGAATTCATACAGGGGAGAAGCCGTTTCAGTGCCTGGAGTGCGGCAAGTGTTTCATACACAACTGCAGCCTGTCGTACCACAAGAGGATCCACACCGGCGAGAAACCCTACAAATGCTTGGAGTGTGAGAAAAGCTTCACTCGGAAGATCATTCTCACCAATCATCAGAGAGTTCACACCGGCGAGAAGCCGTACAAATGTTTCGAGTGCGGAAAGAGTTTCACCCGGAAGGTGATCCTGGCAAACCACCAGACGATTCACTCCGGGGAGAAACCGTACAAGTGCTTGGAATGCGGGAAGAGCTTCACTTTGAAGGTGCACCTTACCGCACATGAAAGAATCCACACAGGGGAGAAACCCTATAAATGCCTGGAGTGCGGAAAGAGCTTCAGTCGGAACTCCAACCTCGCTTACCACCGGAGAGTCCACACGGGGGAGAAGCCCTATAAATGCCTGGAGTGCGGAAAGGGCTTCAGAAACAGCACGAACCTGACTTACCATCAGGAAATCCACACCGGGGATAAGCCGTATAAGTGTTTGGAGTGCGGAAAGTGCGTCAGACGGGCGGCGGATCTCGTCAACCATAAGAAAATCCACACCCAGGAGAAACCCCATATGTGCTTGCACTGCGGGAAGTGCTTCACTCTGAAGAATTACCTCAGACGTCATCAGAGAATCCACACGGGAGAGAAACGGTATAAATGTTTTGAGTGCGGGAAATGCTTCACGGAGAAGACCACGCTCACGAAACACCACCGAACTCACACAGGGGAGAAACCGTACGAATGCATGGAGTGTGGGAAAACCTTCACACAGAGCTACTCTCTCAGCCTCCATCAGAGAAGTCACACCTCCATGTTTGGAGTGTGGGAACAGCTTTCTTCGCAGCTCCAGCCTTTGTTCCCGCCACAGAATCCGTACAGCGGAGAACCGATATAGATGCTTGGAAATAGCTTCAAGAAAAGTCTCGCTTTCCCATCAAATACTTCCCGGAGCAGAGAAACCATAGAAATGGTAGCAGAGACCTTACGAAGAAGCAGAAACTTCAGTAATCAAAGGATAGACAGTTGGGGGTTGAGATTATATTAAAGCTTTGGAGTGCGGGAAAAGCTTGGGTAAGAATTCTCAAAGGATAGGATCCATATAAAGGCCAGAAAAATTGAAATCCTTCCACCACATTCATCTTCCCAACTCCCCCTCAGCCACCAGAAAATTCATGTAGCTATCAGATTTTGACTGTCGGTGCTTTGAAGCTGCAAAGAGCTTCAGAAAGTTTCAGCCTTACCTGGCGTTAAAGAGTTCTCGCAGGGAGGAAACCATATAAACGCATGTGAAAACGAGGACTTTGATTTGCAAGATGTCGGTGACCAAACAGGATCCAAGAAGCTAAAACAACCCCCCAAAACAACCCACCTGGAAAGTTTTATTTTAAATACATTCAGCAGAAGAACAATAGGTGCAGTTTTGTTTATGAACCATGGAAGTATAGAAAGGGAGAGCAACTGCAAACTATATATAATTGAATTTTGGGGAAGGGAAAGATAAAAGGAACTGTGGGTAAAATAAAACACGATGAATAAAAAGGGAAAGCGAAGACTGAAATAAACTGTATTAAGATAACCTGGTGAAGCGGCTGTTACATGGAAAATTAAAATTGACTGTGACTTCACGGGGGTCACCTAAACTCCCAACAGCCCTCTCTTTAAAGCTTATGTAACTGCCCTAGCTACATACCCCCTTAGTTTAAAAGAAGAATATCCCTAGTATCTAGAATGCGATTCCGTGGGGAAAGGCTCTGGCGGTTTTAGATGCTGATAGTAGATATAGAAATAGAATAAGGAAACTGTATATAATCGAAAGGTTTGTGAACTGAATCCCCCGCCTCAGAGGCCATCTTGTGGGCAGGGGACATTCTGGTCTTATTTTTCCTGGTGGAGTTTGGAGAGGTCGGCGTGTGAATATCCCAGCATCTCCCCAAAGATCAAATGGGGGAGCAAAATCTGTGGGAATGTGAATTTTGGGAGGCCTCTCCACCTTATGCTTAGGCTGCATATATATGTAAATAAAACCGTATATCCGAAACACAGCACTGTCCCCAATTCGTCTTAATGCTCTTACACATTTTAAAAATGTCTTAAGTAATCCTTTTCTAATGTAGACAGAGAATCGGATGTCTTCCCTCTTTATCTTTGGTGTTTCTTATAGCATGGGTAGGCAAACTAAGGCCCAGGGGCTGGATCCGGCCCAATCGCCTTCTAAATCCAGCCCACAGACGGTCCGGGAATCAGTATGTTTTTCCATGAGTAAAATGTGTCCTTTTATTTTAAATGCATCTCTGGGTTATTTGTGGGGCAGAGGAATTTGTTCCTTATTATTATTCAAAATATAATCCGGCCCCCCCACAAGGTCTGAGGGACAGTGGACCGGCCCCCTGCTGAAAAAGTTTGCTGGCCCCTGCTTATAGCTTTGCTCTCCTCCCTCCCTTCTTTTTTCCCTTTCCCTCTTTCCTCTCTTATATTCCCGATTATGCTTGTTCTAGATATTATTTTATTGTATTGTGAAAACTTTAATAAAAATCCATTTTAGAAACTTAATTCACTTCCACCTTTTTGCCGGGCTTTTTGTTTGTTGTTTTTGATCATTCCTGCTCCAAAATTAGTCTCCCTCTCCTGTGTTTCTTAAGCGATGCCCACACATGCGGTTACTATTGGATTTTGGGCATTACAGCTGGAGATCAAGGGGAGCATAAGGAATTGTTGAAGTTCACCCTTCCCTTTCATAGGACTTCCAGTTGCTCAGGCAGAGATCTAGTGGCGAGGTGAGATGGCTTTGATACAAATCATTTGGCGCTTTCGGGAGGGCATTCCACAGAGGAGGGGCTGCCACTGAAAAGGCCCTGTCAACACCAAGTGGGTGGCACTCCCTAGTGGCACTAATGTGTCGCTCTTCAGGTCCGAGATGGTTGATATTGGGAAAGGCCCCTTTTCAGGAACATGTTTCCCAAGCCATTTAGGGCTTTATCTTTTTTCCCTTCTTCTTAGGCAATCCCTTGTAGCTAAGATTGTCTTCCATGAACACAGTCTTGACAGTGAGTCTGTAAGTGACTGTGGAGGCCAATTCTGGATCCACACATCCTTCCACAGTGGGGACATAGGTTTCCGGGTGGGAGTTGATCCTAGTGAGGGTTTGCAAAGTGTGCCTTCCTCTTAGCACATTTCTCCCTGAGTGATGGGCCCTATTGAGGTGTGAGATGATGGGATTTCTGGGTGGGGGGAATGGGGACTGAACATTCACAAAAATGCTAAAACGGCTTGGAGTCTTCTCTGCCAGCTTCCTCCTCCTATTTTTGTAGTCTGATTCCTCAGAAGAGCACCTTACCTGTTTCCCCTGGAGGTCTGGTGGCAATCTCTCATGGGTGATGTCCCTTGGGATGTCCCTTGGGGTCCCTTCCAACTTTAAGATTCTATCCTTAAAACCGGAGTATCAGAAAAGGGTGGAATAAATTTAATGATTATTTAGTTAAATTTGTTAAGTTAAACTAACTGAAAATAGCTTCAGATACTTAATGGGCTTAGGATTTTATTTATGTTAAGTGATGAATTAATATGTTCAATTCCATAAGGTGAAGATCTAAGGATGTTAATGTTTAAGTTAAATTTCATAAAAATTGGGATTTGGAAAACCGTTAAAAAGACATGCAATGAAATTCAACCAAGGGGAAGCGAGGAAGTCACTTAACAAAGTTAATAACCGTAATTTTCAGTAAGGCTATGTTTTATGTTTGTTTGTCTTGTGTGTTTGTTTTTTGTTTATAATATTGTGAAAACTAATAAAATTTTTGGAAAAATAAAAATAAAACCATGGCACCCAGAACTGGACACACCAAGGCAGAACAGAGTAGAACAAGGATTTCCCTTGATCTGGACACTGTACTTTTGGGGATGCAGCCTAGAATAGCACATTCTAGGGCAAAAGATTCCTGCATTTTGGGGCTGGGGCTGGACTGGATGTTCCGGCTCTGCAATTCCATGATTCATTGTCCCCTTGGCTCTTTTGCTTTCGAAGGAATGCAAAGAGACATGATACGATAATCTTTATTTTCATTGTCCCATACAGAACAACTAAACTGGGAAAAAATATCTACATAAGACATTCAAAACCAACAGGCCTGCTATCCCAACCCGGTTAGCTCCCTAAAAACTCAGATACCCCATTTTTAAAATACAATATACAGTGGTACCTCGGGTTACAGACGCTTCAGGTTACAGACTCCGCTAACCCAGACATAGTACCTCGGGTTAAGAACTTTGCTTCAGGATGAGAACAGAAATTGCGCGGTGGCAGCAGGAGGCCCCATTAGCTAAAGTGGTGCTTCAGGTTAAGAACGGACCTCCAGAACGAATTACCGTATTTTTTGCACCATAACACTCACTTTTTTCCTCCTAGAAAGTAAGGGGAAATGTCTGTGCGTGTTATGGAGGGAATGCCTACGGGTGGCATGCCTACGGATTTTCCTCCTCTAAAAACTATGTGCGTGTTATGGTCGGGTGCGTGTTATAGAGCGAAAAATACGGTAAGTTTTTAACCCGAGGTACCACTGTACTCCCATAGAGCATAGCTGTCAACTTTTTGCTTTTCTTGCGAGGAATCCTATTTGGAATAAGGGAATTTTCCTTTTAAAAAGGGAAACGTTGACAGCTATGCCATAGAGACTCCTTACACTATGGTTAAACCACAGAGCCTAGGACTTGCTGATCAGAAGGTCGGCGGTTCGAATCCCTGTGACGGGGTGAGCTCCCATTGCTCGGTCCCTGCTCCTGCCAACCTAGCAGTTCGAAAGCATGTCAAAGTGCAAGTAGATCAATAGGTACCTCTCGGGCAGGAAGGTAAATGGCGTTTCCTTGCGCTGCTCTGGTTCGCCAGAAGCGGCTTAGTCATGCTGGCCACGACCCAGAAGATGTATTCTGGCTCCCACAGCCAGTAAAGTGAGAGGAGCGCCGCAACCCCAGAGTCGACCACGACTGGACCTAACGGTCAGGGGTCCCTTTACCTTTACACTGTGTTTAAAACCAAAATCGCATTTGGATAGAAACTTTCTCAGGCAGCTAGTCCTAGTCTTAATAACCCTTTACCTTCTTCCAGAAGCCGAAAGAGATCATTTCCGGGGTGCGCACTATCCTGCGCTATCTCTGCCGCTTTCTTATGGCACCTGGCAGCATAGATTTGATCTAAGGTGGGAAGAGGGAACCCAATAATTCTCTCTGCAGTCTTTACAACCCTGGATAGCGCTGTTTTTCCCCTGGCTGTGCAGCTCCCAAACCACACGCACAGACCATATGTTAGTACGCTCTCCACAGTGCAATAGTAGAATGCCATCAACAGGTCCTTTGAGAGATTGTTTTTCCGGAGGATTCTCAGAAAATATAACCTCTGCTGTGCTCTCTTCACCAGGTCTTGGCTGTTTTCTCCCCAGGTTAGGTCATCTCTCAACTCCATTCCCAGAAATCGAAACACCACCTGTTCCACGCACTTCCCCTCAATAATGAGTGGCTGAATATTCAATTTACATTTCCTAAAGTCCACAATAATCTCTTTTGTTTTCTTTTAAGTTAAGGAGTAAGTTGTTTTTCCTGCGCCACTCCCCCAACTGCTCAATTTCCTTCCTATAGGCCGCCTCCCCATCTCAGGCTGTGATCAAGCCAACCACCATTGTATCATCTGCAAACTTAATGATCTTATTACTGGGGTATTTTGGGGAGAGGGAAGGTCTTCTCCTCAGTTCGGTGCTGTAAGGGTTAAAGTGAACCGGATGCATGCAGAGGGAGGAGATGTGGGGGAGAGGAGGAGGAGGAGGAGTTAGAGGTGGGGCCTTGGGGGGGAGGTAAAGCACCTCTTTCCAGTCCGCATTCTCACGAACGGGGCAAGACGCAAAGCAGGAGCCTTTGTCTGACCCGTGTTCTGCACCAGCATCCATCTGAACCTGGTGAGTGTCCCTGATTTGGGTCGAAGGGGTTTCCCTGGCCAGTGGGGAGGGTGCACCGGAGGCCTCTGCAGATGATCTAAATTGGGGACACCCCCCCCTAAAAAAATAAACAACCCCACGCCCAGGTCAGGGAGCGGCGCGCCTTGATTTCTTCTTATCTGCACAGCCATGGGGAGGCGGGGATTTTAAAGCCGATCTGCAAGGCTGAGCTGCGCCATCAAGGTAATCGGGCACCGACACGCGTCTGCGCCTTCACACGTGACAGCAAAGGCGCGAGGCTCCGGTGGGAGCTGAGCGGGTTGCGTTGTTAGGAAGGCTCTTAGGGGGTGTCGTGGCGCGCCGCTTCCTGCGTCCGTGCAGGTGGGAGGCATGCGAGAGGAAACCAGCCCGACCGGTTCCTTTGTGAAGGCGAAGGTAGCTCCCCGCCTGTGAATGGCCTCGGATCTGCAAGTGCAAAGAGGTTGCCATGGAGACCAATGCGTGGGATGGGGGGGGGGAGAGTGCGCCTTCTCAGGTGCAGAACAATGGGTCAACGTGGGTGGTCCGCTTAGGTGAGCTGGGAGGGGAGATGCTGGAGGGAAGATCCCCCTGGATCCCAAATGCTCAGATTACAAGATTACAAATTAGATGGACTTACAATATGCAGTTTTAAAAGTTACTGGTTTTCCTGGGGCCAGCCTCCTTATGGGAATGTTTCTGTCCAGCATTTGTAGGGTTAAAGTGGGGTTAGGAACCATAGATGATAAAGACAGGATGGTTAATTGGGTTGCATTGGAGGAAATACAATTTAAAATTATGATTTATATGGATCGAGAAAGGAAGATTAATTTGATTCGCTGGGGAAATGTCAGGTGAATGTCTAAACAAGAATGGGACATGCAGAGCCGGCGGGGAAAGGAATGAATGGGAAAGTATTAGAAATTAAGGGAAAGTGTTTTACTACGAGCAGCAAAGGAGGGAGAGAAAAGAATCCTATTTTGGTGGGGTGGTGGAAAGTCAATTGTTAAATTGGTGTTAAATTCCAAATTGATTTGTTGTTAATTTGTTTTAGAATTTGGAAAATGAATTAAAAATGAATTGGAAAGAAAAGGAACCATAGATGATTGCAACCTTGTATGATTTTTGTTGTTGTTTAGTCGTTTAGTCGTGTCCGCCTCTTCGTGACCCCCTGGACCAGAGCACGCCAGGCACTCCTGTCTTCCACTGCCTCCTGCAGTTTGGTCAGACTCATGTTTGTAGCTTCGAGAACACTGTCCAACCATCTCGTCCTCTGTCGTCCCCTTCTCCTTGTGCCCTCCATCTTTCCCAACATCAGGGTCTTTTCCAGGGAGTCTTCTCTTCTCATGAGGTGGCCAAAGTATTGGGGTCTCAGCTTCAGGATCTGTCCTTCCAGTAAGCACTCAGGGCTGATTTCCTTAAGAATGGATGCGTTTGATCTTCTTGCAGTCCATGGGACGCTCAAGAGTCTCCTCCAGCACCAGAATTCAAAAGCATCAATTCTTTGGCGATCAGCCTTCTTTATGGTCCAGCTCTCACTTCCATACATCACTACTGGGAAAACCATGGCTTTTACTATACGGACCTTTGTTGGCAAGGTGATGTCTCTGCTTTTTAAGATGCTGTCTAGGTTTGCCATCGCCTTTCTCCCAAGGAGCAGGTGTCTTTTAATTTCGTGACTGCTGTCACCATCTGCAGTGATCATGGAGCCCAAGAAAGTAAAATCTCTCACTGCCTCCATTTCTTCCCCTTCTATTTGCCAGGATGTGATGGGTCCAGTGGCCATGATCTTCGCCTTGCATGATACATGAATGTAATGGTGGAATGCAGCTAGTGGGCTTGGAGAAGTGGTGTGTTTTCCCCAGGCTGATAAGAAAGGGACAAACACGGCAAATCAAAGGGAGAAATAAGCTTTAATCAGCAACGTGGGTTTTATGCAGGTGAAAGATGGAAGAGCAAGAGACGGATGCCGCTGAAGAAGGAAGAGGCGCCGATCCCATCAAAAGCGAGAGCAGTGAGGGATTCTGGGAAAGGAACACACAGGGGATCCTGGGTAAAGAGGACGCCCTCAGCTCAGGTGCTCAGCACCAGGATTTCAGGCCGATCCACTACCAGGAGGCCAAGGGACCCCGAGAGGTTTGCAGCCGACTCCACCATCTCTGCCGTCAGTGGCTGAAGCCGGGGAGACACACCAAGGCTCAGATCCTGGATTTAGTGATCTTGGAGCAGTTCCTGGCTGTCCTCCCCCCGGAGATGGAGAACTGGGTGAGGGAATGCGGAGCAGAGACCAGTTCCCAGGCGGTAGCCCTGGCCGAAGGTTTCCTCCTGAGTCAGGCAGAGGAGAAGAAGCAGGAAGAGCAGCAGGTGAGAGCATCTCAAGATCTTGTGATGGCCTTCAGGTGTTTTTGAACTAAACCTCTCATTGCCCCTGAGCAACGTTGAGGTGGGAATATTGGCTACTCCTGGTCCAGAAAGTCCCAACAGACTCTGAAAGAGAGGGAGGGCAATATTACGGACAAAATGGAGTGACTTAAAATATGGACTACTGAATAATATGCAGTTGAAAAGGTTGACAACAGGGAATAATAATAATAAAATAATAATTTTTATTTATTCCCCAGCCAGAGCCGGGCTCAGGGTGGCTAACACCAATAAAATTACAGTAAAAACATAATAGGGAAAAAAACTAATTTAAAATGCAGGTTAAAATGTAATTTAAAATGCAGCCTGATTTTAAAAATAGCCCATAGATCAAAAACCGTAAGGGGAGGGAAACATAAGGGTCAGACTGAGTCCAAACCAAAAGCCGGGGGAACAGCTCTGTCTTGCAGGCCCTGCGGAAAGATGTCAGGTTCCGCAGGACCCTAGTCTCTTGGGACAGAGCGTTCCACCAAGTCGGGGCCAGTACTGAAAAGGCCCTGGCCCTGGCTGAGGCCAATCTAACCACCTTGTGACCTGGGACCTAGGAAAGGTGGGAAGTCCAGAGATTTGAAGGAATCTCTAAATATGGATATGTATTTTGTTTTGTTATGATTTTATATTTGTAAAACCAAATAAAAATTATTTCAAAAAAAGAGATGGAGGGAGGGCACATCCCAAAAACCTCTACTTTAATTCACCAACATTCTCTGGAAAATCTTCCAAGTACTGCTCATGTTTTCCCCTGTGTCATTCTGTTTTCTAATACATCTCATTCAATGTCCTCCAATCCTTATCGCTCTTTCAGGTAAAGGGTCTGCTTGCAGAAATGAGAAGCAATTTCCCCGACGCAGAGAGATCTCCGTTGGGTGTCAGAGAGAAGCCACTGGGTAAGGATCCATCGGCTGTGTCTCCATATGGTCTCCCTCTGTTGGTTTTGAAAGGGATCCGTGGCCTTTTTTGATCTGGCGAGGGAAGAGAGTTCAGTGTGCACGCAGGAAATAAACAACTACAGTGGTACCTTGGTTTAAGAACAGTCCTGTTAAAGAACGATTTGGTTTACGAATGACTGCAAAATCAGAAGTAGTGTCCTGGTTTGCGAACTTTACCTCGGTCTAAGAACGGAATCCGAACAGTGGAAGGGCACCTCATTAGGGAAAGTGCACCTCAGTTTAAGAACGGTATTGGTTTAAGAACGGACTTCTGGAACGGATTAAGTTTGTAAACCGAGGTACCACTCTACAGTGGTACCTTGGGTTAAGTACTTAATTCATTCCGGAGGTCCGTTCTTAACCTGAAACTCTTCTTAACCTGAAGCACCGCTTTAGCTAATGGGGCCTCCTGCTGCCGCCGCACGATTTCTGTTCTCATTCTGAAGCAAAGTTCTTAACCCAAGGTACTATTTCTGGGTTAGCGGAGTCTGTAACCTGAAGCGTATGTAACCCGAGGTACCACTGTATCTGATTTTCAGAAGACATCTGAAGGCAGCCCTGTATTGGGAAGTTTTTAATGTCTGATGTTTTATCATGTTTTTAATATTCTGTTGGGAGCTGCCTACAGTGGCTGGGGAAAACCCAGCCAGATTGTTGTTGTTGTTGTTGTTTAGTCATTTAGTCGTGTCTGACTCTTCGTGACCCCATGGACCAGAGCACGCCAGGCACTCCTGTCTTCCACTGCCTCCTGCAGTTTGGTCAAACCCATGCTGGTAGCTTCGAGAACACTGTCCAACCACCTCGTCCTCTGTCGTCCCCTTCTCCTTGTGCCCTCCATCTTTCCCAACATCAGGGTCTTTTCCAGGGAGTCAGCCTTCTTTATGGTCCAGCTCTCACTTCCATACATCACTACTGGGAAAACCAGAGCTTTAACTATACGGACCTTTGTTGGCAAGGTGATGTCTCTGCTTTTTAAGATGCTGTCTAGGTTTGTCACTGCTTTTCTCCCAAGAAGCAGGCGTCTTTTAATTTCGTGGCTGCTGTCACCATCTACAGTGATCATGGAGCCCAAGAAAGTAAAATCAAATAATAAATTATTATTGAGCAACCGAGTTTTATTCATTCCCTCCACAACAGAGAAGAATGGCTGCCAATGCCCATCTGTGCTTAGACATGCTTTCATTCGCCTCTGAGATAAGCATGAGCCAATGGCTTCACATAACCTTTGTCTCTCACAGGTGATGGGATGAAGCTGAGAAGATCTACTCAGACATCTCTTCTTTGGGGAGGAGAAGGAGCTGTTGCAGAACCAGATCAGGTAAGGCAGGAGTGGGGACTGCATTCTCATCTGTGTAACATTTGGGGTTTCACATGCCAGATGTAAAAATGGATGAAGTTAGTTTGTATATACCAGTGGTGGCGTACCTATGGCACGTGCGCCATTGGCCCATCCGCGCTGTTGTTTTGTTGTTTTCTTCTATTTCTGCTCCTGCTCCTTCCCACACTACTGCGTGCGTCCGCTGCTTAAACCCGGAACTCTCCCCCCCTTTTTTTTTCTTTTGGTCAGTAGCTGGTGATTATGTTCCGCAATTGGTCTATTTTTCTTTCTTCTTTCCTTTTTCAAAATTTTTATTAATTTTCCAAATTTATAACAAACATCAAAAAACAAACAAACATAAATCCTAACTGTAATTCCACTTTTGTTAACATTTTTAGGTGACTTCCTCGAATCCCCCTAGCTGAGGTGTGGTGGTTAAGAGCGGTGGACTCGTAATCTGGTGAACCGGGTTCGCGTCTCCGCTCCTCCACATGCAGCTGCTGGGTGACCTTGGGCCAGTCACACTTCTCTGAAGCCTCTCAGCCCCACTCACCTCACAGAGTGTTTGTTGTGGGGGAGGAAGGGAAAGGAGAATGTTAGCCGCTTTGAGACTCCTTCGGGTAGTGATAAAGCGGGATATCTAATCCAAACTCCTCCTCCTCCTCCTCCTCCTCCTCCTCTTCTTCTTCTTCTTCTTCTTCTTCTTCTTCTTCTTCTTCTTCTTCTTCTTCTTCTTCTATGTATATCATTGTAACAGTTTTCCAAAACTAATTTCTCATAAAATTCACTTAATCAATTAACATCTTTCTTTTCAATTTAGCTTTAGATATATTATTCTAGAACATCACATATTTAAATCCTAAGCCAATCTGGTACTTGCAAGTGTTTCTATTTAAATTATGCTGTAATCTGTTCAGATTGTGCAGATAAAATATCACGGGTAGAATGCTACAGGGTGTGTTGTCAGTGTGTGAAAAGAGTGATCCAAGGAGCCCCAGGTATGCACTTCCAGATGGGGGAGACATCAGGCGTCATCCTGGCACCTGGGCATCTTCACTTGGTCGCAAGTGCCTGGTAGGCAGGTGCAAATAACAAAATGTTTTCTTTTTCTTTCAGGGTCCAATATCTTTTGAGGATGTGGCTGTGTGGTTCAATGAAGAGGAGTGGGCCTTGCTGGATCCTGACCAGAGGGCGTTGCATAACGAAGTCATGGAGGAGAATGTTGGTATCCTGGCATCTCTCGGTGAGGCTCCCTCTTGGATCTTCATATATGCTTCATGAGTCAGTATTTCTTTACGGAATGAACGGGATGCGGGTGGCGCTGTGGTCTAAACCACTGAGCCTCTTGGGTCGGTGGTTTGAATCCCAGCGATGGAGTGAGCTCCCATTGCTCTGTCCCAGTTCCTACCAACCTAGCAGCTTGAAAGCACACCGGCACAAGTAGATAAATAGGTACCACTGCGGCAGGAAAGTAAACCGCATTTCCATGCACTCTGGTTTCCATCACAGTGTTCTGTTGCGCCACAAGCGGTTTACTCCTGCTGGCCACATGACCCAGAAAGCTGTCTGTGGACAAACACCGGCTCCCTGGGCCTGAAAGCGAGATGAGTGCCACAACCTCAAAGTAGCCTTTGACGGTACTTAACCTTCCATAGGTCCTTTATCTTTATTTCTTCATGGAAAGAAAGGCTGGGAAAGAAGGCTCAGAAACTCCCATGTACAGCTGGATAGACTAGGGTACGGAAGGAAGATCATTGTAATAATAATAGTTATAATAATTTATTATTTGTACCCCACCCATCTGGCTGGGTTTCCCCAGCTACTCTGGGCGGCTCCCAACTGAAGATTAAAGACTCAATAAAATATCAAACATTAAAAACTTCCCTAAACAGGGCTGCCTTCAGATATCTCCTAAAAGTTAAATAGTTTTTTATTTCCTTGACATCTGGTGGGAGGGTGTTCCACAGGGCGGGAACTACCGAGAAGGCCCTCTATCTGGTTTCCCTGTTTCCTCACTTCTCGCAGTGAGGGAACTGCCAGAAGGCCCTCGGCGCTGGACCTCAGTGCTCGGGTGAAGGACGTGGGGTGGAGATGCTCCTTCAGGTATACTGGGCTGAGGCTGTTTAGGGCTTTCAAGGTCAGCACCAACACTTTGCTGTGCCTGATAGCAACCTATTGTAATTGACAGGTTTGGAGAGGGGCTGAGGACTCTTAAAATAATTTACTCCATCCGTGCCAGCTGTAGAGGCTCTTCTGTTCCTGCACCCATGATGAGCCGCTGTGCATAACACAGCTAAGCCTTTTCTCCAGGCCACTGTGTTACCCTGGTGGAAATGGTGCAAACCCCTGCCATCGCTCCCTTGATCATCCAAGCTTGCAAAGCAACAAATATCTTCAATATCAAGGATGAGAGTCTAGGGGTCTCTTTCAGGCGTGGGGGTCATATTCAAGAAGGGTTCCCCGTTTCCAAAGCTACCCTTAGTGAGAAATGGGGGTCTGTGAAGTATAATTAGTTCCAGCTAGCCCAAACGCAGCCATTTCCAAAAATGCATAGTAAGTAGGTGCACGAATCATACTTCTCAAACAGGGTTGGGTCGAGTGAGAGTGATTGGCCCAAGACCAGACAATGAGATTCATCCCTGAGTTGGAAGCTGAACTCAGGTTTCTATGGTTCGAAACCAATACTCTGTAGCACACCTGCTGTGTCAGGAGAGCTAGTTAAATATGTAAAGGTAAAGGGACCCCTGACCATTAGGTCCAGTCGTGGACGACTCTGGGGTTGTGGCGCTCATCTCGCTTTACTGGCCGAGGGAGCCGGCCAGTAAGCTTCTGGGTCATGTGGCCAGCATGACTAAGCCGCTTCTGGCAAACCAGAGCAGCGCACGGAAATGCCGTTTACCTTCCCGCCAGAGTGGTACCTATTTATCTACTTGCACTTTGACGTGCTTTCAAACTGCTAGGTTGGCAGGAGCTGGGACCGATCAATGGGAGCTCACCCTGTCGCGGGGATTCGAACCGCCAACCTTCTGATCGGCAAGCCCTAGGCTCCGTGGTTTAGACCACAGCGCCTCCCGTGTCCCAGTTATATGTGTACTTCCCTCTATATCCACTCAGTTTTGCCTTTATCGTAAGTATGGAAGTTGTTAAGCTAGATAAGGGTCTGTTTCTTCCTTAGGCTCTTATGAGTTTCTCAATTCATTGCAGACTGTGATGAATCGGAAATGAAGAATAAGGAAGAACTACACGGAAAAGAAACCCAGGGCCGAGACAGCTGTAGGAAGCGAGAAGAGCAAAGGAGGAAAATCGAAGCAGAAAAGAAAAGGAAGACGCTTCTAAAGGACAGTGGCTTTTATGCAACCTCAGTCCAGGAAAAAACAGATGACAGAAAGCAATGTGGTAACTGCCTCATTCAATGGGAAAGTCTTGGTTCAAAACACCAATGTAAATCCTACTGCTAAAAATTACAAAGGGGAGCAACCGCATAGATGCTCTGAGTGTGGAAAAGGGTTCAGAGACAGTTATAGCCTTTCTTGCCATCAGAGAATTCACACAGGAGAGAAACCATATAAATGCTCAGAATGCGGAAGTAGCTTCAGTAGCAAGCAAAGACTCGTTTATCATCAAAGAATTCACACAGGGGAGAAACCGTATCAGTGCCTGGAATGTGGAAAGAGCTTCAGAGAAAAGTTTACCCTTTCTTCTCATCGAAGAATTCACACAGGAGAGAATCAATATGAATGCTTGGAATGTGGAAAGAGCTTCAGTGACAATTCTACCCTTTCTTCTCATCAGATAATTCACAAGGGGGGGAAACCATATAAGTGCTTGGAATGCGGAAAGAGTTTCTCTCAGAAGTTACGTCTAACTATTCACCAAAGAATTCACACAGGGGAGAAGCCATATCAGTGCTTGGAATGTGGAAAGAGCTTCAGAGAAAATTCTAGCCTAGCTTCTCATCAAAGAATTCACACAGAGGAATATAAATGCTTGGAATGTGGAAAGAGCTTCATTAGTCATTCAAAACTTACTCGGCATCAAACCATTCATCCCGGAGAGAAATCATATCAATACTTGGAATGTGGAAAGAGCGTCATGAGTCATCCAAGAACTTACTCATCATCAGACAATTCATACAGAGGAGAAACCATATAAATGCTTGGAGTGTGGAAAGAGCTTCAGACATAATTCTACCCTTTCTTCCCACAAAAGGATTCATACAGGGGAGAAACCATATAAATGCTTAGAGTGTGGAAAGGGCTTTAGTCAGTGCTCCCCTCTCACTCGCCATCAGAGAATTCACACAGGGGAGACACCGTATAAATGCAGTGAGTGTGGCAAGAGCTTCAGTCGGAAGATACAACTCGGTTTTCATCAGAGAATTCACACCGGGGAGAAGCCGTATCAGTGCTTGAAATGTGGAAAGAGCTTCAGAAACAATTCTAGCCTTTCTTCTCATCAGACAATTCACACGGGCGAAAAGCCATATAAATGTTTGGAATGTGGAAAGAGCTTTACTTTAAAGATGAACCTCAATACCCATAAAAGAATTCACACGGGGGAGAAGCCGTATAAATGCTTGCAATGTGGAAAGAGCTTAAGCAGCAAGGACAGACTCGCCGACCATCAAAGAACTCACACTGGTGAGAAACCCTTTAAATGCTCGGAATGTGGGAAAAGCTTCGCTGCGAAGATAAATCTCACTACCCACAAAAGAATTCACACGGGGGAGAAACCCTATAGATGCTTGCACTGTGGAAAGACGTTCGCTCAGAGCCACCATCTCACTTACCATCACAGAATTCACACTGGGGAGAAGCCGTATAAATGCTTAAAGTGTGGAAAGAGCTTCAGAAACCGTACTAGTGTCATTTACCACCAGAAAGCGCACGCTCCAGAGACACAATATAAATGCTCAGAATGTGGAAAGTGCCTCAGTCAGGAAGCGGATCTGGTGAATCATCAAAAAATGCACACCCAGGAGAAACCATATGTATGCATGGAATGTGGAAAAAGCTACGCTCTGAACAATTGTCTTAGAAAACATCAAAGAATTCATACAGGAGAGAAACCATATAAATGTGCTGAGTGTGGGAAAAGCTTCACTGAGAAGTCAACTCTCACGACACACCAACGAGTTCATACGGGAGAGAAACCCTATAAATGCCTGGAGTGTGGAAAGGGCTTTAGTCAGTGTTCCCCTCTCACTCGCCATCAGAGAATTCACACAGGGGAGAAACCCTATAAGTGCCTGGAGTGTGGAAAGGGCTTCGCTCAGAGTTCCCATCGCAATCTTCATCAAAGAACTCACACATCGATGGGCAGCGTATGGGAGCAGCTTTCTTCAGATCTCCAGCCTTTATTCCCACCAAAAAATCCATACAGCGGAGAACCCATATAAAGACTTGGAATATTAAAGGAGCTTTAGGAGCAGTTCCTTCTTTCCGCAAGAAGAAACCATATAAATGCTTGTAATGCGTACGGGCAGGGCTTGTGCCAAGACACTTTGTGGAGGAATATTTTAAAAGTGCTTGGAAGGAGCTTCTGAAGAAGCAGAAATTTCCATCATCAAATAATTCACATTGGTGGGGGGTCATATCGATGCTTGGAGTGCAGGAAAAGCTTGAGTAAGAAAATGCAGCTCCCATCTCACTGAAGAATTCTCAGAGGGGAGAATAAGCAAAGAATAAAGTTAGTAGGTTCCTCCAGACTTGGTTACAGATAACAAGGGAGCAAGATTTGTGTGACTCCTGCTCCCATCTTATGCTCAGCCTGTATATTTGTGTAAATAAAACATATCCGAAAGACGCTGTCTTCTCCAGTCTGTACCTTGACTCTAAAGAACCCAAACCGCTGTGGACTCATGACAATCTGCAGAGAAATCAGAGATGAATAATAATAATATTATAATATTCATACCCTGCCCATCTGGCTGGGCTTCCCCAGCCACTCTGGGCAGCTTCCAACAAAATATTAAAATACAGTAATGCATCAAACATTAAAAGCTTCCCTAAACAGGGCTGCCTTCAGATGTCTTCTAAAAGTCTGGTAGTTGTTTTTCTCTTTGACATCTGGTGGGAGGGCGTTCCACAGGGCGGACGCCACCACCGAGAAGGCGCTCTGCCTGGTTCCCTGTAACCTCACTTCTCACAGCAAGGAAAGCGCCAGAAGGCACTCAGCGCTGGACCTCAGTGTCAGGGCAGAATGATGGGGGTGGAGACGCTCCTTGAGGTGTACGGGACCGAGGCCATTTAGGGCTTTAAAGGTCAGCACCAACACTTTGAATTGTGCTTGGAAACGTCCTGGGAGCCAATGTAGGTCTTTTAAGACCGGTGTTATGTGGTCTCAGCGGCCGCTCCCAGTCACCAGTCTAGCTGCTGCATTCTGGATTAGTTGTAGTTTCCAGATCACTTTCAAAGGTAGCCTCACGTAGAGCTCATTGCAGTAGTCCAAGTGGGAGATAACTAGAGCATGCACCACTCTGGTGAGACAGTCCGCAGGCAGGTAGGGTCTCAGCCTGCGTACCAGATGGAGCTGGTAGACAGCTGCCCTGGACACAGAATTGACCTGCGCCTCCATGGACAGCTGTGAGTCCAAAATGACTCCCAGGCTGCGCACCTGGTCCCTCAGGGGCACAGTTACCCCATTCAGGACCAGGGAGTCCTCCACACCTGCCCACCCCCTGTATCCCCAAAACAGTACTTCTGTCTTGTCAGGATTCAACCTCGATCTGTTAGCCGCCATCCATCCTCCAACTGCCTCCAGACACACACACAGGATATTCACTGGTTCTGATCTGAAAGAGGTAGAGCTGGGAATCATCCGCATATTGATGGATGAACAAACTTTTTACCTAATGTCTGCAACTGATCTCAATATTTACGCGTGATATGTTAAATAGCTTTACAGCCTCCTCCACACTACATTTCCTTACCAACAAGAGCAACAGCACATTTAATACAATACTGTATTACATTTTAGACTATCATTCAAAAACTTCTCTTCCTTTCTCCAGCAAAATGTATAATAATACTTCTGGACAACTTTGCAGGGCTGGCGTAACCTAGCCACAGACCTGCTCCCCTATTATAGGGGTATAATAATGGTGGCAATTAAAAAAAACAACACGTTCCCTAACTGGGAACAAAATCATATCGAGAGAAAGAGAATATGAACTTCCTCCCATCTCAGGTTCTACGTTGCTCCCCTGTGAGGAAAGTTTACAACATTTGAGGCCGTTTATTTGGGGTAAAGAAAAATAAATTCCCTCAAACCACATCAACTGTGCGCAATCCCCATAGAAATACACAGGATGTGAATCTTGCTTGAGAACTATAAGGTGGCTTCTAGACTATATTTATCTAATTTTGCAAACCTGTAGCTCCCAGGGATGTTCACAACATACTTCTGCAGATCATTTTGGGACGAATGAATTTCTTCCTCAGAAACGGAGAGGAGGCAGAGATCATGGAGTCTTCCTCTAGCGGAGGGTTTCCCCACCCTTTTTATTTTTCAATGGATTTTATTAGAGTTAAAAATAAATAAATACACTCCAGGATAACACCGAGGGGGCACGTTCAAGTCCAAACAGCGCCAGGCAAGATCCATCCTTTCCAAATTCCAGAGGGGCAGCTTGGAAAAAATCCCTGCCCTTCTCTGCCCCACCGCTACTCCTTGCCCCACAAAGAAGAAGAAAAGCTTCGCCCCATTATTATTTTTCCACCTTTAACTCTTGCATTGCTGCAGGCTGGACTGGATGACCTTCGGGGTCCCTTCCGACTCTACAGTTCTTTGATTCTATTCCTTGCCCCCCTCTTTCTCCTCGCCAAGAAAAGAGGTGCGCATTTGCACGTGGGGCAGGAGAATCGCCCTGCGCAGTGACTGGAAAGGGCTGCTCTAGCCACTAGACCTCCTTTCCCCCCCATACCTCTTCAAAGTTACTTTAAAAATGCTGCTTTCCTGCTCATTCCCCCCCCCGGCCACGTTCGCTTGGGAGCCCGAAGTGCCGGCGAGTCTCTCTCCTCCCCCCCCCGGCAGGAGATGCCCAGATTCCCATCTGTGTGCGCCCAGGGCGCACGTTTCCTCTTTGGCACAGAGCGGCGATGCTCGTGCTTAGGCCCTGCAAGGGTTAAAAAAGAACCGGATTCCTAGAGAAGAAGGAAATTTGGGGTGGGAGGAAGGGAGGGGAGCTTCCCCCAGAGCAGAAGCGGCTCCCCGCTTTGCAGAGGAAGGAGCCTCTGCTTTCCCCCACCGCGCGCTGCATCTGCTGCTCCTCCTGCAACCCGGTGAGATTCTGCAACATCTTTTTGGTGGAAAGATGGAGGCGTCGCATGGGAGACGCAGATCAGGAGAACCATCACAGGAAACAAATAGGGAGAGGGGTTGTTCGTGTCTCCGTTCCCCATCTAAGATGGAATCACAGAATCGTAAACTTGCAAGAGTCATCTTGTCCAAACCCCCTGCAATGCAGGAATCTTTTGCCCATGCGAGACTCGAACCCGCGACCCTGAGATGAAGAGTCTATTGCTCTCCCGGCTGAGCTGTTTGGGGAGGCTGGGGTTTAAAGTGGGTCTGCGAGGTGGAGTTGATCAGTGGGAGCGGATGGTCATAGAGTTGGAAGGGACCCTGAGGATCATCGACTCCAGCCCCCTTTGACACAGGAACATGCAACTGACCCATATTTTATTTTGCTGGAAGCTGCCCAGACTGACTGGGGGAACCCAGCCAGATGGGCCAGGGTGTAAGCAAAAAAATTATTATGATGATTAAGGAGAAAACATGCGCTGAAGATGGGAGTTTGGGCTTCTCCTGGCCTGCAGGCGACATATCTCCTGTTATAATTGTTTATGCACATCATGTACAGTAATTAGGTAAAGGTAAAGGGACCCCTGACCATCAGGTCCAGTTGTGGCTGACTCTGGGGCTGCGGTGCTCATCTCGCTTTACTGGCCGAGGGAGCCGGCGTACAGCTTCCGGGTCATGTGCCCAGCATGACTAAGCCGCTTCTGGCAAACCATAGCAGCGCATGGAAACGCCATTTACCTTCCCGCTGGAGCGGTACCTATTTATCTACTTGCACTTTGACGTGCTTTCGAACTGCTAGGTTGGCAGGAGCAGGGACCGAGCAAGGGGAGTTCACCCCGTAGTGGGGATTCGAACCGCCAACCTTCTGATCAGCAAGTCCTAGGCTCTGTGGTTGAACCCACAGCGCCACTCGCGTCCCTAATTAATCATGTAATTAAATAGCAATAAAAAGCTTTACAAAGAAAATAATTCAGAAAAGAGGCAAGCAGGCAGGGCACAGCCGTGACGGCCAGTAGCCATTGATAGCCCTCTGCTCCATGAATTTGTACCGTCCTCTCTTAAAGGCAGCGCGGTGCAGTGGTGAGAGCAGGCCAGGACCACGAAGGTCCCGAGGGGACAACAAGTTTGGCCCACTTCCTGTCAGCATGGCCTCATAGGGTTGTCATGAGGATTAAATGGAGAGAGGGAGAGCCGCGCATGCTGCCTTGAGCTCCTTTGAGGAAAAGGTGGAATACAAAAGTATAGACTCCTGGAGTCAGAAGGGACCTGAGGGTCATCTAGTCGAACCCCAGCGATGTAGGAATATGCAGGTGGGTCGAGCCTGCGACCTTGGTGTTACTGGAAATTGCTCTAACCAGCTGAGCTATCCCAGCCAATTCCTCTTCTTCCCTTAAAATCAAAGCCCCTGTTTGTCAAGTGGAGCTTTCCAGTTTGGTCGCACGTAATAAATGTGTGCGCGTTCAGACGCCAGTGTTTTCCAGGGATCACATTATGCTGAGAGTACTTCTGCCCAAAGACACTATTCCTGTATGAGGGGTTTGGCATTTACAGGATTAAAACTTTAAGAGCATAGATGAAAACAGTCCTTGTTAGTGATCCCTGAATATAGCAATGGGAGGAAGCTTAGCAGGGATGTGGTATGTTTCTCTCTGGCTGATGAGTCTGTGTGAGTCTGGATATGGACGCAGAATCTTAAGAGTTGGAAGGGATCTGAGGGTCATCTAGCCCAACCCCTGCAATGGAGGAATCTCAGCTGAAGCACCCAGTGCTTTTCCAGCTGCACGGGCTCCCGGTGGAGTACAGGGTCAGGTTTAAGGTGCTGGTTTTGACCTTTAAACCCCTTCACGGTCTAGGACCCTCGTACCTACGGGACCGCCTCTCCTGGTATGCCCCACAGAGGACCTTAAGGTCCATAAATAGCAACACCCTAGAGGTCCCGGGCCCTAAGAAAGTCAGATTAGCCTCAACCAGAGCCAGGGCCTTTTCAACACTGGCTCCGGCCTGGTGGAACACTCTGCCTCATGAGACCAGGGCCCTGCAGGATCTGATTTCTTTCTGCAGGGCCTGTAAGACAGAGTTGCTCTGCCTGGCTTTTGGCTTGGTATTAACTTGATCCCCCACCCCTCTTTCTTTTTTCCTTCTGTGATGGAACTCCTACTTGGGGACTTCCCTGGCTTTTTTAAAATGCATTTTAATCTTGTTTTTTAAGTTGTATTTCAATCAATTGTTTTATATCTGGTGTTAGCCACCCTGAGCCCGGTCTTGGCTGGGGAGGGCGGGGTATAAATAAAAATTATTATTATTATTATTATTATTATTATTATTATCCATGACAGATGGCCACCCAACCTCTGCTTAAAAACCTCCGAGGAAGGAGAGTCCACAGTCTTAAGGGAGACCAAGATGCGGTCTTGGCCCAGGTTCTTAGATTTTGGGGCAGGGATCCCGCAAACGGGCAGCATGAGAGGAACATGAATAGCTGTGTGAGCAATAGAACCTCCATATGCAGAACCGGTATACCGGATCTCAAATGGGGGGAAGAAATGTTGTGTATTACATAATTCACAATATGAGGAATCAAAATGAAAAATATGTTTTCATCAGAGAATGTTTTTCTGCAGATAAGAGATGGAAGAACAAGACTCTGCCGCCCTTGAAGAAGGAAGACAGCCTGGTAGCATCATGACTGGGAGCACTGGGGAAATTTGGGTTGGAAGCAGACACAAGACATTGAGGGAGAACATCCATGGCTCAGATGTGCACTGCCAACAGTTTAGGCACTTCCAGTACCAGGAGGCCAACGGACCCCGAGAAGTTTGCAGCCGACTCCACCATCTCTGCCGTCAGTGGCTGAAGCCGGGGAGACACACCAAGACTCAGATCCTGGATTTAGTGATCTTGGAGCAGTTCCTGGCTGTCCTCCCCCCGGAGATGGAGAACTGGGTGAGGGAATGTGGAGCGGAGACCAGCTCCCAGGCGGTGGCCCTGGCCGAAGGTTTCCTCCTGAGTCAGGCAGAGGTCAAGAAGCAGACAGAGCTGCAGGTGAGAGTTTTGTCTGGATCAGGGAAAGTCAACCTGGTATCTTCTAGAGGTTGTGGAACTAAAACTCCCATCATCCCTGTTTATTCTACATATTGACTGGGAATGATGGGAGCTGAAGTCCAGCAACTTTTGGAGAGCATTATGTCAACTACCTCTGAGCTAGATAATCCCAAGGGGCTCACGGTGTGAGGGAGGGATCCCAGAATTCTCTGCTTCTTCACCAGCTTTCTGTGGAAGTCAGCCAAACAGATAGCCAAGTACCCCTGAGGTTTTTGCATTTGCTGTTTCCGTGCGATGTCTTCAATGCATATTTCTGTTTCAGGCAAAGGATCTGGTCACAGAAATGAGAAGCGATTTCCCCAAAGCAGAAAGGAATCTGTCAGTCATCAGGCAGAGGCCTCTGGGTGAGGATTTAGGGGTACTGTTTCAATATGGTCTCCCTCTGTTCATTCTGAAACTAAGCCATCAACTCAGGCGTCAGCAAGCTTTTTAAAAAAAAAATTCTCCAAATTTTTCTATCCATTTTATAACACAAATAAAGAACACAAACAGAAAACAAACAATACAAACAGATTCTTGTCTTATCCTTATTTTTCTAAACATTGTTAGTTTAGTCCCACCTATCTGATTTTCATTTTACTTCATCTTTAGCAGTTTACATATATCATAATTTCTAACCGGTTTTTTTTAATCACACTTTAACCATAAAAAACTTCACATTTCATCACTTAATAATACTATTTCAAAATACACTATCTTCTACTTGTAACCCTACAGCCTATATCCACTTCCAAATCTAGTCTAAGATTTAAATATTAGCATTCCCCCCCCCAAATATTCCTTAAACTTCTTCCACCGTCTCTTCTCTCTGGTCTCGGAGTCTCCTGGTCAGTTTGGCAAGTTCCATATAGTCCATCATCTTCATCTGCCATTCTTCGATAGTTGGTAAATCTTGTTTCTTCCAATTCTTCGCTAGCAATATTCTTGCAGCTGTTGTAGCATACAGAAAACAGTAACATCCTTTTGGGGGGTTTCACCCCCCAGCAAACTTTTTCAGCAGTGGGCCGGTCCACTGTCCCTCAGACCTTGTGGGGGGCCAGACTATATTTTGAAAAACAAAATGATGCAAGATCACCACGAGCCCCAGTGGCTGCTTACCTGTGTCTTGTGAGCGGCAGGGGCTGGCAGTGGTGGAGGGACGCTGAGCAGCGTGCGAAAGGGCTCCGGAGAGGTGCTGCTTAAAATGGCGGCCGCTTGAGCCCTGCTGCTGCTGCTGCTGACACCAACAAAGCCCACCCCCTTCCTCTTCTAGGCAGGGCGGGAGAAGCCAGGAGGAGGCGGCGGCGCTGCTGCCGTGTGAGGGAGAGGGAAAGAACATGCACGCTGGTGATTCACGCAGCGATTCCCGGACGGTCCGTGGACCGGATCCAGAAGGCGACTGGGCCTGATCCAGCCCACGGACCTTAGTTTGCCTACCCATGCATCAACTGTTAGGATATAGTTCCGTTCCACCTTTAGAACAGGCATGTGGAGTTGTTGTATGTTACATGTCTGTTTACTTCCAGCACAGTCTGCTGGGAACTTCCGTCATATATAGCTTTTGCCTATGCTCTTTTGCTTGGACACGAAGGGAAGCAGACATCTTTTTCCTTTGTCCTGATGTTGAATAAATGCTTGTAAATATGCTTACATATGCCTCTGTCTGCTACTTCTGTGGCAAAGAGTTCTTATCTCTGCTAGCTTGCGTGCTCAGTCTCTAAAGGTTTCTGGAGGCTTGAGTCGCAGTTTTGATGCTGCTCCGAGAACCGGAGTTCGCCCGGCTGCCGGCCGGTGGGCTGGAGCCAGCTGGGAGCCTGCCAATTGCCCCCGTCTCCCCGGATGCATCCCAACATCAACTTCTTTAACCTTTTGCGGGGAGGCAAATCTCCACCTTTTTCCAGGGCTCGAAAATACCCTTATTTGCAACATGTTGTGCACATGGATTTGTGATCAAAAGCCCCAAAGAGTTGCTATGTGTTCACACACTGGAACTATCAAACAGATGCACAGATCTCAAACTTGCTCAACAGTTCAGACTTTCTCTATGTATCAGTTTCTCATCCAAGTATGTGCCAATAATAATAATAGTAATAATAATAATAATAATAATAATAATAATAATAATAATAATAATAATAATAATTTATTATTTGTACCCCGCCCATCTGGCTGGGTTTCCCAAGCCACTCTGGGCGGCTTCCAACAAAGATTAAAAATACATTAAAATGTTGCACATTAAACACTTCCCTGAACAGGGCTGCCTTCAGATGTCTTCTAAATGTTAGGTAGTTGTTTATCTCTTTGACATCTGATGGGAGGGTGTTCCACAGGGTGGGCGCCACTACCGAGAAGGCCCTCTGTCTGGTTCCCTGTAACCTCACTTCTCGCAGCGAGGGAACTGCCATAAGGCCCTTGGCGCTGGACCTCAGTGTCCTGGCAGAACGATGGGGGTGGAGACGCTCCTTCAGGTATACTGGACCCGAGGCCATTTAGGGCTTCAAAGGTCAGCACCAACACTTTGAATTGTGCTCAGAAACGTACTGGGAGCCAATGAAGGTCTTTCAAGACCGGTGTTATGTGGTCTCGGCAGCCGCTCCCCGTCACCAGTCTAGCTGCCACATTCTGGATTAGTTGTAGTTTCCGGGTCACCGTCAAAGGTAGCCCCACATAGAGCGCATTGCAGTAGTCCAAGCGGGAGATAACTAGTGGTTTTGTCTCTGACAGGCAATGGAATGATGCCGGCAAGCTGTCCTCAGCCATCTCCTCTTTGTGGTTCAGTAGAAGGAACAGCTGTGAGACCTGATCAGGTAGGGGAATGGATCACTGAGGGGAGAGGCTGGGCCCCACTTTCCCCTCTCACCTCCCTGGTCCTGAGTGAATCTCTTTCCATCGATTTGCTCCTATCAAAAGCTGCCCTCAACGAAGGCTGCGAATGCCACCCAAGAAGGTTTAATTCCTGAGAATAATAAGCACCCACCTCAATTTAACTGGCCTTTTGAATGTCGCCAATAGACCATCCCTATCCTACCCATGAAAAAATGTTTCCCTTTTCTTTTAGGGTCCCATATCATTTGAGGCTGTGGCTGTGGATTTCACAGATGAGGAATGGTCGCTGCTGGATCCTGACCAGAGGGTATTGCATAAGGAAGTCATGGAGGATAACTGGAGGATCATGGCCTCTCTCGGTAAGATCCCCTGCTGCGTCATAATATCGTTTTTTAAATTCAATATTTCTGTATGTGAGCAATCCTAATATTCTGACATAGCTCAGCTGTGCTACACATACAGCATCTAGGATTTTTATTCCTGCTTTTAATCTTGAAAATTAATCTCTCCTGCATTCTCTCTGAGCATGCATTCTCTAAATCTGCCCTTCACAACTGTGGCTTGGTTGGTCTTATCTGGTCAGGTTATTTGTGGAATGTAAGTTTCAGAGTTGTGAGGGAGGTGGAACGATGTCATTTTCCAGAAGGCCAAAGAGATGAGTACACGTCATCAGAAATTGAGCGAATTTCATGAATGGGCCAAATAATAATCCACTTCACAAAAGAGGCTGGGGTTCACTGATTTCCATAAAAACGAGAGGCCTTTGCCTTCCTAGGAATGCAAAAATGCTCTCTCTTTCAGAACCAGCTTCCATTATTCTTCTCACCTATTGGCTTCCGAATTAGTTCTGAATCTGGATTTTCTGCCTAAAAACTTTCCCTCATGTGCTAATACAGCGTGGCTAAGCTCCATTTTCATGTCTGAAATGCTTCACAACTGAAGCCCGAAGTTTCCCTCTTTGTTTATATGAATTCCAAAGATGAGGCGAAAGGTAGGGCTGGTGGCAGCTTAGTGTAATATTTTTTTTGGGGGGACACACCTTTTTACGGCTGGGGTAGCCAATGTGGTTCCCTCCAGAGGTTGCAGGATTCCACCTTCATCATCCCTGACAGCTGTCCGTTCCAGCTGGAGCTGATGGGAAAGTCTAATAACATCTGGACGGTACCACATAAAAGGGTATTAGCCAGTAAGAACCCCACACATTTTCCAATTTACAGATTGTTCTCTTCTGAAAGAAAATTATATGAAAATGATGTATATCACACCTGTACAGATAGCAAAAATGTACAAAACCGGCTCTAACATTTGCTGGAAATGTAAAGAAAAAGAAGGGACTTTTTATCATATGTGGTGGGAATGTAAAGAAATTAAAATTTATTGGGAAATGATATATAATGAATTGAAGAAAATGTTTTAAATGACATTTTTAAAAAAACCAGAAGCATTTTTGTTAGGGATTGTAGGATAATACCTGCCAAGGAAAATAAGGAACTTGTTTATGTATGCTACAACAGTGGCAAGAGTCTTGATAGCACAAGGATGGAAGAATGAGGAAACCCCGACAAAAGAACAGTGGCAAGAGAAATGGATGAACTATGGGGAACTGGCAAAATTGACATACTAACTGCAAGACAAGGACAACTGTGACTTTAAGGAGGAATGGGAACTTCACACAAATTATTTAAAAACACAACAAAATGAACTGGACTCCTTGGCAGGTTTTGAATAAACATACACAAATTTATTGTTGATAACATGATGGAAAGATATGTAAGGATATACAGTGGTGCCCCGCAAGACGAATGCCTCGCAAGACGGAAAACTCGCTAGATGAAAGAGTTTTCCGTTTTGGAGGTGCTTCGCAAAACAAATCTCCTATGGGCTTGCTTCACAAGACGACAATGTCTTGCGAGTTCCTGCTGGTTTCCCCCCCTCCCCCCCCTTTTTCTAAGCCGCTAAGCCACTTATCAGCTGATCCGATCAGCAGATAAGCCGCTAAAAGCCGCTAATAGCCGCTAATAGCGCTAATCCGCTAATCCGTCAATGGGCTTGCTTCGCAAGACGAAAAAACCGCTAGACGAAGAGAATCACAGAACGGATTCTTTTCGTCTTGCGAGGCACCACTGTACAGTGGTACCTCAGGTTAAGTACTTAATTTGTTCCGGAGGTCCGTTCTTAACCTGAAGCTGTTCTTAACCTGAAGCACCACTTTAGCTAATGGGGCCTCCCGCTGCTACTGTGCTGCCAGAGCATGATTTCTGTTCTCATCCTGAAGCAAAGTTCTTAACCTGAAGTCTGTAACCTGCAGCGTATGTAACCTGAGGTACCACTGTATACAATTTTATAATATGCAGAGAAAATAATGTGCAGCGAAACCAGGGAGAGGAGCTGAGGGAAGTCCATTATGCAGGGGGGAGGGGGGATTATATGGTTTGATAATTTGATATGTGGAGATTGAGCAAGAAAACATATTTTTAAAAAAATATTAATAACCCCACACATTTTCCCCTTTCCTCTGTTTCAGCACAAGGAATCCACAGCGCAGAGAAACCATATAAATGCAGAGAGTGTGGAATGAGCTTTGGCCGGAAGATAATTCTCATGTACCATCAAAGAATTCACAATAGGGAGAAACCCTATAAATGCTTGGAGTGTGGAACGGGCTTCAGGGAACGCAACCATCTGACTTCCCATCAAAGAATTCACACAGGGGAGAGACCCTTTCAGTGCTTGGAGTGTGGAAAGATCTTAAGGCATAAGACAAGTCTGGCTTCTCATAAAAGAATCCACTCTGGGGAGAAACCCTATCAGTGTTTGGAATGTGAAAAAAGCTTCACTCACAAAATAAGTCTCCTGCACCATCAAACAGTTCACTCTGGTGAGAAACCACATAAATGCTCACAATGTGGAAAGAGCTTCGCTTTGAAGAAAAACCTCACTTCCCATCAAAGAATTCACACCGGGGAGAAACCGTATAAATGTTTGCAGTGCGGAAAGAGATTCAGTCAGAGCTCCCATCTCACTTACCATCAGAGAATTCACACAGGGGAGAAGCCATATAAATGTTTAGAGTGTGGAAAGAACTTCAGCCAAAGTACTAGTCTAATTTATCACCAGAAATCGCACACTGCAGAGTCACAATATAAATGCTTGGATTGTGGAAAGTGCCTCAGTCAGGAGGCAGATCTCGTTAATCATCAAAAAATGCACATCCAGGAGAAACCACATGTATGTTTGGAATGCGGGAAAAGGTACACTCAGAAGAATTGTCTTAGAAAACATCAAAGAATTCATACGGGAGAGAAACAATATAAATGTTCTGAGTGCGGGAAAAAGCTTCATTGAGAAGTCAGCTCTCACGACACACCAACGAGTTCATACGGGAGAGAAACCCTATAAGTGCCTGGAGTGTGGAAAGGGCTTCGCTCAGAGTTCCCATCGCAATGTTCACCAAAGAACTCACAAATCGATGGGCAGTGTATGGGAGCAGCTTTCTTCAGATCTCCAGCCTTTATTCCCACCAAAAAATCCATACAGCGGAGAACCCATATAAAGACTTGGAATATTAAAGGAGCTTTAGGAGCAGTTCCTAGCTTTCTTTCTGCAAGAAAAACCCAAATTAATGCTTGAATTGCATATAGACAGGGCATATGCAGGAAAATTTGTGGAGTAATCATTAATAATAATAATAATAATAATAATAATAATATATTTATACCCCACCCATCTGGCTGAGTTTCCCCAGCCACTCTGGGCGGCTACCAATCAAGCGTTAAAAACAATACAGCATTAAATATTAAAAACTTCCCTAAACAGGGCTGCCTTCAGATGTCTTTTAAAGAGAAGATAGCTGCTTATTTCCTTCACATCCGAAGGGTGGGCATTCCACAGGGTGGGCGCCACTACCGAGAAGGCCTTCTGCCTGGTTCCCTGTAACCTCACTTCTTGCAGGGAGGGAACCGCCAGAAGGCCCTCGGTGCTGGATCTCAGTGTCCGGGCTGAATGATGGGGGTGGAGACGCTCCTTCAGGTATACTGGGGCAAGGCAGTTTAGGGCTTTAAAGGTCAACACCAACACTTTGAATTGTGCTCGGAAACGTACTGGGATCCAATGCAGTACTTAGAAGTTGGGAGGAGCTTCCAAAAAGGCAAAAATGTCTGTTGTTATCATTAATTAATTCTTCAAAGATGATCAGAGCATCATGCACAGTACTAACCTTACCTGTCATCAAAGAATTCACACAGGGGCGAAACAATATATTTGTCCCAGGAGGCAAGATGTTGGGGGCAAGGCAGGATCCAGGAGAGTCTAAAAATCCACTTGGATATATTTATATTACAGTGGTACCTTGGTTTACTAACTTAATCCGTTCCCGAAGTCCGTTCTTAAACCAAAGTGTTCTTAAACCAAGGCGTGCTTTCCCATAGCAATGGGGGACTCAATTTACAAATGGAACACACTCAACAGGAAGCGGAACATGTTTTGCTTCCAAGGCAAAGTTCACAAACCAAAGCACCTAATTCCAGGTTTAAAGGTAACGTTATAGGGACCCCTGACCATTAGGTCCAGTCGCGGACAACTCTGGGGTTGCGGCACTTTATTGGCCGAGGGAGCTGGCGTACAGCTTCCGGGTCATGTGGCCAGCATGACTAAGCCGCTTCTGGCGAACCAGAGCAGCGCGCGGAAACGTCGTTTACCTTCCCGCCGGAGCGGTACCTATTTATCTGCTTGCACTTTGATGTGCTTTCAAACTGCTAGGTTGGCAGGAGCAGGGACCGAGCCACGGGAGCTCACCCCGTTGCGGGGATTCGAACCGCCGACCTTCTGATCGGCAAGTCCTAGGCTCTGTGGTTTAACTCACAGCGCCACCCGCGTCCCTTACTTCCGGGTTTGCAGCATTCTTAATCCAAGTTGTTCATAAACTAATCTGTTCTTAAACCAAGGTACCACTGTAAATACATTAGCAGAAGACCAGTGGGGGCTTTTTAGTTTTTGAAAGATGAAAGCATCAAAGAAATCAACAGCAATGAGAAATAAAAGGAACAATATATGCAGGTAAGGTAAAGTGCAATGACTTGGTGTCCCAGACTCAGAACAAGAGAGCAAGATTTGTGTGAATGCTGTGAGTCCTCTCCGTCTTATATTCAGCCTGCATATATGTGTAAATAAAACATATCCGAAAGACACTGTCGTCTCCAGTTACCTTGATTCTGAAGGACCCAAACCGCTGTGGACTCATGACAATCTCCGGAGAAATCTGACGAGACATTGAACAAGCTTACTGCCTAATGCCTGTAACTGATTTCAGTATTTACACGTGATTTGTTAAATAGTTTTCCTCTGTGCAAATGATCTACACCAGAGGTTTTCAACCTTTTGGGGTCCACGGCTCTCTTGACCAACTACAGTCATACCTCAGGTTACAGACGCTTCGGGTTGCGCAATTTCGGGTTGCGCACCGCACTGAACCCGGAAGTACCGGAACGAGTTACTTCCGGGTTTAGGTGCATGCACAGAAACGCTAAATTGCACTTTGCACATGCGCAGAAGCGCCGAATTGCGACCCGCACGTGCGCAGACGCGGCACTGCGGGTTGCGAACATGCTTTCGGAAGCAGAGATAACGTCCTCTAGCTGAGGGTTTTCCCACCTTTTTCCAAGCTGCTAGAATAGCAGGATCAGGTTTTTTCCCCATTTTAGGGAATTGCCTCAGCTGCTCACAAGGAGGTAGGCGACCTTTGGGACCCTCCAGCGGTTGCTGAACTACAACTCCCATCGCCTTGGCCACTGGCCATGCTTGCTGAGGCTGATGGGAGTCGTAGTTCTAGGAAGTGGCCTTGCAATATTTTTATTGATATATAAATCTAACCAGGCCTTTCAGAAGCAGGCAAAATGTTTTCATGTATCAAATAACCTGACAAAATACTGGCCTTGGCCCAGTATACCTGAAGGAGCATCTCCACACCCATCGCTCAGCCCAGACACTGAGGGTCTGAGGGTCTTCTGGCGACTCCTTCACTGTGAGAAGCGAAGTTACATGGAGCCAAGCAGAGGGCCTTCTCGGTGGTGGCACCCACACTGCGGAACTCCCTCCCACCAGATGTCAAGGAGGTAAAAAACTACACAACTTTTAGAAGACATCTGAAGGCAGCCCTGTATTGGGAAGCTTCTTAATGTTTGACATTTTATTGTGTTTTTATATACGCTGGTTTATACACCCTTATTTTTGACTGCCACTGAAAGGCAAGCTTGCCCCCTTCCCAGTCCCCTTAGGCTTCAGCCATAGCCATTACAAGGCCAGTTGCCTCACTACGGAAAGGACCTTAGCCCAGTTGCCAAGCACCTCCCTTTGAACGAAGAGGGTGCCGGGTTCAAGTCCAGTCAGCACTGGGCAAGATCCATCCTTTCCAAAATCTCAGAGAAGTCATCAGATTCTCAAAGGGGGCAGCTTGGAAATATTTCCTGCCCTCTTCTCTCCCCCACCGCTACTCCTTACCCCTTTAACACTTTTTTCTACCTTTAACTCTTGCATTGCAGGAGGCTGGACTAGATGACCCTTGGGGTCCCTTCCAGTTCTACGTTTCTTTGATTCTATTAAATTCCTTGCTCCCTCAGTCCCCTCACCAAGAAAAGAGACAAGCAGCACTCTTGCTCAGGGGCGCATTAATAATAATAATAATAAATTTTATTTATACCCTGCTCTCCCAGCTAACACCCATAAAATTACAGTAAAGACATAATAGGGGGGAAAACCCAATTTAAAATACAGGTTAAAATGCAATTTAAAATGCAGCCTCATTTTAAAAGTAGCATAAATAGATCAAGACCATAAGGGGAGGGAAACATAAGGGTCAGACTGAGTCCAAGCCAAAGGCCAGGCGGAACGGCTCTGTCTTGCAGGCCCTGTGGAAAGATGCCAGGTCCCGCAGGGCCCTAGTCTCTTGTGACAGTGTTCCATCAAGTCGGGGCCAGCACTGAAAAGGCCCTGGCCCTAGTTGAGACCAAGCTAACCACCTTGCGACCTGGGACCTCCAAAATGTTGTCATTTGTGGACGTTACCAGGAGAGGCGATCCCCTAGGTACGTGGGTCCTAGGCCGCATAGGGCATTGGCACGTGGGGCAGAAGAATCACCCTGTGCAGTGTAGCAGGAACGTCCCCCCCCAATCATTCAGTTTGTACAAACTTCACACACACTCCTGTTGTCTTTGTCCATGGAGTTTTCTTGGCAAGGATACTGGAGTGGCTTGCCGGTTCCTCCTCCAGGTGGATCACATTTGGTCGAAACTCTCCACTATGACCTGTTCATCTTGTGTGCCCTGCTCGGCATAGTTCATAGCTTCTCTGAGTTCTTCAAGCCCCTTCGCCACGGCAAGGCAGTGATCCATGAAGGGGGCAGTGATCCATGAAGGGGTCCCATGGACTGCAAGAAGATCAAACGCATCCATTCTTAAGGAAATCAGCCCTGAGTGCTCACTGGAAGGACAGATCCTGAAGCTGAGGCTCCAATACTTTGGCCACCTCATGAGAAGAGAAGACTCCCTGGAGAAGACACTGACGCTGGGAAAGATGGAGGGCACAAGGAGAAGGGGACGACAGAGGGCGAGATGGTTGGATAGTGTTTTCGAGGTTACCAGCATGAGTTTGACCAAACGGCGGGAGGCAGTGGAAGACAGGAGTGCCTGGCGTGCTCTGGTCCAGGGGGTCACGAAGAGTCGGACACGACTAAACAACAACAACAACAACACACACACACTCACACACTACATACACTACGCTTCTGTTATAAATTCATAGAAAATCAACCGTACGTCGGATTTGCACTGTTCCACTTTTATTTTACTCCATGAAGGAAGGACTACAAGATGGGGAAGGTTTGATACAGGGCAGCCATAATCCCTTGACCATACCATCACATCCACAGGAGCCCTGCCCAGTTGCTATGCCAACCCTGATGGTCTCAGACAGAAGACCATCAACAACACAACGGACTGCAAACACGAGTGGATTCAACACAGACTATAACAAAAGAACAGTGATGGGATTCCCCCTCAGGGGGCAGGAAACTGCGACTTCCTTTTGTCTTCAAAAAATGACTCATGGGGGGGGAGAAGGGAACCAGCCAGGTGACAGGACACTCAGGTTACCACCACCACCCCTCCTTTCTGTGATGTATGCATGATGTTTCTGGGGGTGGGCTTGACCTACAGGGTGGGAATTTCAAAAGTTTTTATAAGGCCTTGCACACCATTTTTCTGTGTCTTTCCTCTCTCCTGCAAGTGAGGGGAACACCCTGTTGCAACAGTCAATAAAGGCCAAGCCTACAGGCTGCTGATTTGCTCCAATTTACTCTGGTTGGTGTCTTTACTTTTTGTCCAAGGGAGCCCTCGGATTTTTCCGGTAACAGCAGTGATGGGAAAGGGCTGCTCTAACCACTAGACTTCCTCCCCCCCTTCAAAGTTATTTTCAACTGATTCCTCCCCCCTGGCCACGTTCGCTTGGGAACCCGAAGTGGAGGCGAGTCTCCCCGCCCCCAAGAAAAGATGCCCAGATTCCCATCTGTGCGCGCGCAGGGCGCACGTTTCCTCTTTGGCACAGAGCGGCAGTGCTCGTGCTCAGGCTTTGCAAGGGTTAAAAAAAGAACCGGATTCCTAGAGAAGAAGGAAATTTGGGGTGGAAGGAAGGGAGAGGGGCTTCCTCCAGAGCAGAAGCAGCTCCCCGCTTTGCAGAGGAAGGACCCGCTTTTTTCCCCCACCGCGCGCTGCGTCTGCGGCTCCTTCTGCAACCCGGTGAGATTCTGCAACATCTTTTTGGTGGAAAGATGGAGGCGTCGCATGGGAGACGCAGATCAGGAGAACCATCACAGGAAACAAATAGGGAGAGGGGTTGTTCGTGTCTCCGTTCCCCATCTAAGATAGAATCACAGAATCGTAAAATTGCAAGGGGCACCCCCGGGTCATCTTGTCCAACCCCCTGTCCAATATTTTGCCCATGCGAGACTCGAACCCACGACCCTGTGATGAAGAGTGTATTGCTCTACCGGCTGAGCTATTTGGGGAGGCTGGGGCTTAAAGTGGGTCTGCGAGGTGGAGTTGATCAGTGGGAGCGAATTGTCATTATCGTTGGAAGGGACCCTGAGGATCATCTAGTCCAGCCCCCTTTAACGCAGAAATATGCAACTGACCCATATTTTATTTTGCTGGAAGCTGCCCAGAGTGACTGGGGGAACCCAGCCAGATGTGCAGGGTATAAGCAATAAAATTATTATTATGATTAAGGAGCAAACATGCGCTGAGGATGGGAGTTTGGGCTTCTCCTGGCTTGCAGGCGACATATCTCTTGTTATAATTGTTTATGCACATGTTTGTGCACTTGTTCGCTTCTCTCTTCCCCCTCTGTATAGGCAAAAGAGGTCCCCGATCTAAGATACCACCACAAAATTGCAGCGTTAGAAGGGACCCTGAGGATGATTCATAGAATCATAGAGTTGGAATAGACCACAAGGGCCATCGAGTCCAACCCCCTGCCAAGCAGGAAACACCATCAGAGCACTCCTGACATATGGTTGTCAAGCCTCTGCTTAAAGACCTCCAAAGAAGGAGACTCCACCACACTCCTTGGCAGCAAATTCCATTGTCGAACAGCTCTTACTGTCAGGAAGTTCTTCCTAATGTTTAGGTGGAATCTTCTTTCTTGTAGTTTGGATCCATTGCTCCGTGTCCGCTTCTCTGGAGCAGCAGAAAACAACCTTTCTCCCTCCTCTATGTGACATCCTTTTATATATTTGAACATGGCTATCATATCACCCCTTAACCTCCTCTTCTCCAGGCTAAACATGCCCAGCTCCCTTAGCCGTTCCTCATAAGGCATCGTTTCCAGGCCTTTGACCATTTTGGTTGCCCTCCTCTGGACACGTTCCAGTTTGTCAGTGTCCTTCTTGAACTGTGGTGCCCAGAACTGGACACAGTACTCCAGGTGAGGTCTGACCAGAGCAGAATACAGTGGCACTATTACTTCCCTTGATCTAGATGCTATACTCCTATTGATGCAGCCCAGAATTGCATTGGCTTTTTTAGCTGCCGCGTCACACTGTTGGCTCATGTCAAGTTTGTGGTCAACCAAGACTCCTAGATCCTTTTCACATGTACTGCTCTCAAGCCAGGTGTCCCCCATCTTGTATTTGTGCCTCTCTCTCTTTTTTCTTTTCTTTTTTCTTTTTTTTTTTTGCCTGGTCCATCTGGTCCAACCCCTTGCAATGCAGGAATCTTTTTGTGCAACGTGGGGGCTGGAACCCTGATATTTAGAGTCTCTTGCTCTGCCAGGTCTGCGGGGCAGAGTTGCACAATGAGAGCAGATTGTCATACAATCACAGAATTGTAGAGTCGGAAGGGACCTCTGAGGAGCATCTAGTCCAACCCGGTTTAATGCAGGAATATGCAGCTCTCCCATATGGGGATCGAACCCGCATCCTTGGTGATAACACACTCTCACCAACTTTGCTATCCACGCTACACTCTCACCAACTTTGCTATCCACGCTGATGGTTCTCAATTCCCTGTTTGCCAGATGGGCTTCCTGGCTTTGTAGCGCATGTGCTCATTCGGATGTGAGGGGATCTTTGAAAACACTGCTCTGTTAAAAAACCGGCAGCCTTTTTGTCCAAGGAGTCGATTACGCAAGAACCCAAGTGAAAAAGATGGAGAGGTAGAAGGTTTTGGATTATCACAAAAGATGCAGGAGGGAATGATTAACAGATAGGACCCACAAAGGGGAGGAGGGAAGTCCAAGAGATTCCTTGGAATCTTGTTTTTATGTTGTATGTTGGATAAAGGTAAAGGTACCCCTGCCCATACGTCTTGACAGTCTTGACAGACTCTAGGGTTGTGCGCCCATCTCACTTAAGAGGCCGGGGGCCAGCGCTGTCCGGAGACACTTCCGGGTCACGTGGCCAGCATGACATCGCTGCTCTGGCGAGCCAGAGCCGCACACGGAAACGCCGTTTACCTTCCCGCTAGTAAGCGGTCCCTATTTATCTACTTGCACCCGGGGGTGCTTTCAAACTGCTAGGTTGGCAGGCGCTGGGACCGAGCAACGGGAGCGCACCCCGCCGCGGGCATTCGAACCGCTGACCTTTCGATCGGCAAGCCCTAGGCGCTGAGGCTTTTACCCACAGCGCCACCCGCGTCCCGTATGTTGGATATGTGACTGTAAAATTTTAATCTGAAAAACCAAATAATTTTTTAAAAAATGAATAAAATGAAAGTGAATAATGAACAAGAGTGAGGCAATTGGACCTGGCTGAGTTAGAAAGGAGCAGTGGGGTTGCCACTACCACATTTGCAGCCTTGTTCCTCATGCTAGGGACGTGGGTGGCGCTGTGGGTTAAACAACAGAGCCTAGGACGTGCTGATCAGAAGGTCGGCAGTTCGAATCCCTGCGACGGGGTGAGCTCCCGTTGCTCAGTCCCTGCTCCTGCCCACCTAGCAGTTCAAAAGCACGTCAAAGTGCAAGTAGATAAATAGGTACCACTCTGGCAGGAAGGTAAACGGCATTTCCGTGCGCTGCTCTGGTTGGCCAGAAGCGGCTTAGTCATGCTGGCCACATGACCCGGAAGCTGTACACCGGCTCCCTCGGCCAATAAAGCGAGATGAGCGCCGCAACCCCAGAGTCGGTCACAACTGGACCTAATGGTCAGGGGTCCCTTTACCTTTACTTCTCATGCTAGAAGGGGCAGAGAGGCAAGTGTGCTTTGGGCTATGCCAGCCTTGAGTTGTAGAAAATGATTGGGCCAGCATCCAGCCCACTGCCATCGAGAGTCAGAAGTGGGGCACAGTTGGAGATTCCATGCAGCCTCTCCAGAATGGATAGCTTACAAAAGTTAAAGCCGAGCTTTAAAAAGCATACACTCGTGGCCAAAATTGTGGAAAGCTTTTGGGGAAAGTTTATTTCTTAAGTTTGATGGCTCATAACAGACGATTGGCTCTCTAAACACTCGTGCTCACTGGCTTCATTCAAATGAAGGAAAGCTACTGCATATCAACCTGAGCAAGTTGTGTTTCCTTTTTCTGGTCATTTGACTGCAACTTTTGATAGAATACAGATAACTGAAGAAACTTTGTAGCATTACATTCTTCATTAAATTATCTTTCCACTGCTATATAATTTTATGGTATTACTCAAAAGAAAAGTGGTGTTATGAGCCATCAGACCTCAGAAATACACTTTTTCCAAATGGTTTCCACAATTTTGGTCGCTAGCGTAGATGAAAACACTGCTTGTCAGTGATCGCTGAATATAGCAATGGGAGGAATCTAGGCAGGGATGTGGTATGTTTCTCTCTGGTTGATGAGTCTGTGTATGGATGCAGAAAGGAAGAGGATGCACTTGATAGATAATAGAATCTTAGAGCTGGAAGGGACCCGAGGGTCATCTAGTCCAACCCCCTGCAATGCAGGGAACTCAGCTGAAGCATCCATGACCGATGTCCCTCCAACCTCTGCTTAAAAACCACCAAGAAAGGAGAGTCCATAACCTAAGGTAGACCAAGATGCAGTCTTGGTCCAGGTGCTTAGATTTTGGGCAGGGATCCCGCAAACGGGCAGTGTAATAGGAACATGAATAGCTGTGCGAGCAATAGAGTCTCCATATGCAGAAGCGGTATACCGGATCTCAAATGTTGTGTATTACATGATTCACAGTACAGTCATACCTCGGGTTACAGACGCTTCAGGTTGTGTTTTTTCAGGTTACAGACCCACCGAAACCTGGAAGTACTGGAACAGGTTACTTTTGGGATTCGCGCATGCGCATAAGCACTAAATTGTGCTTTGCGCATGCGCAGAATCACAACCCGCGCATGCGCAGACGCGCCGCTGTGGGTTGTGAACGTGCATCCCGCACGGATGACGTTCGCAACCCGAGCATCCACTGTATGAGCAATCAAAATGAAAAATTTGTTTTCATCAGAGAATGTTTTTCTGCAGATAAGAGATGGAAGAGCAAGACTCTGCCGCCCTCGAAGCAGGAAGACAGCCTGATAGCATCATGACTGGGAGCACTGGGGAAATTTGGGTTGGAAGCAGACACAAGACATTGAGGCAGAACATCCATGGTTCAGATGTGCACAGCCAACAGTTTAGGCACTTCCAGTACCAGGAGGCCAAGGGACCACGGGATATTTGCAGCCGACTCCACCATCTCTGCTGTCAGTGGCTGAAGCCGGGGAGACACACCAAGGCTCAGATCCTGGATTTAGTTATCTTGGAGCAGTTCCTGGCTGTCCTCCCCCCAGAGATGGAGAACTGGGTGAGGGAATGCGGAGCGGAGACCAGCTCCCAGGCGGTGGCCCTGGCCGAAGGTTTCCTCCTGAGCCGGGCAGAGGAGAAGAAGCAGGAAGAGCAGCAGGTGAGAATGTTTAATCTACATTAAACCTAACAAACAGTAGCCCCAGAAGTTGTTGGACTAAATCCATCATCTCTTAGCATTGGCTGAAGGCAGCTGGCGTTGAACATCTGGAAGGCACTGCTTTGACTGGCCCTGGTTTTTTGCTTTTGTGTTGTTGTTTTTCAAAAAATATTATTCATTTTATAACACAAATAAACAATACAAACAGAAATACAAACAATACAAATTCTTGTCTTCTCCTTATTTTTTCTAAGCATTGTTAGGTGAGCTTCCCCAAGTTCCCCCTATCTGATTTTCATCTTTAGCAGTTTCATATATCATAATTTTCAACCATTTTTTATCACCTACTTTTACCATAAAAATCTTCACATTTTATCACTTACAAATAATACTATTTTAAAATACACTACCTTCTACTTCTAACCCTACAGCCTATATCTACTTCCAAAGCTATTCTAAGATTTAAATATTCACATAGTTTTTCAAATATTCTTTAAACTTCTTCCAATCTTCTTCCACCGTCTCTTCTCTCTGGTCTCAGTGTCTTCCGGTCAGTTTGGCAAGTTCCATATAGTCCACCATCTTCATCTGCCATTCTTTGATAGTTGGTAAATCTTGTTTCTTCTAATTATTCCCTAGTAGACTGGCCCTGATTTTGATTAGATTTGGTTTGATTTATTATATTTCCATGTCACTTTTCATTCAAATGAGTCTCAAAGCGACTTGCAAACAATAAATAACAGTAACATAGCAAAACATAACGGAACAACATTATGTAAAATAACTAGCAGATCATCAGTAAAACAATTGCAATCTACATAATGCTAGTAACAAATCAGCCACAAAAACGGTAAGCTGATAGCTGAACATCACAATTTTAGCAAATGACATACTATATGATTGACAGGTTAATACGGCATTTAGAATCAATAAAACAAAAATGGAAAATGAGTGAGGTCCCAACCAAAGAAGAATGGCAGCTTAAGCTGATGGAATATGCGCAGCTTGCAGACTTAACATACAGAATAAGAGAACAAGAAGAACATACATTTAGAAAAGATTGGAAAATGTTTATTGAATGTATGGGGGGAAATAGTGTACACTTGAAAACGTGGGCAGCATTAAAATAAATTCAACAGTGTAAATAAGCTTTGATGGAAGTAATAATGGAATACTGACTGGTTTAGTTTATGGAAAATATGCAGGGATTCATGTTATGGAAAATGAACCATGGAAAGAAGAAGGGAAGTCATTGATATTTTAAGGCTGTTTAAATGAATATTTTAAAATGTAAAGCAGAAATAAAACAATATTAACTTTTTTAAAAGGCCAAGCGTTGTTACATGGTCCCAAGCAGGTCAGACTGTGGGTACAAAATTCTGTATTCCCTGTCCAAATTTTTTAGAAATCATCAAAGTTTTCAGCTGTGTCATTTCTCCCCATTTAATGCCTTCCATCCTTATTGCTGTTGTTCCAGGTAAAGGGTCTGTTTGCTGAAATGGGAGGTGATTCCCCTGCAGCCGAGACGACTCCATCAGACCCCAGACAGAAGCCATTGGGTGAGGATCAGTGCAATGTATCTCAGTTTGGTCTCTCTCCATGTTGTGAATTGAACTTCCATGGAAGTACCCGTATTTTTCGCACCATAGGACGCACCGGACAATAGGACGCACTTTGTTTTAGAGGGGGGAGAACAAGAAAAAAAAAATCTCCCCCCTCTCTGCCCAGCGCCCCTTCAGTGAAGCCCCCGCTCTAAAACAAGGTGCCGTTTAAGGTGCGTTCAGGCGGCTACCTTGGAAGCCTGGAGAGCGAGAGGGGTCGGTGTGCACTGACCCCTCTCGCTCTCCAGGCTTCAGGTTCCTTTCGACCTGCTCTTTGGGGCTGGCGGGGGGAAGCCCACCACCAGCCCCAAAGAGCAGGTCAGGGAGCAGCAGAGAGGTGCAGCGGAGAGGCTCCTGCCATAGCCGCGCGTCACCTCTCCAGCCGGGAGAGGGTCGCGGGGCTATGGCGTCTTCGCTCCATAGGACGCACACACATTTCCCCTTCATTTTTGAAGGGGAAAAAGTGCGTCCTATAGAGCGAAAAATACGGTAGTTGCTATTTGGAGGTAATGAACTGGAACTAACTTCTTCTCAAATGTACTGAGGAAATTCCACTGACATTCTGATGGTCTTAACTTTTCTAGAAAAATAGGCATCAGAACTCACCGTGAACACCTCTAGTAATAATAATAATAATAATAATAATAATAATAATAATAATAATAATAATTTATTCACTAGCTATTCAGGGCAGCTCCCAACAGAATATTAAACACAATAAAAGATCAAACATTAAAAACCTCCCTAAACAGATCTGCCTTCAGATGTCTTCTAAAAGTCAGATAGTTGTTTATTTCCTTGACATCTGATGGGAGGGTGCCACTACCAAGAAGGCCCTCTGCCTGGTTCCCTGTAGCCTCACTGAGAGGTGCCGGAACTGAGTTCTGTTGAGTTCCACCTGGAAAAAAGCCTTGGTCTTAATACTGAGGCTTGGCCTAATTTCTGTCCCACTAGAGTGAATCTGATGTTTCAAGAGGGAATTCCTTTCTACTTTAAGTGATGGGGCTTTCATTCAGTCACACAAATGTCTTATTCATATTGGTGCCCATTATAAAAAAAGACATTTTTTCCTGGAAGTATTTTATCACCCTTACTGCTGCTCTAAGAAAAACCATTTGCAGACCTTAGCTTTCCAGGGGACACACTTTTTTGGATAGCAGGATTAATAACATTTCAACCTGCCCAATTTGTGAATCTGGTGGAGTTGAGAAGGTCTTTAAAGTTGCCTCTTCTATGAACTTTCTAGGCAAAAATTCCTTTCTTGTTTTCCTCTCGGACCTGATAAATTTCTGTACACTTTAGGTAGTTCTGTCCCTATAACTCCCAAAAGAAAAGCTTTTCGGTTTTTTTTACAAAGGTTATTTTAAACAACCTTTTCAATTCATTATATATCATTTCCCAGTAAGCTTTAACCTTACTACAAGACCACCACATATGAAGCTAGGATTTTTTCTAAGTTAGGCATGCATTTCAGAGGTGAGGATGTCCTAATGGCTCTCTGGCACGTTTGTTTGTCTCCTTCAGGCGAGGGAATGAAGCGGCCAAGACATCCTCATTCATTTCCTCTTTGTGGCGGAGGAGAAGGAGCCGCTGTGGAATCGGATCAGGTGGGACATGGGTGGGGGAACTGGTTCAGGCTGAGGGCCACATTCTTATCTGAGCAACCTTCCAGGGGTGGGTGAGAGCAGAGGGGTCATATTCCAGCAGGGCAAAAACACTCAAGGTCGTATGAATTAGGTTGGGGATGTCAGGAGCTCGTCCTACACTCGAGTAGGACCCGACTGGCATGTTCTCTCCCTCCTGGTTGTTCGTTTGGGAGCTTCAAAAGCTTTCTTCAGCCCGAACATCATAGCGACCGATGCCAACAGACATCGGCACACTTAGGGATCCACAGAGTGTTCGCAACTTGCATAACAGACTTCAGCAACTCAGCATTTTGGCTAATCTACTTTATTTACATATAAAACACACACAGAGCACTGCAACATAGCTCCTTCTCTCTCTAGCATCAGACAGCAAAGAGAAGAACAAAGGACAATAGTCCCACTTCAGGAAACACAGTAATACAAGCATCCTGTCTCCGTCACTTCCCACTCTGTGGAGTCAAAATATACATCGTCATGTGATAGACAACAATTGCATGACTGCAATCATGGAGCAGAAATTCTAACAGGGGAGAGGTGTTGCTGGGGAGGGGCAGTGTCACAGGAATGTGCCGGTCAGTAATCACTAATAATAATAATAATAATAATAATAATAATAATAATAATAATAATTTATTACTTATACCCCGCTCATCTGTATATTATATGCAAGGAGGTGTTTCCTTTTTCTTTTTAGGGTCCAGTGTCCTTTGAGGATGTGGCTGTACATTTCACAGAAGAAGAGTGGGCTGTGTTGGATCCTGACCAGAGAGCTCTGCACAAGGAAGTCATGGAGGAAAATAGAGGCATTGTGGCCTTTCTGGGTAAGGCTCCCTGTTGGATCATAATTCCCATTTTGAAATTCAGTACTTTTTTGTGCGCGGCGAACCCCAATATTCTGATGTAGCTCAATAGTGTTGGAGCGTCGGTTGACGCTCGACTGGGTGGCGAAGACCTTCCCACACACGGGGCACGGGCTCATCCGCTTCCTTTTGTACAGCTTCACCGGGTTTTTATGAAGCAAAGGAGTCAAGCTTTGGGGAATCGGCTTTCTCCTCCATGGCAGTAAAGAAGAAGATCAAATGAAAAGAACGTCTTACCAGTTAGATTCTTTAATAATCCCAGCGAGAGAACAAAGAACACATCTCCTAGAAATGGTGGTGCTCCCAATTAAGGCTTGCACCCCCTCCGTCCCTATTAATCTATGTTGCTCCTACTTCTTGTAATCTGAGCTTGTTCTCTCTGCACTTTCTGTTCTGAGACTTTCTGACTTGGGGGGGGGGGTGGAGGAATGCTGTCCGACGACTGTGAATCTGCTAACCCTCTCTCTCCCCCAGTGTTTCTTCTCCTAGCTGTTCCCCATCCAGTATTTCCCAGCTTCAGCCTTCTGAACTATGCCCCTCTGCAAGCTGCTGTTCCAAATCTACACTGTCCTCCTGCTCCTGGGAAGATTCAGGGTCAGGGGGAGGGAGAGGCTCCCACCATTCCTCCTCTGTGCAGCCCTCCTCAGCATGGTCCCTGACAAAAGGTCGCAGCCTGGAATGATCACTGATGTGATCGTCCCCACGGACACTTCCTTTCCCAGATTGATCTCTGGTTCGTTCTGGTGGTCAGAGATGTTCTCCTCCTTCTCCAGGCCCTGAAGCCCTCTGCAGTTTACTTTGAACTGACAGTTATCTAATGTATTCTCTCTGAATTTGCATCCTTTCGTTGTGCCCTTCTAAACAATGACCTGTCTGCTTTGAACTGAGCAGACCTTTCGAAATGTAAGTTTCACAGTTTTTAGGGAGGCAGAACTAGCATCTCAGCCATTTTCTGTTGGGGCAGAGAGCTGACTGGCATAAGAGATGGAGCAGATTTGGTTTGACTGAAATAATAATAATGTCCCTCTTATGGAGAAAAAAAATTGGCCAGTAACTAAAAAGGGCCCCCCACTCCTGATCTTTCTCAATAAATCTAATCTTTTCTGCACATTTCCTCTATTCCAGCACTTGAAGTCTCCATCTTCCAATCTAGGAGTATTTATTTGTTTTTCTTGATTAAAAACTTTTATATCCTAACACTGCATTTAATAAAAATCTAAAGGGGGAATTACTGCTTGTATAGGCCTTGCAAACCTATAAGATAGGTGAAGTTGATTAGACTGAGAGAGTGTGATTGGCTGAAGACCATCCAATGAGATTCACCTCTCTCTAGGAGCTGAACATACATCTCTATGGCCCAAATCCATAGCACTCCAGCAGTCAGTTAACACCAGTCAACAGAGGCAGTTAAAATCTGCCTCCCATCCAAGTCCTTCCAGCTTTCCCGTTATCACAAGCATTGAAGTTGTTATAATAATAATAATAATTTATTATTTATACACCGCTCATCTGGCTAGGTTTTCCCAGGCATTCTGGGCGGCTTCCAATACAATATTAAAATACAGTAGTCTGTTAAACATTAAAAGCTTCCCTAAACAGGGCTGCCTTCAGATGTCGTCTAAAGGTTTGGTGGTTGTTGTTCTCTTTGGGAGGGCGTTCCACAGGTCGGGAGCCACTACTGAGAAGGCCCTCTGCCTGGTTCCCTGTAATTTGGCTTCTTGCAGTGAGGGAACTGTCAGAAGGCCCTCGGTGCTGAACCTGTGTCCGGGCAGAACGAGGGGGGTGGAGACACTCCTTCAGGTATACTGGGCCAAGGCCGTTTAGGGCTTTAAAAGTCAACACCAACACTTTGAATTGTGCTTGGAAACATGCTGGGAGCCAATGTAGGTCTTTCAAGACCGGTGTTAAGTGGTCTTGGCGGCCGCTCGCAGTCACCAGTCTAGCTGCCACATTCTGGATTAGTTGTAGTTTCCGTGTTTCAAAGGTAGCCCCACATAGAGTGCATTGCAGTAGTCCAAGAGAGAGATAACCAGAGCATGCACCACTCTGGCGAGACAGTCCGCAGGCAGGTAGGGTCTCAGCCTGCGTACCAGATGGATTTGTTCAGTGTTCAGTGATTGTATTCAGTGATTTGAGGCTTCTGTCCACAGGCTTTTAGCTATTTCTCTCTTCATTGCAGGTGACAAATCAAAAACCAACAATAAAGGAAAACGAGTTGGAAAAGAGTCACTGGAAAGATGCTCAAAGAAGGGAAAGCAAAGAAGGAAAACTGAAGCAGAGAAGATGGAAAGGAATACACCCCCAGCCTCTCAGGGTAGTAACTACAATGAAATTGCAGTCAAAGAAAAAACAGATATAAGAAGCAAAAAGAAGTGTCGGGATTATTGGAAAATTTTCGGTTCTAAAAGAAAATGTAAAGCACATTGCCAAAACTGCAAAGGGGAGAAACCATATAAATGCTTTGAGTGTGGAAAGAGCTTCACGAGAAACTCCGCACTCATTTTCCATCGAGGAATTCATAATGGAGAGAAACCATATAAATGCTTGGAATGTGGAAAGAGCATTAGTTGCAAGCAGGGACTTAGTTATCATCAAAGAATTCACACAGGGGAGAAACCGTATCAGTGTATGGACTGTGGAAAAAGCTTCACTCGGAAGATATATCTTACTAATCACCAAATGATTCACACAGGGGAGAAGTCTTATAAGTGCCTGGAATGTGGAAAAGGCTTCGCTCAGAGCTCCAGGCTCACTTCCCATCAGAGAATTCACGTTGGGGAGAAACCATATAAATGCCTGGAGTGTGGAAAGGGCTTCAGCGGCAAAAAGAGCGTCACTTATCATCAAAGAATTCACACAGGAGAGAAACCATATAAATGCTTAGAATGTGAAAAGAGCTTCATGCATAAGGCAAGCCTCACTTTTCATCAGAGAACTCACACAGGGGAGAAACCATATAAATGCTTGAATTGTGGGAAAAGCTTCACCCATAAGACAAGTCTCACTTTGCATCAGAGAACTCACACAGGGGAGAAACCCTATACGTGCTTGGAATGTGGAAAGAGCTTCCCTCGGAGTGGTGAGCTTTCTTCCCATCAGAGAATTCATACAGGGGAGAAACCGTTTGAATGTTTGGAATGTGGAAAGAGCTTCCGTCACAGTTCTAGCCTTTCTTCCCATCAGAGAATTCATACAGGGGAAAAGCCACATAAATGTTTGGCGTGTGGAAAGAGCTTCACTCGGAAGGTACATCTTACTAATCATCAGAGAATCCACACTGGGGAGAAACCATATAAATGCTTGGAATGTGGAAGCAGCTTTATTTCCAAACACAGACTCACTTCCCATGGAAGAATCCACACACAGGACTTACCGTATAAGTGCATGGAATGTGGGAAGAGCTTCATCTTGAAGCAAAGTCTCACCTCCCATCTACGAATTCACAGTGGGGTGAAGCCATACAAATGCTTCCAATGCGGAAAGAGCTTCAGTGGGAAGGCCCACCTTAGTTCTCATGAAAGAATTCACACAGGGGAGAAACCATATAAATGTTCTGAGTGTGGAAAGGGCTTCAAAGACGGTTCTAGCCTTCTCTTCCATAAAACAATTCACACCGGGGAGAAACCGTACGAATGCTTGGTGTGTGGAAAGGGGTTCAGAGACAAATCTCACCTTACGAAACACAAAAGAATTCACACAGAGGAGAAGCCATATAAATGCTTAGAATGTGGAAGGAACTTCAGCTGCAAGAAAAGTATCCGTAATCACCAAAGAATTCACATAGGTAAGAAACTTTAAAAAAAATGTTTGGAAAGAGCTTCAGGAGACGTACACGTTTTTGTTGTCATCAATGCAGTGGCGTAGCGTGGGGGGTGCAGGGGGGGCCGGCCGCACCGGGCGCAACATCTGGGGGTTAGGCAAATCCACGGGTTAGGGGGCGCAAATCCACGGGTTAGGGGGCGCAAATTACTTGCCTTGCCCCGGGTGCTGACAACCCACGCTACGCCACTGCATCAATGGATTCACAAAGGGCGAAACCATATTAATGTTTGACTATAGAATGGGGTTCAGGAAGAAGATACAACTCACTTCTCAAAAGGAGCCACACAAAGGATCATTTATGTAAATACTTAAGAAGGTGTGGCCTTTACATTGCCACAGAAGAGACATCTCACTGATCATCAAAGAATTCACAATGGAGAGAGACCGTATACATAAATGCTTGGATTATGGAAAGGACTTCATCTGCAAAAAAGTTTCATTTCCCATCAGAGAATTCATAAAAGGGGAAAAGTATAGAGAAGTTTGCTGTGTGCACTGTCAGGGACTGGTAGGAAGCAGAGGAACGGTGGAGGAACTGGCTGGGGAACCATCAAGGGAAGATGGCTCAGAGCCCAGGGATTGGTGGTGGGACAACAATGAGTGGTCAGAGGGAGAGGGGGGAGAAGTCTGGGAGAAGGAGAAGTCGGAAGCTGAAGAGGTAACAGGGCTTAGTGAGCTGGGAGAGTCTGTGGCAGAAAGAAGACCAGAATCGGGGGGAAGCCAAAGCAGGTGAATAGGAGGAGGAGGTAAAGAGATAGAAATGCAAGGAGTCACAAATGTCTTCCCCTCCTGCTGCGACAAGCTCCTCTCACTCCCAGAACCAAAAGAGGCATGAAAAGGGAAGAGCAAAGAAGGACATACAGGCACAGTCTCTGATTGCTTGGGGAAAGCTCTGGAGATGGCTCCCCACATAGACAGCTGTGAGAAGGCAGGGACCTTTAGTCTCGGCAATTGGTTTCATGGTGGTTTTTTAAAAAAAGGTAAAGTACTCCTGGACAATTAAGTCTAGTCAAAGGCAACTATGGGGTTGCAGCGCTCATCTCGCTTTCAGGCCGAGGGAGCTGGCGTTTGTCCGCAGACAGCTTTCTGGGTCATGGGCCAGCAGGACTAAACCGCTTCTGGCACAACAGGATACCGTGACCGAAACCAGAGTGCACGGAAACACCGTTTACCTTCCCACCACAGTGGTACCTATTTATCTACTTGTAGTGGCGTGCTTTAGAACGGCTAGGTTGGTAGGAACTGGGAAAGAACAACAGGAGCTCACCCCGTTGTGGGGATTCGAACTGCCGACCTGCAAGCTCAAGAGGCTCAGTGGTTTAGACCACAGTGCCACCCACATCATGGGGTAATGGGGTAACACATACAGGGAATGAACTGCTGTGCTCATTAAGGCTGACACTCAGCCCAGTCTGTGAAGATCATGTTTTGCTAATAAAGAGATAATTCCAGCTTTGAACTGTGTGATTTCCTGGCCGGTGTTTGCTCAATGACGTGTGCAGGAAATGTTTCAGAAGAAGGCACAAACTCCAGTCACCATTGAAGAATTCCTAAAGTGGGAGAGAGTGTATTATAATTTTACATTGTTATTATGAGGCTATTACTGGATTATTGTAATTGGAAAACGAATAAAATCATTATAAGATATAAAAACATAATAAAATGCCAAATGTTAAAAACTTAAGGGCAAGATGTGAGGAGAGAAGGAAGTGGCTTTAAGGATCCAGCGCTGAGTTTAAAGACGTCTGGATGTCAGGTCCCAGAATGTAAGTTTCTCAGGAAGAGGTATCTCCAAGCTCGCTTTGCCAGGCCTGCCGCAAATGGTAGACCTGTTGCTGGCTGGTAGTTCTTTTTGTTCACTACAAAAAGGTGTAGCCTTTTCAGGCTTTGCCTTCGGGTGGGAAGAGCATTGCGCCCGGGACAGGGAAGTGGGAGTCAACAGACACTCAAGGGATAATCCAGAGAAAGAGCTTTAGTGCTACCATCCGGGCTGGTAGAAGGAGTAAGCGTGTAGCCTTATGAGGCTTTGCCCTCGGGTGGGAAAAATATTGCGCCTGGGAAAGGGAAGTGGGAGTCAACAGACACTCAAAGAATAGTTTCGGAGAAAAGGCTTTTATTTCTACCATCCATGAACTGGTAGAAGGAGCAAGTGTGATAAGTCGCAAAAAGCATGCACGAGTTCACAATCATGTGCACAAGCATATATACCCCTTTCTAGTTCCCTCCCCCTTTCTCCTCCCTCAGGAGTCCTGCCCCATGTTGAGGTTCCTCTGAGCATGTACAGAAAGCTGTCTTGGGACTATTGTGGACTCTTGGCAGGAAAGGGGGTGAGGGGGTTTCAGTGTGTTCCCGTTGTTTCATTCTTGTGCTTTGGCATGGTTCCCGGAGAGAAAGCAAGTTGCAATGTGGTTCTGAGAAAGGCCTGAGAAGACAATGGGCTCTGTTCTCTACCTTCTTGCAATCTTTTTAGTTGGGGGGGGGTGACTTCGGGCTTAGTTGAGGTCACCTGTCCTCACCTTCCTTCAAGCGTGATAACTCACAAGCTTAGCACAAGTTTTGCAGCCATTTGCACAGAGCATATATCCCCTCCAGTTCCCTCCCCTTTCTCCCCCTCCTCAGGAGCCCTGCCCCATGATGAGTTTTCCTGAGCATGAACAGAAACTCCTGTCTTGTGACTCCCAGGAAAAAGGGGGGTGAGAAGCCTGTGCCTGTGCTTGGCATCGACAGAGCCTATTCATTAGCTTTGAAACTTTTTGTGCTGATAAAAATAACGTTTTGCTTATGTAGCAGCATCTTGTGAGAAAAGCTGAAGCTGTGGATTTTAGAAGAGAGAAAAGGGAATTTTGGGGCTACAGTTTTTGAGGCCTGGGGTGATTTCACAGACAGGATTTGGGTATCCTGTCCCTTCAAAGGGAGTGAAATGTAAATCTGCTTGCTCCCTTTAGTTTTCCCACCACCCTATGGAGATACGAGGTCACATATGGTCAAATCTCCCCACAGTAATAATAATAATAATTTATTTATATCCCACCCTCCCCAGCCGAAGCTGGTTTCAGAGCGGCTAACAACAATAAAAGTAACACAGCATTCTAAAATCAATTCATTTTAAAATCAATTCAAAATCAAATTAATGGCAGCTACAGTGGTGCCTCGCCAGTGTGGTGTAGTGGTTAAGAGCGGTAGTCTCGTAATCTGGGTTCGCGTCTCCGCTCCTCCACATGCAGCTGCTGGGTGACCTTGGGCCAGTCACACTTCTCTGAAGTCTCTCAGCCCCACTCACCTCACAGAGTGTTTGTTGTGGGGGAGGAAGGGAAAGGAGAATGTTAGCCGCTTTGAGACTCCTTCGGGTAGTGATTAAGCGGGATATCAAATCCAAACTCTTCTTCTTCTTCTTCTTCTCGCAATACGAAATTAATTCGTTCCACGAGTTTTGTCGCCTTGCGATTTTTTTCGTCTTGCGAAGCACGGTGTCGGGAAAGTTTTGGAAAAGCTTCAACAATCACCAAAGTCTTCAAAAACCTCAAAAAAGGCTACCACACCGTGTGCTATGGGTTGCTTCTCGAAGTCAAGTCGCAACTGTATTAACGGTGTTAAGAAAAAGGAAACAAACTTGCAAGACGTTTCCGTCTTGCGAAGCAAGCCCATAGGGAAAATCGTCTTGCGAAGCAGCTCAAAAAACAAAAAACCCTTTCGTCTAGCGAGTTTTTTGTCTTGCGAGGCATTCGTCTTGCGAGGTACCACTGTATTGGGCTAGAGTTCTGTGAGGATTACCAAAGGAGAGGGTGAGACTGTGCCTTGGCCAACAACACAACCTTTTGTGAACAACTTTCTGGGGGCCGCATACCAATGGTGGGAGGGGCCAAAGGCAAAAGTGACCGATTGATGGAGGTGCCATTTGTACAATAGGCTGAATTTCAGTCAGACACACACAAAGAGGCTTAATCCCACTTCCAGAACGATACTCGCCGTACGTCTGAAGCACATGGCTTCCCTAAGGAATTCTGGGAACTGCAGTTTACATCTCATGGACTACCATTCCCAGCACCCTGAACAAACTACAGTTCCCAGGATTCTTTTTTTGGGGGGGGGAGTTATGCATTTTAAATGCATGGTGTGTATGCAGCCAAAGAACACCACAAAAGAGGAATGGAGCATGACTGGTGAAGGTGTTTGGCCTCCAGGACTAAGGTTCCCCCACCATGACCAGCTATAATTTCAAGCATGATGAATTCATTCAGGACTTTTATGGCTAGTTGTGTGTGTGGTGCAAAAAAAGGGGGACGGAAGTAAACAGTCAATCTGGAGGTGCAGCAACCCCTACTTTACTTTTAACACCTCCCCTAAAGTTCTTCCCGTTCAAAATCGTTCTCAATATCAGAGCTGAACGATGGGGGTGGAGACGCTCCTTCAGGTATACTGGACCGAGGCCGTTTAGGGCTTTAAAGGTCAGCACCAACACTTTGAATTGTGCTCGGAAACGTACTGGGAGCCAATTAAGATCTTTCAGGACCAGTCTCGGCAGCCACTCCCAGTCACCAGTCTAGCTGCCGCATTCTGGAATAATTGCAGTTTCCCAGTCACCTTCAAAGGTAGCCCCACATAGTGCGCATTGCAGTAGTCTAAGTGGGAGATAACCAGAGCATGCACCACTCTGGAAAGACGGTCCATGGGCAGGGAGGGTCTCAGCCTGCGTACCAGATGGAGCTGGTAAACAGCTGCCCTGGACACAGAATTGACCTGTGCCTCCATGGACAGCTGTGAGTCCAAAATGACTCCCAGGCTGCGCACCTGGTCCTTCAGGGGCACAGTTACCCCATTCAGGACCAGGGTGTCCCCCACACCAGCCCGCCCCCTGTCCCCCAAAAACAGTACTTCTGTCTTGTCAGGATTCAACCTCAATCCGTTCGCTGCCATCCATCCTTCAACCTGACACACTAACCACTGCACACCACTGCTGGCTTTAAAAGAGGACTGTAGGAAGTCATGGACGACCAGGCCAGCCGTGGCTGCTACTGGTGATGCCTCTGGGTGCCAGTCACTGGGAATCTCAGGAGGGTTGGAGTCCCACGCTCTAACCACTGCACCGCACCACACGGGCTCCATGAAGACAGCTCCTTGCGTCGGCAGAGAGCGAGACTCTTAATCTCAGGCCCGTGGGTTCAAGCCCCACGGCGGGCAAAAAAGATCCCTGCATCGCAATGGGGTTGGACTTGATGACCCCTGGGGGTCCCTTCCAACTCAACAATTCTATGGCTCTATGTCATAAAGTGTGGCTCATGGCCAGCCTTTTCCACGCCTCCCTGAATTGACCCAGTTGATCGTGGAGTTGTTGCTGTTGTTTTAAAAACCTGATGATGCTTTGGACACACACCCCAGTCCTTGCTTAGAGCGTGGTGCTGATAACGGCAAGGTTGCAGGTTCGATCCCCGTCTATTCCTGCTTTGCAAGGGGGTTGGACTGGATGATCCTTGGGGTCCCTTCCGAGGCCACAATTCCACGACATTACGATTCTATGCACGGCTTCGGCTCGGGCTACCTCACAAGGCTGTTGTGAGGATAAAAGGAGGGCAGGAGAACCAAGTGCGTGGTATGGGGGTCCTTGGTGGAAAAAGTCCTTGGATATATACCGTATTTTTCACTCCATAAGACGCACCCGACCAAAAATGAGAGGCACAAATACAAGATGGGTGACACCTGGCTTGAGAGCAGTACATGTGAAAAGGATCTAGGAGTCTTGGTTGACCACAAACTTGACATGAGCCAACAGTGTGACGCGGCAGCTAAAAAAGCCAATGCAATTCTGGGCCGCATCAATAGGAGTATAGCATCTAGATCAAGGGAAGTAATAGTGCCACTGTATTCTGCTCTGGTCAGACCTCACCTGGAGTACTGTGTCCAGTTCTGGGCACCACCGTTCAAGAAGGACACTGACAAACTGGAACGTGTCCAGAGGAGGGCAACCAAAATGGTCAAAGGCCTGGAAACGATGCCTTATGAGTAACGGCTAAGGGAGCTGGGCATGTTTAGCCTGGAGAAGAGGAGATTAAGGGGTGATATGATAGCCATGTTCAAATATATAAAAGGATGTCACATAGAGGAGGGAGAAAGGTTGTTTTCTGCTGCTCCAGACAAGCGTACACGGAGCAATGGATTCAAACTACAAGAAAGAAGATTCCACCTAAACATTAGGAAGAACTTCCTGACAGTAAGAGCTGTTCGACAGTGGAATTTGCTGCCAAGGAGTGTGGTGGAGTCTCCTACTTTGGAGGTCTTTAAGCAGAGGCTTGACAACCATATGTCAGGAGTGCTCTGATGGTGTTTCCTGCTTGGCAGGGGGTTGGACTCGATGGCCCTTGTGGTCTCTTCCAACTATGATTCTATGATAAGATGCACCTAGTTTTTAGAGGAGGAAAACAAGAAAAAAAATATTCTGAACAAAACAGTGGATGTATGATTTTTGTGGTTCATGCTGTGGCCACAGACATGTGATTTGACGGTGAGTTTGGGGTAGCCCAATGCAAAAATCCTGAGGATCCGTGTGGATCCGTGCTTTGTAACTACGTTTTTGCGCCATTGCGGCCCCACAGAACAGTGGATGGGGGGGGTTGTGCAGGCTGTAGCCATGGACATGCTATGTGATCTGATGGTGAAATTGGGGTGACCCAATGCAAAGATCCTGAGGATCCATGTGGATCTGTGCTTTGTAATCACGTTTTTGCACCATTGCGGCCCAAGGCAACAGTGGGTGCATGCTTTTTTTCCCCTGCAGGCTGTAGCCATAGACATGCTATGTGACCTGATGGTGAATTTGGGGTGACCCAATGCAAAGATCCAGAGGATCCATGTGGATCTGTGCTTTGTAACCACGTAACAAACAGTCTTGTGGCGGGGCTGTTTCCATGGGCTATGTTCGTTTGGGAACCTGAAGTGCGCCTGCAAAGCACCCATCTGCCTTTCCTCCTTGGCGGCGGCTGCTTTGAGAGCAAGCGGTGCCGAGGCCGGGCTTCAAAGGGTTAAAACGAAGCGAGCTCGATTCCTAGAGAGGAAGTGAATTGGGGGGGGGGAGGCGTCCTCTGCAGCCAAAGCACCTCCTCTCTGAAGCCCCTTTTCCTGCCTGGCTTTTCCACCTGGGAGGGTCATTTCCAAATGCTGCAGCTGAAATCCGGTGAGCCCCCCAGCCCGTACCCATTGCACAGGGTGCCCCAGGGAGAGGGTGCCCGCGGGGGGGGTCTGTTTATCCCATGAGCCCCAAATCAGGGAGTGGGGCTCCCTCCAGCAAGGCCAGGAAGCCGCTGGGGGTGCGCTGTGTCTGCATCTCTTGAGACGGCCAATGCATTTCCGGGGGTTGGTCTAGATGACACCAAGGGGACCCTTTCCAGCTCTGCGCTTCTATGAATTGTGCATTGCGCTGCGATTAGAATTAATGCCCCTCCAATAACACACACGGGACGCGGGTGGCGCTGTGGGTTAAACCGGCTTGCCGATCAGAAGGTCGAATCCCCGCGACAGGGTGAGCTCCCGTTGCTCGGTCCCTGCTCCTGCCAACCTAGCAATTCGAAAGCACACCAGTGCAAGTAGATAAATAGGTACTGCTCCGGCGGGAAGGTAAACGGCGTTTCCGTGCGCTGCTCTGGTTCGCCAGAAGCGGCTTAGTCATGCTGGCCACATGACCCGGAAGCTATAAGGCGGCTCCCTCGGCCAGTAAAGTGAGATGAGCACTGCAACCCCAGAGTCGGCCACGACTGGACCTAATGGTCAGGGGTCCCTTTACCTTTATTTAATAACACACACATGATGGCAATTCAGACATCAGCTCCTGAGATGCGTGCGCGGGACTTTCATTCAGATCCCTGGGGTTGGACTAGATGACCCCCAGGGTCCCTTCCAACGCCACAATTCTACACTTCTAACAGAAAGCACTTAACTTGAAAACTGGCAAGCCATCAAACCCAGCAAAGGAAAACCCGGCTGAAAATAAGCGTTTACTTACTTGCTGTTGTTCCATTTTGTGAAGCACAAACGCCCGGCCTTCAGCCCAGGATTGCAAGGCGGTTTATATATGAATTAAAGAAGAATGGAAAGAAAATAGGGATCCGAAAAACCCAGCTGGGAGCAGCAGGCTATGACAGAGCAGGATTGCAGGAGAGGCCAGGAAACCCTCTTTCCCTCCCACCCACCCATAGGTGCTGAATTGTAGGAGATCTAGGAGTTTTTCAGCTTCAAAACCATAGGTGGGAAGAGTTGCTGTTAGTGAGATGTACCATACTGGCCCGAATATAAGCCACACTCCCCCCACAACACACACCCCAATTCTGATTGTGAAAAGTTAAATTGCAGCTTATATTCCGGAACTTACGCTGCTGGCAAAGTGGCTCCCCCGCCAAGTAGCCTATATTCGGCTTATATTCTGGCTAATATGGTAAATATAGATTTGGAAAGGAGATGGATGGATGGATGGATGGATGGATGGATGGATGGATGGATTCAGCCTACCCTACCTCACAGGGAAGGGATGACAAGATCCAGACCTTTCAGCAAGCTGTTTGGCCTCTGCATTTGTTCTTAAGGGGTTTATCCGTTATTGCTGGTGTTGCATTGCATAATTAAAAATATTCCTGTTATCTTTCTTTGTTACAATTCTATGCCGTCCTTCCTCTGAGGACCACAGGGCGGTTTACAATAGAAAAACACACAGATGCATAACATAATAGCAAAATAAACCATAAGCCCCTCCCCCCCATGACTAAAACGGGGAGGGGGTATATCTTCAGCAGCAATTTAGGTTTTAAGCATGTGTGGAATAAGCCGATTAATCAACTGTGTGCAAGCGATGCAGTGAATCCGATTGACATTGCTTTTGTTGAGTGGCAACTTTGGTTTAAACCAGTGGTTGCCAACCTTTTTTTTGGCCATGCCCCACCTAAGCATCTCTAAAATCCCGATCCCCCCCCCATGACATATAGTTCTTATTATTCAAAAAGTGAATTCCTATTCATGTGGAGGAAGCCTAAAAGGCTATTAACTGTTAATAACTGATTCTTGAACTGCCCCCCTTAAAAGTCAGATTGCCCCCCTGTTGGGAACCACGGGTTTAAACCAACTCCAGTGTTATTTACTTACTCTATCAGTGGTATCCAAACTTTTTTCAAAGACGGCCAGATTTGATGTAGTGAAAGGTTATTTGATGAATATTTGATGAAGTGAAGTTAGGATTTCCCCCCAAAGTTGTTGAGATTTTTTTATGGTTGAAGTTGTTGAGTTTTTTTTAGCACTGAAGTTACTGAGGTTTTTTTAGGATTTTATCCCAGGAAATAAACTGCCACAAGGGCCGGATTAAACCGACTGGCGGGCCAGATTAGGCCCCCGAAACGGACGTGCCTGCTCTGGAGGAGAAGATGGCAGCAGTCATGGAGAATGGGGGGAGGGCATCTTCTTTTCCCTTTCTGCCCTCCAATCTCTTTGAATGTCAGCATTCATCTTCCTTTCCTTCCAGGAGAAAGAAGACCTGGTTGCGAATAGGATTGGGCGACATCTGGTTTTTAACATCATGACAGATCACCAGCTAAAAATTGTGATATACCAATATATCAGGATGTCTGAAATAAGGATGGAGCTATGTAGAGTCATTGGCCGGCTTCACTGTTTTTCCTGCACTGTGATTTTTGCAAAGGAAACACACACACACATCATGATTTGTGATAAATTGCCAGGTCAAAAATTATGAATCATGATATGGACCTGAAAACCGGGATTGGACGATATATGGCCCTAGTTGAGAGCCATGCTCCTTTAATTAATACAGGGAATCTTTTTACTGACAACGTGATAATTCTAACACGGAAAAAATGTCTTGGCTTTGCAGGACTTGGTTGCAAAGAGACTAATGAGAACAGCCTTTGTCCTGAGAAATAGACCAAAAAAGGCTGAGGCTTCCTTGGTGCCCAGATCAAATATGGCTGCCCTTGAAGTGGGAAGAGACCACAATTCTATCAAGATTTGGAGCAGTGGGAGATTCTGGGAAAGAGCCGCACAGGAGATCCTGGTCGAGGAGAATGCCCTCAGCTCAGACATAGAGTGCCAGCGTTTCAGGCGATTCCGCTACCAGGAGGCCAAGGGACCCCGAGAGGTTTGCAGCCGACTCCACCGCCTTTGCCGTTTGTGGCTGAAGCCAGAGCGACACACCAAGGCTCAGATCCTGGACCTGGTGATCCTGGAGCAGTTCCTGGCTGTCCTCCCTCCAGAGATGGAGAACTGGGTGAGGGAATGTGGAGCGGAGACCAGTTCCCAGGCGGTGGCCCTGGCCGAAGGTTTCCTCCTGAGCTGGGCAGAGGGCAGGAAGCAGGAAGAGCAGCAGGTGAGAGCGTTTCATCTTGATTATGGATGTGTCCTCCAAAATATGTTGAATTAAAAATTCCCATCATCCTTGATAATAATATTTTATTTATACCCTGCCCATCTGGCTGGGTCTCCCCAGTCACTCTGGTGGTTCCCAATAGGATATTAAAAACACAATAAAACATCAAACATTAAAAACTTCCCTAAACAGGGCTGCCTTCAGGGCTGCCTTCTAAAAGTCAGATAGTTGTTTATCTCCTTGACATCTGATGGGAGGACGTTCTACAGGGTGGGCTCCACCACCGAGAAGGCCCTCTGCCTCGTTCCCTGTTACCTCACTTCTCTCAGGGAGGGAACTGCCAGAAGGCCCTCGGCGCTGGACCTCAGTGCCAAACGATGGGGGTGGAGACGCTCCTTCAGGTATACTGGGCCGAGGCCATTGAGGGCTTTAAAGGTCAGCACCAACACTTTGAATTGTGCTTGGAAACATACTGGGAGCCAATGTAGGTCCTGCAGGACCCTGAACATTGTCTGTATTTGCTGGGGCTGGTGGTGTTTGGAATCTGCAGGGAACCCTTGAGTTTGAAACTCCCATGGGTCTTGGAATGGAAGGGTTGATATAAAAAAACCTCTGTTCATTTCCCTACTTTTATTGGAAATCAGCCAAACAGGAATATCCTTCAGGTTTCTGCCTTTGTCGTCCCTTTTTTAAATCCTTCTCCCCATGTGATGTCTTCTATCCCTATTGCAGTTTCGGGTAAAGGATCCAGCGACAGAAATGAGGACTGATTTCCCTAAAGCAGAGAGGGCTCCGTCCGTCAAAGGTCAGAGCTCACCAGGTACGGATTCAAGGCTTCTATTTCAGTTTGTTTTCTCTCTGCATATTTTGAAGGAAACCCTTTTATATTTTGGGGGAAGGGACTTGCTTTACAGTGGAACCTCTGGTTGCGTACTTAATTCGTTCCGGAGGTCCATTCTTAACCTGAAACTGTTCTTAACCTGAGGTACCACTTTAGCTAATGGGGCTGCTGCACCGCCGCTGCACAATTTCTGTTCTCATCCTGAAGCAAAGTTCTTAACCCGAGGTACTATTTCTGGGTTAGCGGAGTCTGTAACCTGAAGCGTATGTAACCCGAGGTACCACTATTTGCAACACTTCACACCCCTGATTTCTGGTTAGGAACCAGAGACGGGTTTTCACACAATCGAAATATAAAGAGTATAAACTGCTGGAATGCAGTCATCATATAGGACCTTTCCTAAATGAGACATGCAGTCGCTCAATCTTGCGTGTTTTAATGGGTTCGTGGCACATTTATCTCTCGCAGGTGACAGAATGAAGCCACACATACCTGCTCAAACATCTCTTCTTTGCGGTGTTGAAGAAGGAGCAGCTGTGAAACCAGATCAGGTGGGAGGATAAATCACTGGGGGAAAGAGGCCTCTCCCTTCTCCGATCCTAAACAGATCTCTCTCTTCCTCTTAGATTCTGTCAAAGCTGCCCCTAATGAAGGCTTGTATCTGCCCCCCCCAAAAAAAACACCCCATTTAAATATTGAGAATAATGACCAGCCACTTCACCACAACTAGTATTTTGATTGTGGCTAGTCGATAATCTTTGTGCAATGTGCAAGGAGGAAAAACGTTTTCTGTTTCTTTCAGGGTTCGGTATCCTTTGAGGATGTGGCTGTGTGGTTCACAGAAGAGGAGTGGGATCTGCTGGATCCTGACCAGAGAGCTCTGCATAACCAAGTCATGGAGGAGAGCCTTTGGATTCTGTCCTCTCTCGGTGAGGCTCTCTCTTGGATCATAATCTCTGTTTCATAATTCAGAATTTATACAGTGGTGCCTCGCAAGACGAAAAGAATCCGTTCTGTGATTCTCTTCGTCTAGCAGTTTTTTCGTCTTGCGAAGCAAGCCCATTGAGGGATTAGCGGATTAGCGCTATTAGCGGCTTTTAGCGGCTTATCGGCTTAGCGGATAAGCGGCTTAGCGGCTTAGAAAAAGGGGGGGAAAGGGGGAAAAAACTGCAGGAACTCGCAAGACATTTTCATCTTGCGAAGCAAGCCCATAGGAGATTCGTTTTGCGAAGCACCTCCGAAACGGAAAACTCTTTCGTCTAGCGAGTTTTCCGTCTTGCGAGGAATTTGTCTTGCGGGGCACCACTGTATAGTGAAACTCCCTGCCTGTGCGGTTAATGTTGAAAGGACGTTCTCTGAATACACATCCTCCACTTTTGCCATTCTTAACAATGGTTTAACTGGTTAAAACTGGCCAGGCTTTTTCAGAATGGAAGTTTCAGAGCTGATACGAAGGTGGAACTAGCATCTCAGCTATTTCCTGGTTGGCTGGAAAGATCATAGAATCATAGAATCATAGAGTTGGAAGAGACCACAAGGGCCATCGAGTCCAACCCCCTGCCAAGCAGGAAACACCATCAGAGCACTCCTGACATATGGTTGTCAAGCCTCTGCTTAAAGACCTCCAAAGAAGGAGACTCCACCACACTCCTTGGCAGCAAATTCCACTGTCGAACAGCTCTTACTGTCAGGAAGTTCTTCCTAATGTTTAGGTGGAATCTTCTTTCTTGTAGTTTGTAGATGATGGATGTCAGAAGATGGAGCAGGTTTCTTGACTGGGCCAAACAGCAATCCATGGCAGAAAAAAAGGCTGGGATTTCCTGGTTTCAACTGCCCACAAATAAGAGATTCTTTTGCCTCTCAAGATACATCTGATCAGGAGTCAAGTATGCTCTGTTGCAGAGCCAACATCCATTTCCCTCACTTCTCCCCAATAAAAAAGTTATATACGTATATATTTCTCCACATTTGGCTTGAAAGACCCTTGTTTGGCGTTCTCACTAAACCTTTTCCTCACATGCTCATATGCTGTATCTAACCTCCATTTTGGTTGCATCATACATTGTCAGGTTTCTGTACAGCTTTTTATTTTGGGCTTTGGGATGGCTTTGTTTATATTTTTCCTATAGGTGGTGTGGAGGGAGGAGCACCAAAAATGGGACTCAGATACTCCCTCCTACAGATGGGCAGACCAGGTTATGGAACGAGGATCTTCCTCGCTATTGGGTGCCTATTGTGATTTTTTGGGGGGGGTGAGGTTTGAGGACCCTTACAGGACTGGGACAGCCAAAATAGTGCCCTCTTAAGGTTTTTGGATTCTAGTTTCCATCATTCCTGAGCATTGTGATTGTGGCTGGGGCTGAGAGGAATGGGAGTGGTTACCCCTATTTTATGAAAAGGGTTTGGCCTAAAAAAGTCTGGGATGCTCTGCCATTTTCCCCCATATCTATCCTCCAGTTGCTTCTTTCGCAACTAACAGTTCAGAAGTGATAATAATAATAATAATACTTTTTTATTTATACCTCACCCATCTGGCTGGTTTTCCCCAGCCACTCTGGCTGACTTCCAACAGAATATTAAAAACACAATAAAACAGCAGACATTAAAAACTTATCTAAACAAGGCTGCTTTCAGGTGTCTTCTAAAAGTCAGATAGTTGTTTATTTCCTTGACATCTGGTGGGAGGGTGTTCCACAGGGCGGGCACCACCACCGAGAAGGCCCTTTGTCTGGTTCCCTGTAACCTCACTTCTCACAGGGAGGGAACCGCCGGAAGGACCTCGGAGCTGGACCTCAGTGTCCGGGCTGAACGATGGGAGTGGAGACGCTTCTTCAGGTATACCGGGCTGAGGCCGTTTAGGTCTTTCAGGGTCAGCACGAACACTTTGAATTGTACTCAGAAACATACTAGAAACCAGTGTAGATGATGCATGGTTCTTCCATTTACCTGTACAACAACCTTGTTGTACAGCTGAACTGAGTGTGATTAGTCCCAGATCACCCCACGAATTTCCTATCTGAGCTAGAAGCTGAACTCCACAGCATATATAGCTCAGCAGCTGTCAAGTGAGGCAGTTAAATCTGTGGTCAGGCCTGCTTCCCATCTAAATCCTTCCAGCTCTTCCTTGATCACAAGTGTTGAAGCTGCTCAGTGATTTAAGACTATGTTTCCCCCCCCTTACTCTCTCTTCTTTGCAGAAGGTGGCGAATGGGAAACCCAGAATAAGGGAGATCTGCTTGGGAAAGAGACATCGGAAAGGGAGGGACGTGAAGGGAAGAGGAGAAATAAATCGTCCGCTTCTCGGGGATGTGACTACCGTGAAATTGCAGCCCGAGAAGAAACGGATGAGAGAAAGGAAACAGGGATACCCCGTGTGAACAGGGGGAGTCGCAGTTCTAAAAGGGGACGTAAACCCAGCGTCAAAACCCGCCCAAGGGAGAATTCTTACGAGCACTCAGAGTGTGGAACAAGCATCATTCGTGTCACTTCCCTTCAAGGAATTCACAGCACAGAGAAACCCTATATTTGCGCCGAGTGTGGGAAAAGCTTCCCTTACACTTCTGGCCTTATTTCTCACCGAAGGGTTCACACGGGGGAGAAGCCATACCGGTGCTTGGAATGTGGAAAGACCTTCAGCCAGAAGAAACACCTCACCAACCACCGGGCGATTCACGCGGAGGAAAAACTGTACCGGTGCCTGGAGTGCGGGCGGAGCTTCAACTGCCGCTATAATCTGATTCGGCACCAGAGGATCCACACCGGGGAGAAACCGTATCAATGCCCGGATTGTGGGAGGGGCTTCCGGCACAGCTCCACCCTCTCTTCCCACCAGAGACTTCACACCGGAGAGAAACCGTATCCGTGCCCCGAGTGCGGGAAGCGCTTCAGGGATCGGTCTCACCTGTATTCCCACCAGAAAGTTCACACGGGAGAGAAACCGTACGCTTGTCTGGAATGCGGGAAGCGCTTCTACCAGAAGAAGCACCTACGTAAACATCAGGTAATTCACACAGAGGTGAAGCCGCACAGGTGCTTGGAGTGCGGAAAGGGCTTCCGCTGCCGTTTCAAGCTAACCCGCCACCAAAGGACCCACATGGGGGAGAAGCAGTATCGGTGCTTGGAGTGCGGAAAGATCTTCAAATGCAGCGCCGCCCTTTGTTCCCATGAAAGGATCCACACGGGAGAGAAGCCGTTTCAGTGCCCCGAGTGCGGGAAGGCCTTCAGAGCGAAGTCCCACCTGTATTCCCACAAAAGGATTCACACGGGGGAGAAACCGTACCCGTGTCTGGAATGCGGGAAGGCCTTCCGGAGGCAGGAGCACCTCGCCAACCACCAAGCGTTGGTTCACACGGCGAATAAGCCCTATAAATGCCTGGAGTGCGGAAAGAGCTTCAGCCAGGCTATTTACCTCACATACCATCAGAGCATTCACACGGGGGATAAATCGTATCCGTGCTTGGAGTGTGGGAAGAGCTTCTACAGCCAGAAAAGCCTCAGTTCCCATCAAAGAGCTCACAAAAGGGACTGCAAGATCAAACCTCTCCATTCTGAAGGAAATCAGCCCTGAGTGCTCACGGGAAGGACAGATCGTGAAGCTGAGGCTCCAAGACTTTGGCCACCTCACGAGAAGAGAAGACTCCCTTGAAAAGACCCTGATGTTGGGAAAGATGGAGGGCACAAGGAGAAGGGGACGACAGAGGACGAGATGGTGGGACAGTGTTCTCGAAGCTACCAGCATGAGTTTGGCCAAACTGCAGGAGGCAGTGGAAGACAGGAGGGCCTGGCGTGCTCTGGTCCAGGGGGTCACAAAGAGTCGGACACGACTAAACGACTAAACAACAACAAATTAAAAAAGGGGAGTGGGGGAGAGAATTTGAGTAGAAACACAAACTTCTGTTGTCGTAAAGCGGGGAGCACTATTTATCCTTGATGTATTTTTTAAAAGGTTCAATGGTAATGCACACAGGGGAGAAGCTGTGCTTCCAGAAAGGAACAAATACTCGTGAAAGTGAATTCTTTAATTTGCCCTAAATAAAGCAAGAGGGTAGGGAACGAACAGAATGCTAGAGGGTCAAGATCCCATTTGCGAATATTTATTTCCAATTTATCAGCGGAAGAGGTGAAGGCATTTTTTTGTTTTTGAAACTTGTAAGCCCTGCAAAGAGAAATTGGCAGCATCTTCTATGTGATTAAGAGCAAAAATATGCATCTAAAATAAAACACAGTCTTCATGAGGGGTGATAAAGTGTGAAATGAACTGTGTTAAACTGTCTGCATCTGTTGCATTCAAAGACCGCGCAGGATCAAAATTAACAATTAAGGATTGCTGAATCCAGCTTGGCCACACCTAAGCTCCACAAGCTCCTTTCTTAAAATAATAATAATAATAATAATTTATTATTTGTACCCCACCCATCTGGCTGGGTTTCCCCAGCCACTCTGGGTGGCTTCCACAAAAACCAAAAATACACTAAGATGTTACACATTAAAAACTTCCCTGAACAGGGCTGCCTTCAGATGTCTTCTGAATGTCAGGTAGTTGTTTATCTTTTTGACATCTGATGGGAGGGCGTTCCACAGGGCGGGCGCCACTACCGAGAAGGTTCCCTGTAGCTTTGCTTCTCGCAATGAGGGAATCGCCAGAAGGCCCTCGGCGCTGGACCTCAGTGTCCAGGCTGAACAATGGGGGTGGAGATGCTCCTTCAGGTATATTGGGCCAGGTAAAACTGGTAACAGGTAAAACTGTAGCAAATCCACAACTGTCCTGATGGCATGGCCTTTTTCATTTAAAAGAGCCCCATTGCTCCCATTTCAGAAGGGACTTTGAGAGTCCTAAATGCATGCTAGCAGAGATCAGCTCTCTGTCCCTGTGGGAGGTGGTGTGTGTGTGTGTGTGTGTGTGTGTGTGGAAATTGGGATACTTCCCACCACCACAATCCAGGATCCCATCCCTGCTGTAGTGAAAGAGGGGAAATGGGTAAATGAGATTAAAAAAATAAGTCTTTTATGTTGCTGATTCGGGAGCTGAGCTCACTGAATTCAAAGATGTCAATTTTGGAGGACGAGAGGCATTCCCCTCCTTTTGACTGTCTAAAAAGCAGTAGATCACCCTCATTTCCTAAAGGTCTGCTCTCGTAGCCTTTTTGGTGTTTTTTTCAAGTCAGACTTTTTATTGGACAAGAGCGCCTATGATAGCTCTGCAAAGGCCCAGACCAGCTTCTAGTCGCAGTCTCTCAAGCTAACTAATTGAAACCGGATTCTGTTTTTCTTTGCCTGCTCTTTCCCAGATTTCCCTTGGCAATTTGTTTCTTTTAAAAGCAGATGTAATCAAATTGAAAATAACACCAAGCAACGGCAGGATAGTTTTTATCCTTAAGGACCCCCCAATTCTGCTTTCACAGCATGCTTACTCTGAGGTAAAATCCCACTGTTCAGTATGGATCAGCAAAGATGTCTATGGTTTCAGCCTATTTCACCTTCCTCTCTTATTCATATCTCACCCTTCCCTCAAAATGCTCAGGCAGATGGGGTTGCATTCTCCCCAGCGCAATTCATAGTTACAGCTCTGTAAAGGAGGATAGGCTGGCCCAGGGTTCACTTTATTTATGTTTCCATTTGGGAGTGGACCACACACCAACTGGATTTTCTCAGGAGCCCCGTTTTCTTCTTCAAATGTGTTCTGGAGACTAATGTGATGGAGTAATTCCTTTTGTAACGACAATGTTTTCCCTCCCTTCTTGACATGTACATGCGCATTGTGGCCAGATAAAAGGGTTTGTCTTTTTTAATAAATAAAAAATAAGTAGAGCACGGTTGGTCACACCTGTCTAATCTTTTCCCAAACCTTTTCAGGTCACCTTGGTTTCAGAAATTCATTCTGAGTGCCGCCTCCTTTTGAGAAAGCGCCATTCAGAATAGTGGTTTTGCAGGACCCTACTCAGGTGGCGCTGTGGGTTAAACCACAGAGCCTAGGACCTGCCGATCAGAAGGTCGGCGGTTCGAATCCCCGCAACGGAGTGAGCTCCCATTGCTCGGTCCCTGCTCCTGCCAACCTAGCAGTTCAAAAGCACGTCAAAGTGCAAGTAGATAAATAGGTACCACTTCGGCGGGAAGGTAAACGGCGTTTCCGTGCGCTGCTCTGGTTTGCCAGAAGCGGCTTAGTCATGCTGGCCACATGACCCAGAAGCTGTACGCCGGCTCCCTCAGCCAATAAAGCGAGATGAGCACCGCAACCCCAGAGTCGGCCACGACTGGACCTAATGGTCAGGGGTCCCTTTACTAAGGAAGATAACAACACACATTCAAAATGGTAACTTTTATTCAGTGTGCACATTTATTCAAAACTATCTAGTTTAATGATTCAGGTAGGTAGCCGTGTTGGTCTGAGGCAGTCGAAATAAATAAAAATGTCCAGTAGCTCCTTAGAGACCAACTAAGTTTGTTCTGGGTATAAGCTTTCGTGTGTATCTGAAGAAGTGTGCATGCACACAAAAGCTTATACCCAGAACAAACTTAGTTGGTCTCTAAGGAGCTACTGGACATTTTTATTTATTTATTATCTTGTTCAATGAATTGACAAACTTGACCCAGTGATACCAGCTTTGTAAAATCTGCCAGTCATTTTCAACCTCTTGCAACACAGACACTTCAGCCAGAGAAGGGAAAAACACATCATAACTCCTCCCAGCTGAATTATGCACCATTTTGCTGCTGCATCACTAACTAGAACTTATCTTTAAATTGCATTATTTTGTCTCTGCCTTTGGTTTTCTTTTTTTTTTTTAAGATAAACACGCTTACTTTGTTTCAATGTGCGGCTGTCTCTTTCAGTTGGTTTTTTTTTAAAAAAAAGGCTGTTTTTTTGCAGCGTTTCCCATTCAGCCTCAACACGTGCCTGCAGTTGCATGTCTGAATGGCATGCACCTGCGTCAGGCAGGAAGGTGGTTAACGCCAGTGCCTAATTAAAGGGGATTAACTCACATCGAAGTATGGTTGATTACCCGCACCCAGGATAAAAAATGCATCTCCACGACGGGGTGAGCTCCCGTTGCTCGGTCCCTGCTCCTGCCAACCTAGCAGTTCAAAAGCATGTCAAAGTGCAAGTAGATAAATAGGTACTGCTCCAGCGGGAAGGTAAACGGCGTTTCCGTGCGCTGCTCTGGTTCGCCACAAGCAACTTAGTCATTCTGGCCACATGACCCGGAAGCTGTACGCCGGCTCCTTCGGCCAGTAAAGCGAGATGAGCGCCGCAACCCCAGAGTCGGCCATGACTGGACCTAATGGTCAGGGGTCCCTTTACCTTTACCTAGCCCCCCATCATAATGACCTCCTGATTTGGGGGGACCACGAAGCGCCTTTCCCCCAATGTGCAAATTGGGGTTTTCTCACCAAGTTGCAGGAGGTTCCAGCGACGCAGCTAAAGCAAAAGCTCCTTCTTTGCAAAGGAGAAAAGCCTTGCAGGATAAGAGCCTGGAAAGACCAGTCCCCTCCCCTTATCTCAAATTCCCTTCCTCTCCTGGAAACCAGTTATGGTTTATATTAACCCTTGCAAGCCCAAGCACCAGGATTCCCCCAATCCATCCCCTTCCCCTGTGCATTTCTTCCAAGACAGGTGCCAAGTGCGAAACATGCACCCTTTGAAGCAAACCTCTTGTTTATCTTGGTACGCTGAGAGCATAGAATCAGCCTGACCTGGCTATTGGCAGAGAATGGCAAGACTGAACAGGAAAATCAGGAGAATAAAAACTTCAATACAGAATGGGACAATTTTAGATTGTATCTAAAAGAACACTGTAAACACTCAGACTCTTTGGCAGGCTTTAAACGACTCTTGCAATGTTGCAAAGATTTTGGATGTAAGGGAAGATTGTTATTTGGATGAGTTTATAATATTTGGTGGACAAAGGTATTCTAAGAATCCACGGGGGGGGGAGGGAAGTCCTAAGATTCGGAAGAATCTTGTTTTAATTTTAACAGTTGTAAGAATTTTATTTGTGTGAATGAATTTGTAAAACCAAATAAAACTTTTGCAAAACTGGCTATTGGCAGAGAAACCTCTGACGAATACTCTCGACTTCTTCATTCTTACAGCAAATGGATTCTCCAGTGTGAAAACAGGAGCGAAACGGTGGCATAGTTTTGTTCCATATTGCAAGTACTTAAGGGGGGGGGGGAAGTTTTATTATAAATATACAAAACACACATCACAAAATGCACAATATATACACGTAACAGATAATATTATTCACTGATAAAATGTGTTTCATCAATGGGAGTTACCAAATTAATCTGCACTTATACAATCTTGTTCTTGCTTCACATAGGAGTTAATATATGCAAGGTAACTCATTAATCCAATGCGCGGTCAGATCACTTTGATATCCATATTACATTGCAGTATGATACAATAATGGCTTTCCACGTTGCTCAGAGATTTCTTTCTTTTGCCTGCCTTCGCATAAATGAGTGGATCCTGTTAACATTACTGCTGAGGCTATATCCTTTTGTGGAAGAATACAAGAGAGCCTCCATTTGGTGGCTAGAACTATTCCCACTATGTGTTTAAATAAAAGATTTACTGCAATTCCAAAGGGTCCCTTCTTATTGTCAATTTATTTCAGCCACTTACACACCGCTTAACATCATAGCCTCCAAGACTGGTGTGCAGTGTAGTTGAGAAGATACAAGAAAACTAAAACTAACCATAAAATCAGAACATCTTACTTAAACGCCAGCTTTTTAAGGTCATCACTGAGCACAGGAAGCTCAACAAAACTGATCTCAGACCCTATTTTCCAGGGGCAGTCCCAGATTTACATTGATCCTGGAATGTCCTTAGAAAATCCCTATTTTCATCAGAGAAATGTTGGACGGTATGGAGTTATGCGACCCCCTGAGCCAAGGAGATAAGTAACTATACAACCGTTAGAAGGCAGCCCTGTATAGGGAAGTTTTTAAAAAGGTTTTATGTTTTTATATATATTGGAAGCAGCCCAGAGTGGCGGGGAATTAAGGACATTATTTTCATTGGAGAGATGTTGGGAGGGTATGTGATCATAACTGGAAGTTTCACACAATTGTCACATAGCTCCTGATGTAGATGACTGCTTTGAAGACCTTGATCGGGCTGGGATATAAGGAATCAGGCAGTCCTAAGAATATACTGGACCCAGGTTCTTAATACAAGAACCTTTACCTTTTCCCAGCGGGCAACCAGTGCAAGCTTTTAAACACCAAAGTTACATGCTAGCAATAGTCTGTCCCCGCCAATGAGACAACCAAGTAAAATATATACAGCCGCACCTTGGAAGTTCAACTTCCAAGTTCCAAACGTTCAAAAACCAAAACACAGCTTCTGATTGGCTGCAGGAAGCCGTGGGAGCCCCATTGAACGTCCGGCTTCCAAAAATAGTTCACAAAGTGGAACACTCCCGGGTTTGCAGCGTTCGGGAGCCAAAACGTTCGAGGACTAAGCTGTTTGAAAACCAAGGTACGACTGTATTGCAGATACGGAACTGCCAGTATTTTTGTTCATCTGAGCTATAACGTCCCCACAGGAATAGGCATTTTTATTTTTCCACCATGTACGAATGGCGTTTGCATCATTTTCAACAAATGGTGATAATATTGTGACTTCTGCGGTGTGAGGTACCAGCAATACAAAACATTGTAAACACTTACTTTGGGCGGTGTGCAACGTTAGTCCTGCTCAAGAGTAGACCCATTGGAGTTAGTGGATACGATTGTGTTCATTAATTTTGGAGGGTTTACTCTGAGTAGGACTTAGTTGAATGCAACTCTTTGAGATTAACAGAGAGATGTTTGGCCCATTGCCAGTATAAATATGTATATTTCCAATGAGGAGACTGAAGACACGTCTCACACAGAAGGGCAACTCTGGTAGACATTTCCTGCCTATAACGTCACTACCAGTCAATGAAGACAATATTGAGCTAGATGGATCAATGCTCTAACTTGGTATTGATTTAATTCTCTTTGATATGTCAGCAAAAATTGCAAGCTCGCTTCTGGACCACCGTGTTGTGTCAGCAACTAACGGAAAACAAAGATTGCTTGAGAACTTTAATAAAACAATGTATTTACAGATCTCTGCCATGGCTGCAGAACAGCTACAGTCAAACCTTGGTTGTCAAACGTAATCCGTTCCAGAAGCCCGTTCGGCTTCCGAAATGTTCCAACATCCAAGGCGCAGCTTCCGATTGCTTGCAGGCTGCGTTGGACGTTCAGCTTCCGGAAAACATTCCAAAACTGGAGCATTTACTTCCGAGTTTCCGTCATTCGGGAGCCGAAATGTTCGAAAACGGAGGCATTTGGGATCCAAGGTTTAACTGTATTATACTCAAGTTTGACTCTAGAGTGAAATTTATCTCACTCGGATTCCTTTTCATATGTCCACGGTAAGGATTTCAAAGGAATCCTGGAACAGCTCATCTCCAATCTCCTGTACGATTTCCCCTGAGTGAGATTTTTGTGTGTGACAAGTGAGATGTACCTTCCGAGTGAAGCTCTTTCCACACTCCAAGCACTGATATGGTTTCTCCCCGGTGTGGATTCTCTGATGACAGCGGAAGTTTGTGCTCCTATTGAAGCTCTTTCCACATTCCAAGCATTGGTACGGTTTCTCCCCGGTGTGAATTCTCTGATGACAAGCAAGGTCTTTGTTCAAGCGAAAGTTCTTCCCGCATTCCAAACACTGATACGGCTTCTCCCCTGTGTGGATTCTTTGATGGCAAGTGAGGTCTTTGTTCAGAATGAAGCACTTTCCACAGTCCAAACATTTATAGGGTTTCTCCCCTGTGTGAATCCGATGATGAGACGTGAGATATTTCTTCTGGCTGAAGCTCTTTCCACACACCAAGCACTGGTAGGGTTTCTCGCCTGTGTGGATTCTCTGATGACCGCGGAGGTTTGTGCTTCGAGTAAAAGTCTTTCCGCACTCCGTGCACTGGAACGGCTTCTCCCCCGTGTGAATGATCTGGTGATAAGCAAGGTCTCTGTTCAGACTGAAGCTCTTTCCGCATTCCAAACATTTGTATGGTTTCTCCCCATTGTGGCTTCTCTGATGGTTTGTGAGACTTGCACTCAGTCTGAAGCTCTTTCCGCACTCCAAGCATTTATATGGCAGCTGTCCGGTGTGCGTTTTGCTCTTCTTGCATCTGTCTCTTTCCGATGACACCTTTGGGAGTCGGTCACGATTATGCTGAGTTTCCCATTCGCCGCCTGCTGTAATGAAGACAGGGAAAGTGATAAGAGCTTGGGGAAGAAATTGAGCCTCCATTCACCAAGCAAACAGAATGACACTTTGCAATAAAGGTCATTGCAATATACGGAAGGCAAATTTTCACACATTTTGTTGATTGGCATTTACTGGCAACTAGCATATATTGCACGATGATAGTCTAGATGACACTGGGGGTCCCTTCCAATTCTACAATTCTATGATTGTAATTTGTTGTTGGGGGGGCTATTGGGTTGTTGTTTTTATTTTTATTATGTATTTTGTGGTTTTATATCTTGATTTTATTCTGTGGACTGCCCTGAGACCCCTGGGTATTTGGCAGTATATTAATAATAATAATAATAATAATAATAATAATAATAATAATAATAAAATGTCGAATCCCCTCCAATGCAGGGATCTTTTTGCCCAATGTGGGGCTTGAACCCACAAGCCATTAGATTAAGAATCTCAAATTCTGCCAACACAGAGAACTGTCCTCATGATGTTTATGGAGCCTGTGTGGTGTAGTGTAATGGTTAGAGCATTGGACTCCAAGCCTCCTGAAATTCCCTGCAACTGGTATGCTATAAACCTAAGAACTGCAACTATTAACAGAACTGTATGGAACAACCTTACATTTACAGAGCAAAATATCCTCTTGAATTACATACCCAGCACATGGAACCGTACAAAAGGACAATACGAGTGGACTCTCCCTGCCCTGATTACAGCAAAAAGACTGATACTGATGAATTGGAAAAATAAAAATGCGGCTCCCTTCTGCGATTGGATTGAAGACTTATACAAACTCGCAGCATATTTACAACTTGCATATAAACGCAGACTTGCCATGGGCAAATTCAATGATATTTGGAATTTATTCTTACAAATGCAGTGGTACCTCGGGTTACAGATGCTTCAGGTTACATACGCTTCAGGTTACAGATTCCGCTAACCCAGAAATAGTACCTCGGGTTAAGAACTTTGCTTCAGGATGAGAACAGAAATTGTTATCTGGCGGTACAGCGGCGGCAGCAGGAGGCCCCATTAGCTAAAGTGGTGCTTCAGGTTAAGAACAGTTTCAGGTTAAGAACGGACCTCTGAAACGAACTAAGTACTTAACCCAAGGTACCACTGTACTGTAATAGGTCTAAGATCTGGTGAAGTACAATAACGACCTGGTAAAATATACAGTTTGGGGTTATTTCACCTCCCCCCTTTATTTTCCCGTCTGCTTCTCTTCTTTCCCCCCCTCCCTTTTATTTACGTCTCACCATGTTTAGTGCACGTATAATTATGTACTTTTTGAATGTTCAATAAAGATGTTTTTTAAAAAACCAAAAAATACATATATAAAGAGCCTGCTGGACCCAGCATCTTGTTCTCACAGTGGCCAAAGGATGCCTGGCGGAAGCCCGCAAACAGGACCTGAGGAAAGGGCACTCTCGCCACGAAGGGTTTCTAGCAACTGGTTTTTGGTAGCACTATTCTCTCCGCACTGTGGAGGCCGAGCAAAGCCATTATGGCAGTCTTCTCCATGAATGTTGGACCTGGATGAAGTCTGTCACAGACCTGGGTTCAGCTCCCAGCTCAGACAGCATGCAGAGCCGAGGCTGTTTTTAAATGCTTCCCTCAAAAAGATAAGCTTGCAGTCGCTGAATTTAATGTGACTTGCTTCTGAGTAGACATGGTTAGAACCGCACTACCCAAAATATGGTTGAAGGGTGGAAATGTGCAAAAGAAATTACGCGTTCCTTATTTTCCCAGCTAGGGAAATAGAGGGGCTTACCAAAAGAGGCCACCATCCCATAATTCTCCTCCATAACTTCCCTGTGTAGAGCTTTCTGGTCAGGATCCAGCAGAGGCAACTCCTCCTCTGTGAAAAACACAGCAACCTCCTCAAATGACACTGGACCCTGGGGAAAAAAAAGAGAGAGAAATGTTTGCTGCTTTATAGATCACATAAAAGATGATCTACTAGCTGAATCCAAAAGGCTCACCCAGGAAAGGCAGCTGGATATTATCTTGCATAATTTGGGGGTGGGGAGAGACATTTGCAGCCTTCCTAGCCGTGGAGACTGGTCTATTTTGGAAAATGGGGCGCTGCCCTCCCCAACAATCCCAGCCTCTCCTGCCTGGGTTAGTTAAAACTGAGGTGGAATAGCAAATTGACCTCCTCCTCCTCCTTAGTCCCAATGTTCCTTATAGGACTTAGCAGGGAGGAGGAAGAATTAGTTGGGAGCTGCCTGTTATTGACTCTGCCGTCACCTGCTGTTGGGCTCCCTGCCTTCTACCCCATATATATAGTTTTCAATTTAACAACAAGAGTCTCCTTTACATTTGTATCTTTCATTTCGACTTCCCTCCACTCCTTCTCTGGTTACGTAGTGAATTCGTTTAATTAAACTGTACCTCCCCCATAACATCTTTTAGATAGATAGATGATAGTGTTAGAATTCCTGCTCCATGATTGCAGTCATGGGATTGTTGTCTTTCACATTGACTCCACAGAGTGGGAAGTGACGGAAACAGGATGTTTGTGTTACTGTGTTCCGTGAAGTGGGACTATTGTCCTTTGTTCTCTCTCTCTTTGCTGTCTGACGCTAGAGAGGGAGGGAGCCATGTTGCAGTGCTCCGTGTGTGTTTATATGTAAATAAAGTAGATTAGCCAAAATGCTGAGTTGCTGAGGTCTGTCACGAAAGTTGCACAAATTCTGCCGATCCCTAAGTGTGCCAGTGTCGGTTGGCATCAGTCACTGTGATGTTCGGGCAGAAGAAAGCTTTTGAAGCTCCCGAACGAACGACCAGGAGGGAGAAAACATGCCAGTCGGGCATGTGTCTCTGCCAGGGTCCTACTCGAGTGTAGGCTGAACTCCTGACAAATAGATGGATAGATAGATAGATCTTCTTTCCCCCCAACTGCTTGATTTTATATTAATCCAGCTAATGTATTTAGTTGTTTACAATGATTCTTTTTAAAAAATATATGTAACATCCCCATTCTTTAATAAAAACACTTTTTTCTTGATTAATAATAATAATAATAATAATAATAATAACAACAACAATAACAATAATTTATTATTTATACCCTGCCCATCTGGCTGGGTTTCCCCAGCCACTCTGGGCGGCTTCCAATAGAGTATTAAAATACAATAGTCTATTAAACATTAAAAGCTTGCCTAAACAGGGCTGCCTTCAGATGATTTCTTATCCCCGTAAGTTTTGCCATTTCTACATATTCCATTAATTTTGCCTGCCATTCTTCCTTGGTAGGGACGGTATCTTGCTTCCATCTCTGCGCATAAAGCATCCTGGCTGCTGTGCTTGCATACATAAATACAGTGGTACCTCGGGTTAAGAACTTAATTAATTCTGGAGGTCAGTTCTTAACCAGAAACTGTTCTTAACCTGAGGTACCACTTTAGCTAATGGGGCCTCCTGCTGCCGCTTCTGTTCTCATCCTGAAGCAAAGTTCTTAAGCCGAGGTACTATGTCTGGGTTAGCGGAGTCTGTAACCTGAAGCATCTGTAACCCGAGGTACCACTGTAGTTTCTTCCGGTCTTTTGCTATATCCTCTCCTATTATCCCTCAGAGAAAGGCTTCTGGGTTTTTTTTAAATAAAGGTTGCCTTTAACCCCCACCCACCAGTCCCAAGGGTTACCAGCAACCACTGCTTCCTTGCCTGCAGTTTTGACTGAAGCAAAGACTCATAGAATTGTAGAATTGGAAGGGAACCTGAGGGTCATCTAGTCAAACCCTCTGCAACGCAGGAATCTTTTTGCCCAACGTGGGGCTTGAACCCACAACCCTCAGATTAAAAGTCTTGTGCTCTACTGACAGAACTATGCAGTTAAAAAGAAGAAAAGAGGTTCATTCTAGGCCTAAGGAGGCTACAGGGGTGGGACAGAGGCAGCCAGCAATATTTCTCCTTACCGCCTCAGCTCCTGTGTCTGCTGCTTCTCCTCCAGGACACAGAAGAGTTGACCGAGGAAGCATTTCTGGTATCGCTCCATCACCTGTCAGAGACAAAGATGAAAGGAGGTCGGTAGGAGGTGCTCGTCTCAGTTACAATGCACATCTATGTTACCATATTTTTCGCTCCATAAGACACACTTTATTCCTCTTAAAAACTAAGGGGACATGTCTGTGCATCTTACGGAGCAAATGTGTGGGTCCTGGAGCTAAATTGCCGGAGTGCGGCATGCTCCTGAGCTGCTCTTTGGGGCTGGCGGGGGAAACCCCAGGTGCCGGCAGAGCAACCGGGACTCCCCCCGCCAGCCTCCACAGGGCAGCAGGGAGCCTTCATCCCACTGCCCTGCGGAGGCTTCGCGAGGCTATCCCTGGCTTTTGCCGGAGGTGGGGGAAGGGACAGAGCGAGCGGCTCCCTTTAAAGAGCGCACGGCTCTTGTGGGAGGAAAGCCAGTAGGCTTGCTTTCACTGAAGCCAGGAGGGCAAGAGGGATCGGTGCGCACCCGCTTGCTCTCCTGGCTTCAGGGATAGCCCCGCAAAGTCTCCTGAACGAAGATGGAGGAGCGCTCCCTCTTAGCCCGGGATGCTTTGCGTTGCTTTCTTATTTCTTGTTTTCCTCCCCTAAAAACTAGGTGCGTCTTATGGTCCGGTGCGTCTAATAGAGCGAAAAATACCATACTTGTGGGTGCTACAAAAAATATTTAGCTGCTGCATGCATTTCTGGATATTTATACCCATTTTACAGGTCGGTGGTGTGGAAACAACTCTCTCCCCATCTGGGCTCTTGGACACAAACATACCAAGCTTTTCAGGATTGTGTCATTGAAAAAGAAATAAAAAAAAGATGAAAGCAGCCCACAGATTTACAGTCGTACCTTGGAAGCCGAACAGCTTAGTTCCCAAACGTTTTGGCTCCCAAACGTCACAAACCCAGAAGTCACTGTTCCGGTTTGCGAACTATTTTTGGAAGCCGAACGTCCCGACGGGGCTTCCAATTGGCTGCAGGAACTTTCTGCAGCCAATCAGAAGCTGCGTTTTGGTATTCAAATGTTTTGGAAGCTGAACAGACTTCCGGAACGAATTCCGTTTGACTTCCAAGGTACGACTGTATTGTATAATCAATAGAGGCAAGTCCAGCTCCTTCTCCCTTACCCAGTGACCTCTGTCCGGTGCCCAACAGAATCCTCTCCGCCTCAAAGAAATCAGGAACTGCTTGTCCAAGAAGAACTTTGACCTGAAAGAGGAAAGTGTATTCAAACAGAGAATGGGGAGAAGGATTGCAAAAGGAATGGCAGAAGCCAAAGCTTGAGGGGTGCTGGCTATTGGATGATTTCTAGGGAAAGCTGGGGAATCAGTCGAGTTTTTAAGGATTCTCAACACCTTGGAACTGCCAGGATGAAACCTTCTCACCTGTTGCTCTAACTGTTTCTTCTCCTCCGCTTGACTCAGAAGGAAACCTTCAGCCAGGGCCACTGCCTGGGAACTGGTCTCCACTCCACATTCCCTCACCCAGTTCTCCATCTCCGGGGGGAGGACAGCCAGGAACTGCTCCAAGATCACCAGGTCCAGGATCTGAGTCTTGGTGTACTGCCCTGGCTTTAGCCAACGACAGCAGAAATCGTGGAGTCGGCTGCAAACCTCTCGGGGTCCCTCAGCCTCCTGGTAGCGGAACTGCCTGAAGCGCCGGCGTTGTACGTCCGAGCTGAGGGTCTCCTCCTCCTCCATGTTTTTAGGCAGTGTTCTTTCCCAGAATTCCCCACTGATAAGGGGGCCTCTTCCTGCTCTGCGAGCAGCTGAGTCTTCTTCTCCCATTGTTGATCTGTGCTCCAAGGAAGCCTCCACGAAGGCTGAATGGTGAAATCTGCCTTCTTCTGCCAATGCCTGTCTCCAGGCAAAGACAGACAGAATTGGAGGTTCCACCACGTCCTGCCAAGCCAAAACATTTGTTTACACAAATTATTGCGCTGTTGGAAAAGAAAGACTTATGTGGATGACTCCAGCCGTTTACCATGGCCCGTTTCCATTCTATACCCACGGCCTTCCTGCAGGGGATTTACTCTAAGACCCCTATTACTCAGCGTTTATGTCCATGCACAATGAATGAAGTAGAGGACTTCATACATTTCTTTTTCTACTGCCCTATTTATGAGCCAATAAGACCTAAGCTCCTCCTCTTGATCCCGTCCACCATTACATCTAAGGAAGACTGTTTGAAATCGCTTCTTGTGGACGCAAATCCCCAAATTTCACGTGGGGTGGCAATCTTTATAGTGCAGGCTCTGAAACTCAGGGCTACTCTGACTGGGTAGTGCGGCCTAGACCTGGACCTGTTTTAATTTTTTTTCTTTTTTTTTTTTAATTACTATTTCAACCCAATGTGCCGAGCCTATTTTGGGGCCATTTTATGTTTTATATACATCCGCATTTTAGATTCTTGGCGCTGGCAACTAAATCTTTACATTTTGTCTTAGGGTAATTTAAATGTCATTACGCCAGTAATATCGTTTTGAATTTTGTTTGGTTGCTTGTCTCTAGTATTTTTGTCTTATTTTGCTATGGCTGTATGCTAATGCAATAAAGGTTTTGATTGATTGACTCCAGCCAGCAATCAAGTTTCATTCTAGGAGAAAAAGCAAAACTCGAAGAGAAGCTAGAGATTGGAAGAGGAGGCTGCTGTGTCTCAAGGAAACAAACCAAAACCTTCAATCTGGTTGTGGGTGAGAAGATGCAGCATCTCTCCTAGTCACGCTGCATGATCAAGTATTTATTCTTTCCTTTTCTTGCTGTTCCTCTTAAGTCCCCAGCCCTCTTTTGCCATCGTCCCTCCCCCAGAACCTCATGGAAACATAAAAAGTCAAGTCAGACTTTTAGAAGACATCTGAAGGCAGCCCTGTTTAGGGAAGCTTTTAATGTTTGATGTATTACAGTATTTTAATATTTTTTTGGAAGCCGCCCAGAGTGGCTGGGGAAGCCCAGCCAGATGGGCAGGGTATAAATAATAAATTATTATTATTATTATTCTGTACCATGGCATGGGCAGGTTTGCAACAGTGTAAAAAAACACAACGTTAAAAATCAGTTAAAACAATTTATGAGCTGAAGAATAGGGTTGATTGTTAATATACTGATAGATATAATCTGACATATACCAGGTGTCAATGGCCTAGAACAGCCTTTCTCAACCTGTGGGTCCCCAGATGTTGTTGAACTACAACTCCCATCACCCCTAGCTAGCAAGGCCAGAGCTCACGGATGATGGGAGTGGTAGTCCAACAATATCTGGGAACCCACAGGCTGAGAACCGCTGGCCTAGAGTAAAGGAGACACCTGGGTGGGCCAAGGAAAAAGGAAAGAAGCTCCCCCCACCTTCCTTTGCAGTTGCTGATGGAGAGGGGTGCTAGATGGCCCAGGTGCTCAGATCACCTCCCTATGGGGTGAAATGGGGGGGGGGTGTCCTCTGCATTCCTCTTCTCTGCATTCTCCACCCCTCCACCCATAACTTATTGGGTGTAATTGTTATTATTGTTATTATTATTAAACAAATTTGTATAACGCCCTATAGCCACAGGTCTCAGGGCGGTCACAGCATAAAATCACAATATAAAAACACACAATAGGTTACAGTGGTACCTCGGGTTAAGAACTTAATTTATTCTGGAGGTCCGTTCTTAACCTGAAACTGTTCTTAATCTGAAGCACCACTTTAGCTAATGGGGCCTCCCACTGTCACCGCCACGTGATTTCTGTTCTCATCCTGAAGCAAAGTTCTTAACCCGAGGTACTATTTCTGGGTAAGCGGAGTCTGTAACCTGAAGCATCTGTAACCCGAGGTACCACTGTATTATTTATTAAGTTTATACACCGCCCTATACCCAGGGGGTTTCAGGGTGGTTCACAGAACAAAATCGAGATATAAAACCACAAAATACCTAATAAAAACAAAAAACAATGTCCATAATAAAAACAGAAACAAACCCGTCCCAATAACCTCTCTCCCCAGAACATTTAAAAAGAGCATTGAATGTCAGTGCAGAGGGGAATGTCAGTGCCACCCCACACCTCCCTATAGGGGGACATGCAGAGGGGTCTGTCCCATGTCAATGCCCACTTCCCTATGGGAATAAAGGGGGCGCCTCCCGTACCCCACGCCTCCCTCTAGGGTGAAGCCAGGCATCCCTGGACCCCCAACCAGCGGATTCCTCCACCCCCTTGACCCCCGCCTGCCCCGCATCCCTCCAAAGCCCAAGGGGGGATAGAGGGGGCCAGAGCAGGGCGACCCACCAGAGCCAAGCCCGGCAGGGAGGCGCCCAGGCAGCCCTCGGGGAAGACAAAAGCCATTTTCCCCCTCCGGGAGGAGAAGGAGTGGGAAGGCAGGAAGGAGCACCGCCAGGAGGCGCCCCTGCACCCCCGCGAGCGCCGCCCTTTCCTCTCTCTACACCCGGAAGAAGCTGCCTTCCGCTCTAGGAACCTGGCTCCGCTTGTTTCCCTTAACCCTTAGACGCCCACGCGATGCTGCCTGCCTCCCAGTAGGAGCAAAGAAAGCACACGCGGGGGGGAGGGGGGGCTTATCCTTTGGCCCAAACGCTGATCTTAAATATGATTTATTTATTTATATATTTATTATTATTCCGCGCCCTTCTGGGGTATAATAATAATATTATACCCAGCCATTACTGTATTATTATTATTACCCACTCATCTGGGTACGAGTAATAATAATAATAATAATAATAATAATAATAATAATAATAATAATAATATACTCCAGCTGTTGTTGTTATGATTATGATTATTATTTCCTGCTCATCTGGGTACATATAATAATAATATTATACTCCAGTCATCATCATCATTATTATTATTTCCCCAGCCACTCTGGGCGGCTTACAGGACATATAAAACATAATAAAGCACCAAACATTAAAAACTTCCCAATACAGGTGTCTTCTAAGAGTTTATGTAGTCCTAAATTGCATACCCTCCAACATTTCTCCGATGAAAATAAGGACATCCCATTCCATAATAAGTTTACTATTTATGTCCCAGCCACTCTGGGCGGCTTCCAACATATATAAAAACATTAAACTTTTTTTAAAAAATAAAAAAACCCCTTCCCTATACAGGATTGACTTCAGACGGCTCAGGGGTCAGATTACTCCATACCCTCCGACGTTTCTCCAATGAAAATACAGACGTCCTAAGGAAAAGTGGGACATTCCGGGATCAGATTAAGAGACCGGCATGGGCTTCTCTAAATCAGGGACGTCCCTGAGACACTTGAAGGGGCGGAAATTATAATATGTATTTGTGGGTTTTTTGGGTGGGATGGCGAGAGGCTCTCTTGGGGGCTCTGGGTAGTATTCAACTTAGTCCCACTCAGAATTTTTGTTATTTTTATTATGTGTTTGTGCTTTTTCAATGGTAATTTTCTCATGGAATCATAGTTGGAGGGACCCCAAAGGTCATCTAGTCCAACGCGCTGCAATGCAGGAATCTCAACTAGAGCATCCATGACAGATGGCCAGCCAAACTCTGCTTATAAACCTCCAATGTTGTGAACTGCCCTGAGATCTACGGATGAAGGGGGATATACAAATTTTAACAACAACCTTGCAGAGTCAATGTGGTGTGGTGGTTATCAAGTGCTGGACTAGGACCTGGGAGACCTGGGTTCAGATCCCCCTAACTCATCCATGAATGAAGCTCCCTGGGTGATCTTGGGCCAGTCCCTGCTGATGTTCAGGGTTGGGAGACAGAAATCCGATATATATATACCTCTTGTCTTTGTCCATGGAGTTTTCTTGGAAGGGATACTGGAGTGACTTGCCGGTTCCTGCTCCAGGTGGATCACGTTTGGTCAAAACTCTCCACTATGACCTGTCCATCTTGGGTGGCCCTGCACAGCACAGCATAGCTCATAGCTTCTCTGAGTTATTCAAGCCCCTTCGCCACGGCTATGAAGGAGAATTCTATGAAGGAGAATTTACTTTCTTGGGCTCCATGATCACTGCAGATGGTGACAGTAGTCACGAAATTAAAAGACGCCTGCTTCTTGGGAGAAAAGCAATGACAAACCTAGACAGCATCTTAAAAAGCAGAGACATCACCTTGCCAACAAAGGTCTGTATAGTTAAAGCTATGGTTTTCCCAGTAGTGATGTATGGAAGTGAGAGCTGGACCATAAAGAAGGCTGATTGCCGAAGAATTGATGCTTTTGAATTATGGTGCTGGAGGAGACTCTTGGGAGTCCCACGGACTGCAAGAAGATCAAACCTATCCATTCTGAAGGAAATCAGCCCTGGGTGCTCACTGGAAGGACAGATCCTGAAGCTGAGGCTCCAATACTTGGCCACCTCATGAGAAGAGAAGACTCCCTGGAAAAGACCCTGATGTTGGGAAAGATTGAGGGCAAAAGGAGAAGAGGACGACAGAGGCCGAGTTGGTTGGACAGTGTTCTCAAAGCTACCAACATGACTTTGACCAAACTGCGGGAGGCAGTGGAAGACAGGAGTGCCTGGCGTGCTCTGGTCCAGGGGGTCACGAAGAGTCGGACACGACTAAATGACTAAACAACAAGGTGGGTTAGGAAGTGTGTGTGTGTGTGTGTGTGTGTGTGTGTGTGTATAAACACAATTCCTATCCCACCTTTCAAGTCTCCATGCAACACCCAGGACACCTCTCTTTTTTTAAATTGCAATATGTATTTTTTTCTCTGCAATCCACTTATAAAGATAAAGGAAGCATTTATTTGATGTGCAACCCGGAAACATTTGCAAGCACCAGCTTACAAATGTCAGTAGCGTAAGAGCATTATCTGCTTACATTTGAAGAGCCACAACAGAAAAGGAAACAGGATGGGAAGGAAATAGGAGAAGGGAGCCCAGGAGCTGTTTCTTAGTCACTGAATAATAGCAATGACCAGCTGGAATGCAAACAGCTCAAACGGAGGAACCCAAAACTGCTCTCCAATGGAGAAGCCCTGTAGTTCCCTCCAGCCACTGTAGCCTGATGGATAGATGCCATTTTAGGGAATCATAGAAATCATAGATTGTAGGGTAAGAAGTGACCCTGGGGATCATCTAGTCTTGGAACGCAGGAATATGCAGTTGCCCCATTCACAGCTCGAACCTGCAACCTTGGCGTTATCAGCACCAACTGAGCTATCCAGGATGAGCCTGATGATACGGCAGGCTCTCCATTCTTCTGACGCCTTTCTCTGCAACCTTTGGAACATAGAGAAAGCGACATGGGTGCCACTCTAAAATGGCTGCTCTCCTGGGCATGGCCAATCACAGAATGGCTGCCATATGCTGTCTCAAAATGCCAGTATCTAGAAAATCGGTAAAGGAAAACCAGTAACTTACCCCAGTGGGTAAAGGTAAAGGGACCCCTGACCATTAGGTCCAGTCGTGGCCGACTCTGGGGTTGCGGTGCTCATCTCGCTTTATTGGCCGAGGGAGCCGGCGTACAGCTTCCGGGTCATGTGGCCAGCATGACTAAGCCACTTCTGGCAAACCAGAGCAGCGCACGGAAATGTCGTTTACCTTCCCACCAGAGTGGTACCTATTTATCTACTTGCACTTCGACGTGCTTTCAAACTGCTAGGTTGGCAGGAGCAGGGACCGAGCAACAGGAGTGAACCGCTGACCTTCTGATCAGCAAGTCCTAGGCTCTGTGGTTTAACCCACAGCGCCACCTGCGTCCCACCCTAGTGGGGGACCAGATATCTCCACACTTCACCCCACCGACCTGAGCCAACTTCTGACTTGTGGGCGAGCCCGCCCACCTGTCAATCATTTGCTGTCATTGTTCACCTGTCCAAAGCTGGTCTATGTGGGTGGGGAGCAGGACTGATCAATCCTGCTTAGCGCTGGGCTCTGAAGCACGGAAAAGCTCCCTGTAGAGCACACCTAAATCAGGCGGAATGAAGCTCCCTTCTTTCCACAAGCTGATTTAAGAGATCTGTCCTGGGCCCAGTTGCGTAAGAGAGTCCTCTGCAGTGAACTTTCTCATAGCCTGACATGCCAGACATGACAGCCGGCCAGTTTCAACACCTTCTCTATCCTCGATACAGACATTCAAGGGGCATTGTTGGAGTTGAAGGACACATTCCAGGTAGGCAGAAACAGCAGGGTCATTGGGGGGGCAGGGGCTGGGGAGGGGGGCCCTGGTGTGGGGCAGGTGCCAAGCGCAGGGTAGAGTGGCCTGATGTTGCCCGCCCCCGATTTATACAATTTCTCCCGAAAGTGAACTTTCTGATGGCAAGAAAAGGTCGAATGGTGAACGAAGCTCTTTCCGCACTTCGGGCATTGATAAGGTTTCTTCCCCGAATGAGTTCTCTGGTGAAAAGTGAGCTGCGACTTCTGGCCAAAGCTCTTTCCGCACTCCGAGCACTGATACGGTTTCTCCCCTGTGTGGATTCTCTGATGTTCAGTGAGACTTCCCTTTTGAATGAACTTCCTGCTGCACACGAAGCACTGATACGGCTTCTCTGACGTGTGGATGGTTTGGTGGGTCGTGTGGTCCAAACGATGGCGGAAGTGCTTTCCATGCGCTGTGGAGTGAAGAGAGGGAAAAGGTAAGAGAGCCCAAAACATATGTTGTACACAAAACATATGTTGGAAGTGTAAAGAGAAGGAAGGCATATTCTGCCACATGTGGTGGGTGTGCTTTCATTTCTGTATATACTGTGTGTTTATAGTCTTTGTAATGAGCGCAAAATATGGTCTGAAGCTCAACATCAAAAAAACGAAGATCATGGCCACTGGGCCCATCACCTCCTGGCAAATAAGAAGGGGAAGAAATGGAGTCAGTGAGAGATTTTACTTTCTTGGGCTCCATGATCACTGCAGATGGTGACAGCAGCCACGAAATTAAAAGACGCCTGCTTCTTGGGAGAAAGCAATGACAAACCTAGACAGCATCCTGAAAAGCAGAGACATCATCTTGCCAACAAAGGTCCGTATAGTTATAGCTATGGTTTTCCCAGTAGTGATGGTTGGAAGTGAGAGCTGGACCATAGAGAAGGCTGATTGCCGAAGAATTGATGCTTTTGAATTATGGTGCTGGAGGAGACTCTTGAGAGTCCCATGAACTGCAAGAAGATCAAGCCTATCCATTCTGAAGGAAATCAGCCCTGAGTGCTCACTGGAAGGACAGATCGTGAAGCTGAGGCTCCAATACTTTGGCCACCTCATGAGAAGAGAAGACTCCCTAACTGCGGGAGGCAGTGGAAGACAGGAGTGCCTGGCGTGCTCTGGTCCATGCGGTCACGAAGAGTCGGACACGACTAAACAACTAATCAACAACAAACGAGGTCTTGTTCTCTTATGCTATATGTTAAGTCTGCAAGCTGTGCATATTCTGTCAGCTTAAGTTGCCATTCTTCTTTGGTTGGGACTTGGCTCGTTTTCCATTTTTGGGCTAACAAAACACGGGCCGCCATAGTGGCATACATAAATAACCTTTTTGGACACCTGGGAATTTCAGTCTGAATTATCCCCAACAAAAAGAACTCTGGTTTTTGGGGAAAGTACTTTTAAACATTTGTTTCAATTCATTATGGATCATTTCCCAATACTCTTTTACCCTTTCACAAGTCTACCACATATGAAAGAACATTCCCTCCACCTCTTTGCATCTCCAGCACTTATGTGATTCAGCCTTATAGATCGTAGTAAGTCTACTCGGAGTTAAATACCATCTGTAAATCATTTCCAAGTAGATCTCCTTCAAAGAATAACACGCTGTAAACTTCAAATCGCTTTTCCAAAGTTTTCTTCAGAGGTTAAAATCTATATTGTGAGGACGGCAGCTCTTCACCTCGGAGCGAGGGAAACAATGGAGCCTTACCAAGAGAGGTGACCATCAGGCAATTGTCTTCCATGACTTCGCTATGCAGAGCTCTCTGGTCAGGATCCAGCAAAGACCACTCCTCTTCTGCAAAGAACACAGCCACATCCTCAAAGGACACAGGGCACTGATAACAAATTAAAGAAGATGTTTATTATTAACATATCATTCGTTTATAGCCTATTATTGACATTTTTGTTAGATTTTCAAATTAACATTTTTTATTAGCTTTTCAAATTTTACAAATTCTTTTAGAGAACCATCGAAACATATATCTTATTATCTGTTGACTTCCCATCCACTTTTCCATGGTGTTCTTTTCTTGCCTTATAAAGATGCTTTATTACTTATATTTTACCCATTACAGTGGTACCTTGGTAGTTGAATAGCTTGGCTCCCGAACAAATTTGCTCCCAAACGCCGCAGACCTGGACAGGAATGTTTCGGTTTGCAAATGTTTCTCAGAAGCTGAACGTCCTACGCGGCTTCCAATTGAGTGCAGGAAGCTCCTGCAGCCAATTGGAAGCCGTGCCTTGGTTTTCGAACAGTTTCAGGAGTCGAACAGACGCCCGGAAGGGATTAAATTCAAGAACCAAGATACCACTGTATATATGTTAACTATAGATTATTAAATTACCACTTCTCATTCATTGCAATACTTCAAATCCTCAATACATTTTAACATCACCATGATTTCCCACCCCAAATATTACAATTCTTCAAGAAATTTTTCTTCATTCTGTTCTTTAATTCTCAGTTAGTCTAGCCATTTCAGCATATTCAATCACCTTCATAAGTCATTCTTCTTTCGTCGGGATTTCCTCTCCATTTTCACACTCAGACTATTCTGGCCACCGCCATAGCATGCATAAACAAATTAAACAATTCCTCTGGAAGCTCTGGTCTAATTATACCTAACAGAAAGGCCTCCTGTTACTTGGGAATCATCACTTTAAACGTTTTTTAACTCATTATAAATCATTTCCCAATAACCTTTTTTGCCTTTCTGCAGGTCCACCACATATGAATAAAAGTTCCATCCATCATTTTACACTTCCAACAAATACCTGATCTACCTCTATACATTTTTGCAATTTTATACGCTGTTAAGTACCATCTATACATCATCTTCATGTAATTCTCTTTTAATGTACAACAAACTGTAAATTTTAAATTAACTTTCCATAGCTTCCCCTAAAGAAGATGTTTAAACTGGTTATCCCCCAAAAACCCGAAGGCTTTCTGCGAGGGGTAATTGGGACAGATGTTCTGAAGAATCTGACTTTTATATTTTATGTATCCAACAATTCTCTACATGTGGAAATGTAAAGAGGGATTCCGACTAAAGAAGAATAGCTTCTAAAATTAACGGACTATGCTGAAATGGCGGAATTGACTGTAAAATTAAGAGATCCAAAGGACAAACTTTTTATGGAAAATCTCAGGCCTCTCTTGGACTATCTGATGAAGTATTCAAGCGACATGAAATTGTGAGCAGGATTTGAGATATGAACAGCAGAGGAAGAAAATGGTTAGATAGTGTTAAGGGGTTTGGTAATAATTATAATGCATAAAAATGTCAGGGAGGGAAGGGTGGGAAGTCAAAAAGAAAACTATAAGATAATGGTTTATTGTCTGTGGAGAAAATTTGCTTTAAAAATTCAAAACGTAATCAAAATCAATTTAAAGAAAAAACAGGACACTGGACTCGGAAGGAAGGAAGGAAGTTTTCTTACTAGGAATTTTAGGTTCAGAAATACCTAAGGATCAGAAGAGACTATTTATGTATGCTACAACAGCTGCGCGGATGCAACTTGCCCAAAGATGGAAGGAGGACAATTTACCTACAAAAGAAGAATGGTGGATAGAGATGCCGAATTGGTGAAAATGACCGGGGAAAACAGAGATCAAGAAGACAATAAATTTAATAAAGAATGGGGGGGAATTAAGTTACTTGAAAGAACACTGTAAACAATTGAAAACACTGGAGTGCAGTGAAGTGAGAATTATGATAAAAATTGAGATTTAAGAAAATATGAATATGATAAGACTCAGTTTGAAAAGAATATCTGGGGAAACCATGGAGGGAAGTTCAGGGGTTCTGAGAATCCTATTTGTAAAATGATTATGATTTGTGTACGATAACAAATGTTTGTTGTTGTTGTTTAGTCATTTAGTCGTGTCCGACTCTTTGTGACCCCCTGGACCAGAGCACGCCAGGCACTCCAGTCTTCCACTGCCTCCCGCAGTTTGGTCAAACTCATGCTGGTAGCTTCGAGAACACTGTCCAACCATCTCGTCCTCTGTCGTCCCCTTCTTCTTGCGCCCTCCATCTTTCCCAACATCAGGGTCTTTTCCAGGGAGTCTTCTCTTCTCATGAGGTGGCCAAAGTATTGGAGCCTCAGCTTCAGGATCTGTCCTTCCAGTGAGCACTCAGGGCTGATTTCCTTCAGAATGGAGAGGTTTGGTCTTCTTGCAGTCCATGGGACTCTCAAGAGTCTCCTCCAGTGTTGTGTATTGAGTCAAAGGATTTTATATCTGTATTATTATTGTCTGTATTTGCATTAGGGTAAAGTAACTGCCTCTTGGTTCCAGAGGGTACAGCTACTATTGGTTCATTTAAGCTGCTGTATTTGGATCCTCTGTCTTATTGGTTTCCTCCAAAAGGCAGGACTGTGATTGCCTGATATTGTTCCCTCCAAAATGTATCCTTTCTAGCTAGTCCCCTGTCCCTATAAATGTAGCTTTCCCCTCCTCAGGCTAGAGTCTTGTTTGCTTTAATAAAGAAGTGTTACTAGAGAACTGTCTCCAGCATATTATGTCAAGAGAGCTGAAATCACAAACCCCATGTCACAACATCCAGCACCATAATTCAAAAGTTATAATGTTATAATGAATAAAAATGAATAATTTTTATTTTATTTTTTTAAAAGGAAGGAAGGAAGTATGGAAGTTTAACATGAAGGTCATCGACAAGCAAAATCCAGAAGACTAGGAAAGGAAAGGTGCTTCAAATCTGCCTGGCGTACACGGCCTTCCTTGCATGTAGCTCAGACAGAAGCAAAGAGAAGGAGAGGGATTTGTTGAAGCTGAAAGAGGTGCACAGGAGATAAGAGGCCCCATCACTGCCACCTGCCCATCTCCCCAGGGGTCCTTCCCCTTACCTGGTCTAGTGTTACAGCTGCTGCTTCCCCTCCGTCCGAAAGAAGAGGTGGCCAAACGGGTCTTGCCAAGCTCATTCCATCACCTGCTAAAGAGACAAAGGTGGCGGGAAAGCCAAGAGCCCAGGTCTCCTCCACTGCATGCAGTCTGAATGTCGAGTCCTTTTTTTCTGGACGGCTTTAAAGGAGGATTAGACACATTCTGTGGAGGAATTCTGCTCACAATAGCTATGTACAATAGCTAGTTGAAGGCAGTGTATTTCTGAATACCAGCGGCTGGAAAACCACAAGAGGAGAGAGCTTCCTTGTGTTCAGGTTCTGCTCCCAGTCTTCTCATGTTAATTAATAATAATAATAATAATAATAATAATAATAATGTACTGCTCCACACCCACAGATCTTAGGGCAGATCACAGGATAAAAACAGAACACGAAACCACAAAATAAATAATCAAAATAATAAAAACCACAACGCAATAACTCACCCCTTTCAGTTTGTGTTTCTTAGTGCAGTGGAACCTTGTGTGTTGCGGACGTAATCCATGACAGAGGCACATTCACAACCTGCAGCGTTCACATCCTGAAGCGCCGTGTCTGCGCCGGCGCGATTTGGCGCTCCAGTGCATGCGCGAGCGGCGAAACCCGGAAGTAACCCGTTCTGGTACTTCCGGGTTTCCCGCGGTCAGCTACCCAAAAACACGTAACCTGAAGCGCCCGTAACATGAGGTATGACTGTACAGAAAGTATTGATCTGACGTGTAGAGATCTTTCCTATTCTAATTAGTTCAAGAGGGTTCTGGAAGCTGTGTGACAGAAAAAAACAGAAGGTTAATGATGTTTGGGTTATTCCTTCAGAGAAGCTGAGTACAGCTGGCTTAAATTGGTCCTGTTATCTCTTCTGTCAAGGTCATGCTGACTATAATAATAAGGGCAGAAGGAGTCTGGGTTTCACTTTCTATCTCTCTTCCTTCTGGTGTGGTGTTCTGTATACAGTGGTACCTTGGGTTACATACGCTTCAGGTTACAGACGCTTCAGGTTATAGACTCCGCTAACTCAGAAATAGTACCTCGGGTTAAGAACTTTGCTTCAGGATGAGAACAGAAATCGCGCGGCGGCAGCAGGAGGCCCCATTAGCTAAAGTGGTGCTTCAGGTTAAGAACAGTTTCAGGTTAAGAATGGACCTCCGGAACGAATTAAGTACTTAACCCGAGGTACCACTGTATAGTGTTACTAGAAATTATTGTAAGTCTGCTGCAACTGGATTTCTTATGGACAGCACCAATCCTGAACATATTGTATTTGTGACCATCATACTCATTTGCCTTCAGTAGCAGTAAAGCTCTGCTGGATGAAATATTCATTGCCTCTGGTCTATTTTTGGGGAATCTTGCAACATGTTTAAGTTTTTACTCTGCTAACTATGCGCTGGAATCTGCTCTGGATCAATATTGAGTAGAATTCCATGACACACACCCCCCCCAAAAAATCCCCCCACATTTTAAAAGGGCATAAAAAGGTAAAGGTAAAGGTACCCCTGCCCGTACGGGCCAGTCTTGACAGACTCTAGGGTTGTGCGCCCATCTCACTCTAGAGGCCGAGGGCCAGCGCTGTCCGGAGACACTTCCGGGTCACGTGGCCAGCGTGACAAAGCTGCATCTGGCGAGCCAGTGCAGCGCACGGAAACGCCGTTTACCTTCCCGCCAGTAAGCGGTCCCTATTTATCTACTTGCACCCGGGGGTGCTTTCGAACTGCTAGGTTGGCAAGCGCTGGGACCGAGCAACGGGAGCGCACCCCGCCGCGGGGATTCGAACCGCCGACCTTTCGATCGGCAAGCCCTAGGCGCTGAGGCTTTTACCCACAGCGCCACCCGCGTCCCTTATTTAAAAGGGCATAGGATGTAGGATTTGGCTGGTCAGTGTGAGAACAGGATGGTGGACTAGGTGGGCCCCAGGCGTGACCCTAACGGCCTCTTCTTAATCTATTTTTATAGCCCAGTTTGGTGAAAACACAACTCTCCACCTGGGTTCTGGGCAACAAATCCAAGTGTTGCCTTTAACGTGTTCAAACGTTGGAAATAAATATGGACGAACTGTGTACAAGGGCTGTGGGGCAAGCATGTTCGCCCACGACAAGTCAGGAGAATGCGAAGGCATCCCAAAGATTTATTGCATAAACAGTGGAGGGTGTCATGGATTTGTTGGACATGGGGGAATGGTGGAAGGAACCAGTTGGGGAACCCCTCAGGAAAGAAGACTCAGAGCCTGGAGAATGGTGGTGGGACGACGATGAGAGGTCAGAGGGAGAAGGCGGGAAAGAGAAGGTATCGGAAGCTGAAGAGGTGACAGGGTTTAGTGAGCAGAAGGAGGCTGTGGCAGAGAGCAGTCCAGAATCGGAGGCAGAAGGTGAAGCAGGAGGAGGAGGGAGGCCAAGAGGTAGAGACGAGTCAGGCTGATGAAGAGGCATGGGTGTCTCCCCGTTGTACTATGGCAAACTCCCTCCACCTTCTGTCTCCCAGAACCAGAAGAGGCCGAAACAGGAGAATAGGTCGAACAAAGGTGCAGTCTCTGGATCGCTGGGAAAAGTCCTGGAGAGGAGCGGACTTAAGACAGATGCAGGGGAGGCTTTCCGTTTCAGCAACTGATTTCCTGCTGTTAAGTTGTGGGTGAACATATCAGACGACACAGCGATTCTTCAAACAGCTCTTGTTTATTCACAGGCCAGAACTGAACTGAACTGAAGGGTTCAGCCAGCCGCTTATAAGAGCTCCACTACAACGCAACTGTAACAAACTTTCTCTATCTAATC